CCCCCCCCCCCCCCCCCCCTTTCATAGGCTATATATACGGGCCTTATGCCTCTTCAAATCAACACAGAACTGCTTCTTCACAACCTGAGAACTTCCGTCGCTTGTCTCCATTATCTTCGTCATCATCCTCGTCGTCGCTGTCGTCCGGAGGGTCCGGATCACAGTCTTGACCTCTCGGCCGCTTTCTTCCTGCGCCGAAGGAATTTTCCTCTCGCTTTCCGTTCCCAGAATTGGTTTGCCCATTTGGAACTGGTCTGTTGCTGTTGGATGTACCGATGGTACATTTGATGATCCCAGATTCAGAATCAAAGAAGAAATGTATGTCGTTCATTAGTCTGTCGACAATTCCATGGGTCAAATAGGATATGGTGGAGTTCATCGAGAGGTTGTCGAATGAGTCGTTTCCAGAAGTTTCACATTCGCTAAAGTGATCTATCTCTGTGTCGCTGCTTTTTGTGGATACATTGTCGCTACTAGAATGCCGTGAAGAGATTGAAGGGCTATATCTTCTTTCTGATCCGATATGTGAGATGGAGTCGATCGGTCTGACGCTCATATTCGACGAGCATCGCGGTTCCCGGAGGTTACCTCCTAGCGCTAGGAAGATTTCGAGGCATTTATTCGGAACCCTTGCTACATTGTGGTGTAAGGGCTTGGGAAACCCTGTTCCAGCTTTTCCAAATACGTTCTGGTCCTGGGGACCTCGGAAGAGGTAACCGTTACTATGATTCGCTGAGCTGCTATAGACGGAATCTGTGATGTACCCGGAGTCGGCCTTTCCTATTACCGAAGAATGAGATGGAAGATGATCTAAGGCCACAGATACTTAGCGGGAGCAAGGAGACAATGAAGCCTATAAAGAACGAACCTTTTTCTTTCAGATAGTTCAAGTCGGTGGGCCTGTTCCAACACGTTCCGAGTGCCGTTATGTGCTTTACAATTTCAGGTAAGTCAAATCTAGATGTCTCCGACCGCAGAAACACTGTCAAGGCATCGCAGTCCCGCGGTATGCCCAATACACCTTCGTAATCCGCGTCAATCGGGCTCTTGAGTAAGGAATGGTTGCCAACTTCCGCATTCGCACTCGCTTTGGCGATTAGATGGACGCGTGTAGATTCGTCGACCCGGGATGATAATGCCCACGGTCGCGTCTGAAAATCATTACTTAGAGATGTAGGCACGAGAAGGGATGGAGTAGAAGATTGCGGGAGGACAAGCTTATTGATGTCGAAAGTGAACCTGCGGTAGTTGAGGTCGGAAGTAAACCTGTCATAGTTTTCTGGGTCGGAGGAGTCGTGTTTGACGCTTTCGGAACGATGACCGCAACTGGGACATGCTTCAAGAATCGTATAGTGGTATACGTAGCATTCGTTGCACTCCTTCACCTTCACCATGGGCAGATCCGGCATCTCAATTCCCCTTGGCATGCTGGTAGAGGTATTCGATAGCAAGACCAGTAAGCATGAGCCGTTGGCGGTGTAACGTAGAGTTACCGTCGAGCCATCCGGCCTGCCGAGAGAATGAGGTTGGTATTCTAAGAAGGAGAATGAAGTTGGAGAGCTATGAGGGACCCCCAGACAAGTATGGGGATGTCGCGGCTCACCATACAGTATCCCCCCCTGTACTTGAGAAAATACTCAGCTGCGTGAAAGCAAGCTGCGAGTTGGGGGAGGAGGCTGAAACACGGAGCTAGACTGTAAATAAGCCATAGCTTCGTAAAGATGCACGCAAAACCTCCCTATTCGCGTTACCTTTTCCAACGTGACCTTCACGACGTTCATCAACTACATCTTGTCCTCTTTTCTAGGAATTGGCACGGCTCTGCTATGTTATAGCCCAGACTGAGACGCGAGCCATCCTTGCATGTCCATTCGACACTGCATGATACGATATCGATAAAGTGGGCAAGGTGTGTGAGGCCTGCTGGGTACTCTACCGGTGACCTTGAACTCGCCAAAACTCTCTTATTCGTCCCGCTTTTCTGCCCCTCAGGTCTCTCTGTCGCAACTCAAACTTCACGACTTCCATCAAGTAAACTTTCTCACGATCAATCGCCCTCATCTGCTCTAAAGTGAATCGAAGCAGAAAGAACCCACAAAGCGCAAGGAATGAACTGCGCCAAAATCGGCCACAGATTTCGATGAGATAAGTAGATATTCCCATCATGATTCTGCTTCATCTAGATTTCCTTCTCAAAGTTCTACCGTGCCCCAACTTCATTAACACCTTTCAATGGCCCTTAACGCCCGCATATGAAACCCCAATCCCATCATTCCTCCCCCATCACTTCATCCCCCCATTCAAATCCCTAAACTCCCCCCTCAAACACCCCACCCCCTCCCTCCTCACCTCCTCGACTAACTCCACCACCTTCGGCGCAATACTCTCCTCATCGAACCTAAAATGCTTATACGCCGCCGCGCCCGGCAAGCTCTTCCCAAACGAGCTCATGCTAATCCCCGCATCTGCATACCTCTCCCACCCGTTCACCGCATACGCCTCAATCACCACCCGCGGCGCGTTCGAGCGGTACTGCAGCACCTCCCGCTTATACTCCACCGGCTGCGCTTCGAAAAGCCGCTGGCACGGGAAGCTGACGACGCGCGCGCGAATGTTGTATTTCGAAGCGAGAAGCTCGCGCGTTTGCATAGCGAAGACCATCTCCGCGCCGACGCCGATGAGGGTGACGTCCGCGTTGGGCTCTTCGACGAAGACGTAGGCGCCGCGTTGGACGCCGTCGCGGGAAGAGTGAGAGGGGTACTAGGGGACGTTTTGGCGAGAAAGAGAGAGGATTGAGGGGGTGTTCTTGGCGTTCAGCGCGGTGACCATGGCGCCGGCGGTTTCTTCGCTGTCGCAAGGGCGGATGTAGAGGAGGTTGGGCATGGCGCGGTAGAGGGAGGCGAGGGCGATGGGTTGGTGGGTGGGCCCGTCTTCGCCGGTGCCGATGGAGTGGTGGGTTGCGATGTGGATGGTTTGGAGGTGTTGAAGGGCGCCCATGCGGAGGCCGGGGGCCGCGTAGATGTAGAACATGAAGAAGATGGAGGTGATGGGGAGGATGGTGCCTTTGCCGAAGGCGGCGAGGCCGTTGCTGATGGATGCCATGGCGTGTTCGCAGATGCCCCAGTGGATGTAGCGGCCGGTGTAGTCGCCGTTGAGGCCGTAGGCGGAGCGGAAGTCGGGCTACAGAGAATCAGTTTGCAGGTACGTGGCAGTTAAGTGGAGTTATACTGACGTTTTGGAAGTCAACGTTGCCTTTCCATGCCATGTTCACGGAAGGAGACAAATCTGCGGTTTCAACCATCAGATTTGGCAACTTTGCGGCAAGCGGGTTGTAGACCAGCCCCGCAGACTTTCGAGTCGCTGTAGGTGTGGTGGGAGATCCTCTTTCGAGGGAATAAACTTCATCCAGTTCTCCGTCTCACCCTTTATCCTCATCTGGAACTCGGCATGGAGCCCGGGATACTCAGCCGCATACGCTGACACGAGCTCATCCAGTCTTTCTCCAGCTGGCGACCTCTACTCTTCGTTTCCCGGAAGAAGGCATACACCTCATCAGAGATGACGAAGTGCTCCTCGGGGTTCATCCCGTTTTGCTTCTTTACATGCGCAACAACGGCCGGGCCAAGAGCAGCGCCGTGTGCTTTTGCGTCGCCTGCGACCTGACTACCAATCCCAATGATCGTTCGCACGTTTACGAATGTAGGCTTATCCTTGCTCGAGCGGGCGGCAACCAGTGCGTTGACGATAGCCTCAACGTCATGGTTCCCATCCAAAATATCAATCACATTCCACCCGCAAGCACGCATCTTGGCATTAACGTCTTCGGCACTATTCGCAATGTCGGCCGACCCATCGCAGGTGACCTGGTTGTTGTCATAGATAACGGTCAAATCGTTCAGCTTCCAGTGACCAGCGAGCTGGATAGACTCGAGCGCAACACCTTCTTGAAGATAAGCATCACTGATCATACACCACGTCATGTTATCGACCAGCGAGAACCCCGGCTTGTTATACACCGCCCCGAGATGCTTCGTCGCCATCGCAAGACCAACGGCATTCGAAATACCTTGACCCAGTGGGCCAGTAGTGACTTCGATACCCTCGTGCTCGATCTCAGGGTGGCCAGGACATAGCGAGTCCGTCCGAGTGGAGTGGTAGGTCTTCAATTGATCCACAGCCATGTCCTTGTAGCCTGTAAGATGGAGGAACATGTACTGGAAGATAGAGGTGTGGCCGTTGGATAGGACGAAGCGGTCGCGGTTGAAGGACGGGTTTTCGGTTGAGTATTTCATGATGTATTTCCAGAGCGCAACGCCGATAGCTGCCATTCCCATTGCGCTCCTAGTTGAGATGTCATTATTGAGTTTTGCGAGTTTAAGCGTGGTACGTACCCTGGATGTCCTCCCTTGAACTGCTCACATAAGTCGACAATGAAAGAACCAAAGGTACGCAGCACCAGATTTGTCTTTTCTACATCTTCTATTACAATATCGTCTGCTGTAGCAGATGACTGTTTGCCATTGACAGTTTTGAGCGGGAGATGGTTCAATGTCTCAACGGGGACTGCAAAGGGCACCGTGGTGTACGAATGATGCGAAGAAAGAGAAGGCATTGAGCGCGAAACCTGGGGGAGCAATCGAAGGACTCTTTTTCAACATTGTGGCAAGCTCCCATAGCTCCCCTCTTCAAAACATCGCGACCTCCATGGAAGCTGGACGAGATTATGGTGGGGCGGCGGGGAAGGCCATAGGGTGCGAGGAGCGCTTTGAGTATCCTATCTCGGCTTCCAGCTAGCCTACCATTCTTTCAGCGCCGCGGATTGGCTACACACTAACAAATTCGACCTCGTCAAAGTAGACATCGTAAGCGCACCCCGCGACGTCGCGTTCCCGGAACGCGGCACGCGCCTTTTCCTTCAACCTCCCCAGGTGGAGCAACTCCACCTGGCACGTACAGACTTTCTGGGAACGCAGAAACCCTGGCCACGGGTCTCTGGAAGCCATGTGCTCTGGCAGAACTGGCATGTAGAATCGGGTAAGGACTCCGTCTTTCTTTTCCTTCTCGTCGCGGGGTTCTATCAACATATTCTCTCACCCCTCACATATCAATTTCTCCAGACTCTCACCATCAAGTCTTCTACAACCTTCACCCTTTGTACCTTACGCCACATACACCCTCATCCTCCCACCTTCCTCTCCCAAAATGTCCCCCGGCGCCATAATCCCCGACCTCGCCCTCCCCTCCTCCATCCCAGCACCGCCCCCGCCGCCAGCCCCTCGCCCTCCCTCTTCTCCCTCTCCCAAAAGACCACCGCCATCAGCGGCGCCCGCCGCCGCCTGGGCATCACGCTCGCCGCCGCGGTCCTCGAAGCCGGCGGCCACGTCGCCTGCATCGACATCCTGCCCACGCCCTCCGAGCTCGAACGGAGCGCCCTCCTCTCCCTCGCCAAATCCGCTGCCCCCAAGCCGCTGACCTGCACGTACTATAAATGCGACATCACCGACGAGCCTGCGCTGGCGGCTGTGATAGCTAAGATCGCCGCGGGGGCGGAGAGGGTGGACAGCGTGTTCTGGGGTGCGGTGGCGTGCGCGGGGATCCAGCAGAAGATTCCCGCGCTGGAGTACCCGGCGGCGGATTTTGAGCGGATTCTGAGGCTGAATGTGGTGGGGACTTTCTTGACGGCGAAGATAGGGGCGCAGATAATGAGGGAACGCCGCGTACGCGGCAGTATTGTTATGATTGCGAGTATGAGTGGGCAGGTTGCGAATAGGGTATGTTTGTTTTCTTTTTAGACGCGGAGAGGGGGGAGGATGGTTTGGTTTTGGGGATGGAAGACTAATGAGTGGGATTGTGGCAGGGGCTTACTTGCACCGCGTAAAATACCTCTAAAGCCGCCGTGCACCAGATGTGCCGCAGCGTCGCGCAGGAGTGGGGGCAGTATGGGATTCGTGTGAATACGATCTCCCCCGGGTACATCCGCACCGCGATGACGGATGAGCTGCTCAAAGCAGAGCCGGAGGTCGAGAAAATATGGATGGCGGGGGCGTTGCTTGGGAGGTTGGGCGCACCGGAGGATTTCAAGGCGCCGGCGGTGTTTCTGTTGTCGGAGGGGAGTGCGTTTATGACGGAGGCGGATTTGAGGGTTGATGGGGGCCATTGTGCGATCCAGCCGCTTTGGATTGCGGGACAGGTCATGAGCCATCCGAGCGAACACAAGGCGATTCTAGAAGTGTATGAGAGAATTGAACACGAGACGGGGTGGGGGACGAAGTGGCGGATGGATGATTTGAAGGAGTATTAAGGGGATTTGAGCGACTAATGTTGGTCCACTGGCACCTTGCAAGACGCGCGTACAGAGTGCTTCAGTGCATTCTCCGAACCAGCGCTCCATGCCGAAATTTCGACGAGGCGAATCGGACTAACATTATGCGCATGGCCGTCACCTCAGCCCATTTTCGATATGGCGGCACCTGGCACGTTTTGTAAGAAACCCGATTCCGCGATGACGCCAAGCGAGAAAGCTGGCTTCCTCATTCCAGTCCAGTGCCTATAAACCGCTCTAACGTACTCATCACGTCTGATGTGCTCTAACGCCATAGATGCCCTTGCACTTCTTGCCACTACTTGTAGTGCCTCGTGTTTAATCAAGATTCCAAATCCCATGGAAGTTGGGCTTTTGGAACGACTGCTAAATTCCCGACGCCACCCCAGACAGCGGCATATAGAACTATGATATAGACGTACAGGGCGATTCATTGCCCCAAATCTGTAGAAGTACTACACGCACTGGCAGTAGGAAACGTACGAAGATCTTTGACGAAACACTGTATCCTTACGAGACTCCAGAAGCAATACCATATAGAATATCGACCCAAACTCCTGGACCCGAAACCCGTCCACGCGTCGTCTATGATCGCCTAACCTTCCCGCTCTGGGCCCAATTCGTGCCGCTGGTTCGTATCGAGCTACCACTAAAGTCCCTTTCGGATATGTGATCCGGACACCCCGCATGAGTCTAGGATGAAAAGGGATGCGCCCCAGACCATCTCACTTTCCCCGGATTTGCACTCGAACCGCGTCTCCGCCTACCGGTCAACGCTCCGGGCACCCTGACTGGCTGAACAGCATCTCGTGATGGAACTCTAAACCTCGCCACAAGCCTGCCGCATGGCGAGCCCACGGGTCATGTCCCAAGCAGTCGGACCGGCTCTGAAACTTTCTTTCCAACACTCCTCGTAACCGCTCTCAGTTCCCGCTCTCACCGCTCACCCTTCGCAAACTTCAACCTCGTCGCACCCCTCGCGACCCGTTTTCTCTTGTGTAGAATGGCCTTGCCCGCCGTGGCCGCCTACCAAGCGTGTTTCGCAGGATGACAAGCGCCTCGTTCCATTTCTACAACGGCCACCAGAATGCCACCGCAGTCATCGTCGTCGTATGCTCCGCCATCTCCCTTTATAATGCGCTCGAGCTGCTACTTCTCATCCTGACCACTTTCCATGTGTACCGCGGGCTGTACTTCTCGTCGCTTGTTGCCGCGAGCGCCGGGATAATCCTCTACGTCCTCGGGTTCCTATTCGAGTACTTCAAACTCGCGCCGGAAGCGGTTGGGATCGCGGTGGACACGTTAGGATGGATGCTGATGGTGACGGGACAGAGCGTCGTGCTCTACTCGCGACTAGGCATAGTCATGGGGGAGGGGAGTAGAAGGGGGCGAGTGTTGAAGGGGGTGAAGTGGATGATAATACTCGACGCATTGATCTTCCACACGATGACGACAGGTACGCTCTCCCTAATCCCCCGCTTCAGCATCACCCATCAAAGTCTCGGCACCACAATAAAAGAATGAAGCTGATAGGAACCAATAGTCGTCGTCTTCGGCGCCCACTTCAGCACCCACGCCTTCTACACCGCCTACATCTACATCGAAAAAATCCAAATGACCGCCTTCACCCTCCAAGAATTCATCCTGTCCGGCCTGTACATCCACTTCGTCCTGCAGATCCTGCGCTCGCGCCGCCCGGGCTTCATCCCCACCTCCGCCACCACCTCCTCGAACTCGCATCCGCGAACCTCGTCTGGCTCGACGAGGCGCATAATGTACCAGCTCTTCAGCATCAACGTCATCATCATCGCGCTGGATATCGGGCTGTTGGTCGTCGAGTACATGAACCTCCATGTCATGGAGCAGACGTTCAAAGGTGTTACTTACTCCGTAAAGCTGAAATTGGAGTTCGCGATCTTGAGTAAGCTGGTCGAGTTGACACGACCGGCCGCGGGGCATGGGACCGCCGACGGGATGGAGTTTGCGTCGAATGAGTGGACGTCTTCTGGGACAGGACCGCCCATGGGACTAGAAGATCTTGGGGGAAGGCAGGGGAGTGGGGCGGTGAATTGCTTCTCAACGGAGTGGTATGACGGCACTGATCATGATCATGGCGTTGAATTGGGGAAAGTGGTGACGGTGGACAAACCGAGGTGGTTGGAGGAGTTGGAGAAGGAGGGGGTGGAGCGTGTGGAGCGGGTGTATTCGAGGAGAGGGGAGGGCGGGGCGGATGTGTTGTATGCGGATGCGATGAGGTCGTTGGATAGGTGATGGAATGGTAATCTTGTTCAACTTGCGATGGATTCAAAGTTACTGATACGCCTTGACATGGTTAGAGAGGAGAGGGATTAATAGGAGAGTGGTCCACGTGATAGCAGACATATCACGTGTGAACCGCGTGATGCCGGGTTTGACGGGGTATAAATACCTCCACTGTCTGTCTCCTAGAGTCTCGTTCATGGAAGTTGGTCCTGGGCTCAACAGTCGACCTTGACAAAGACTATGTGGGGGGTCCAACAAGATGGTCTCAACAATCAATGTCCTGTGGGAGGAGCAGCCGGTTGGTTGCAAAACTATTCGACGCCTCTATCAATGGCTCTGGTCGCGTTTGCAAGCAGACAATCTTGACGGTGCCATGAAAGTTGTGCTGGTACAACCGGAAGTCCCAGCGCACGATGCCTGTGGGAATCAACCAAATTTGACCACTTCTTGATGGTCCGGGAGATTGGCTGGAGATTGAACACCTTGCCTGGAAGGACGTCAATGGAGAGAGGGAAGGAAGAGGGCTCTGATGGTAGGGGAGGAGAAGTCGTAATTGGGGAAGCTTGTCGACGTGGTATGCTGATGGAGAGCAGTATTATCAATCTTCGATTCGGGAACAATGCCTATGAACAACGCTCGTTGTCATCTTCCAAAAGAACTTCCCATCTCAGTAACCTCGTTCTGATGCCTACCATCACCAAAACAGCTTCTCCACATTGTGCGCATACCTTTTGTGGTTTGCAGCGCAAACCACTTCACGACGCCACATTGGCCTGTGCCTCGAAGGTTTGGATCCCCGAGGTCTAACCATCAGGAGTTTCCCGTTCCACTGTTACTCGGGTCTGTTGATTTGCAGGCCGTAGCATCTGAACATTGACAGAACGCGATATCATGTACATGAAAGCGCCCTGTTTGCTACCAGCAGTGATTGCTGTAGATGATTGTCATAATCCAACAGGGTCATCACAAGAGCACTACGAACAAGTAAATGATTATACGAGCGCTGCTCCTATACTTCGCCAGGGAATGATCGGAAGCTTTGTCGGCGAGCGCACGTGATGAGCATGTGACTTTGTCATCTCCAGGGGGCTAGAGAGATCAGTTTGAACGGAGCAACTTGATCTGATTGGTGATGGGTGGCAAGTGCTGTGACACGCAACTGTGGTTCCTGGTCTTTAAGGCGATATCTGCTACCAAATCCCGAACATCATCATTCCACCACCATCTCTATCTATTCTGCACTGCACTGGCTTCATATTCTACACCCAAAGCAGCATCGAAATCTCACCACCGTGCTATGTGCCACTCATTCCAAGTCTCAAGCGAAGGCTATATGTCGGGATGACAAGGTCCAATAACTCATTTCGGCCCTTGCAACTCGAAAACGGCAGCATTGTAAGGAGAACTGACGAAGATTGTTTACTGCATCTAGACGAGATCCATGCGCCTGAACTTGTATCTCCATATGTGCTGGTGTTTCTCGTCGCGGATTCGAGCGGGACCAACCACTTGGTACTCGCGCGCGAACCCCTCCTTTCTCAAGACCATTGGAAGTGGTACTCCGGAGATGCGATGAATTGTATCGTTGTCTTTGATACCAATCGATCCTGCTCCTATTCGCCCCTGCTTAGTGACGAAGAGAGCTATCTTGCCGCACATGTGCTCGACAAGGGCTTGATGGCAAGCCAGAGCGTCAGGAACTTGACGAATCTGGTCGAATATTCGGAAGACGTGGTCCGAATGAGGAGTAGTTTGCTCGGAATACTTCCGTGGCGGGAGATATTCATTCGCGTAACCGAATATTATTCCAAGCCAGGCTTTGAGTGGCTTGGTTATATTATTGGACATGGGCGGATCTTGGATGCCAACTGGAAGAAGCTGCTTCAGCACGTTCTCAAACTCTTCGCCTGACGACAGAAATTGTGAGTCGACAAGAAGTTGAGCTCTTGACATCCACTCGAGAAATGCTACCACTAATCCAAAATCTGCATTCGGTGTATCCATCTTCAGAACGTCGATAGCGCAAGTGACCTGGTCGAGGAAGCATCCAAACACAGAGAGTGTCATGTTATCCACATTTAGCAAAGGGAGGCCGTGTCGTTTGACGCAACTGTATATACCTCCTTGGGTAGTTTCGTAGATGCATTTTTCAGAGATCCAAGCGGTACATCCGGGACGATTCCAGCGCGGCACCCAGGTAGGAAATCCAGTAGAATTCGATTGGTTAGCGTCAACGAGGAGGCAAAGTGACATTGGTTTCCAGCGGAGCAGTGCCATGAAAAACCGGTGATATTCTTGTTCCTCCACCATTGAGCGACGGAGGGTTCCAGCCCCGATCATCTCGAGTAGAGGGTAGAAAGCCCGGACCCTGTCTACAGATTTGGTGACCTCCCGAGTTCTCACAGCGTGGATAATACTGCCGCATTCCAACCGCCGCTGCTTGTTGTAGACAGATATTAGTCCGAAGATTCTTCTCCAGCCGAGGCTTTCGTACACCCCAGCTACCCGGATGAATGTCAATATCATCAAATCTGTCATTACATTCCAGATCTGGACGAACATGAAAGGTTTAGCGATAAGCGGTAAGACGTCATAAACTCGCATGAACGGGCAGTTCCTCGAAGGATCGCCCACAAAACTCCGACTTAATGTCGTATATCCCGGAATAATTCTGAGAATAAGTCTCGGTCCGTATGTGAGAAGCAGAAATAAATCTGTAAAGACGTCCTTCAGCAACCTTCCAGAGATCCCATGTAACTGCAACGCGGTTTTGCAGCGGTAAAGGCTCCAAAATTCCAAGGCAATGAGTAGGTATGTCCAGAACTCAAAGCCCGACAAGGAGAGGGGCACCGATGTCCATAGGTCGATAAGAGGAACCAGGTCGCGAGAAGAAGTTGAAAGATCTTCCAAAGCTTCCGATGGTATCCTTAGTGACTTAGTCAGAAGCTGATCTTTGGCGCAGAGTATATCATTCAGGGTAAAGCTCTGCGATTCGGTGAGGAAGACTGGATTATTGGCCATGATAAGCTCTTGGAAAGTCCACCCTCGTTGGAACCACTTATGTCTTAAGATCTCTTGAATTGTCCGAGCCTCAGAACATTCCCAACCTGGGTGCAATGTCTTGCCAAGAGCTAGTCTTTGTGAACAGTCAAGGCCAGAATCGGCACTTGTATTTTCCGGCCCCAACCATACAAGTACGGTATGGGCTCGACTGTATATTGTGCCCATGAGTCGCATTTGGTCATCGGCTTCCACCGGATCACTTTGATTGACGCAGATGCTGTCTACCCAAATGCTGAGCTCTCCAAATCGTTTGCAAATGCAGGTTAACGCGTCTATGCAATTCTTTGAGACTGGAATCTCGACATCTCCCCAGCGAATGGTGTAGGTCTTGCCATTTTGTGGGTTTTGTCCCCATACGTACGAAAGCGCAGCGTATGGGGGGCAAAAGTGAAGGGGAACAACACGAAGCGTCCCTTCTATGGATCGACCTGTGTCCTCATCTCGCGTGCGGGCAAGACGCGCTTTCAAGTCGAGTAGTCTAATCCTGGGCGAGTACTCGTAGTAATCCGGATCCGGTTCGAGCAGGTGGGCATTCAAGTCAACGCCTCCGTAAAGTTGGGAAGCCATACTAGCAGCCAAATGACTGTTCCTACGAGCTTACATTGTACTTAACAGTTGAAAGACTAGGAATCAGGCATCATCCGAGAGCACTGCCTCCGCTACGTGTCGAGTGTCTCTTTGGTGTTGACGCTGGGACGCTGGAGTCGTTAGGCTGCAGCGCGGCCGCAGTGCTTCGTGGGCGGATTTGATAGGTAGGTGGTTGGCGCTTTGGGCACGTGCGGCTGAAGGCAAAGCCTGGACTGTGGCGGAGTAAGGTTGCAGGTGGTGTGACATCAGTGACAACACCACGTCGCGAATAGAGCAGGTTTAGTATCACGATCATACTATGTATAGGGGAGGATACTGTAGCAGGTAAGGCCGCCGATCTGCTCCGGTAGCAAAGTTGTGAACTCCAATAATGATACAAAGGTTATGGAAGTACTTGTATGTACAATGGAAAATCACGTGTTTCGAAGCGAAGCGTGGCAGTGGGTGGCGCTTCGCCAATGTGAAATCTAACGACAATCTCTAATTGGAGTCTACTCTTCCTTTCAACGCTTGCTCATTCCACCTTGACCTTCACGTCACGTGTTAGCCCGTGGCGAGGATTCATCTATCCTAGAGGCTTGCGAGCGTCTAGCACGCAGGCTGCTGGCAGTGTATTCAGGACGCGATATATTGCCTATTACTCCTATAAAGCCCACTCTTAGGTTGAAAAGGGAAGGTGCAGTGTAATCTTTTGACTGGCGTAAGCGTTTCCTGCACCCGCATCCCGGAACCGGATCGCATCGTCATGATCTACAAAACGCAGGGGCTGAACGGTTTTCCAGCCCCAAGACGATCCTAATGCAACATACCACCGTACCCTGTTCGGGAAACTTGCAGGATTGGTGCCGTAATCCCCGAATCTGACAGCCATCCTTCGCCATAGGTTCGGTCCCATATAGACCGAGCAAAATTGCAAGCATCGTTGTCAGATTGACCGAGCATAGCCACATGTAGGAATTGTGTATGTACTTAGACTCCAATACCCACTTTCATATGATTCCAATGTATCTTCTTTTCTTTCACAGATATGATATTGCCCACCTCCATCGTCGTTTCCTTGAATTTCCTATCATGGTTTGTTATGGCACGAGATGACACGTCCTGGCGCAAATATGTTCGCGCTCCGAAGACAGCACTTGTCTCTCCTTTCCGCATCGTCTCCACTCTAAACAATGTCACCAATGCAGACGCTCTTCTCAGTACCGATTCAAAATACGCCACCCTGTCTCGAGCTGATGGAAGCGCAAATACCACATCACCTACCATAACGATCGACTTCGGCATCAATGTCGTCGGATTCCCCATCTTCACATTCGCCGGCGCCTCATCAAATAACCCTGGAATCCGCGTCGCATTCTCCGAAACCAAGGAATACCTCACAGACAGAAGCGACTTCACGCGCTCCGACAACGGCGACACCATCACTAGCGGAACCGATCAACATGCCGTCCCAGCTGATGCCAGCGTCTGGACTGACGTCCACGGCTGCCAGGCCTCCAACCCTAACAAGGTCTGCGCTGATGGTCTCCACGGCTTCAGATATATGAAGGTTTGGCTTGATGCTCTAGCCGAGGATGCGCCCCTCGCGAATCCGTCCGGCGAAGTGAAGATTCAGAGCGTCCAATTGAACTATACTGCGCTTCGAGGGACCCCAGACACCTTTGAAGGGTGGTTCGAGTGTGAGGATGAAGAGTTGACGCAGTATTGGTATGATGCCGCGTATACCAACGATATGAACATCGACCTTTTCCTGAAGGATTACATTGACCCGCGGAACGCTTACACAGAGTCTTTGGATGGGAAGCAGGTGCTTTTCGATGGTGCGAAACGAGATCGAGATCCGTACATCGGAGATCTTGCTGTTTCTGGTCGAACGCTGTATTTGACGCATCCGAAATCCAAAGTGGCTGCTAAGAACATGCTGGTGGATCTAGCGAATCATCAAAGAAGCGATGGATGGATACCACCCGCTAGCATCAATGACTACGCACTGCCGCTGTTCGATTATCCTCTTTGGTGGGTATTGACTTCTTACGATTACGTCTTATATACGGGAGACAAAAGCTATCTGGACGACGTGTACCCAAACTTGGTCAAACTTCTAGATACCTACTATCCCAGCAACACCGACAACACCACAAACCTGCTATTCAAAGGCGATCCATTTGGTACATCCGGATACGGCGATTACGCCTTCCTGCCTCGTAACGGCTCAGTGACATACTACAACGCCCTCTACGTCTACGCTCTCAAAGCAGCCTCTGAAATAGCCACTTGGGCTGGCAGAGAAGACACTTCAGACTGGAAAGGTCGTGCTGATACCGTCACAACCGCCCTCAACGCCAACCTCTGGGACGACTCCGCAGGAGCCTACCTTGACTCAACCCTCGGCCCCGTCCGCCACGCCCAAGACGGCAATTCAATCGCCATCCTCTCCGGCGCCGCACCAGCCAACCGCTCTCTCTCCGCTCTTACATATCTCTCCAAACACATGCACCAACCCTACGGCAACGCCTTCTACGACGCCGCCGGCGACGCCCTCGGCACCGACTTCTCCTCCCGCGTGTACGCCTTCATATCCTACTTCGAGAACTCCGCGCGCTTCGAGACCAACCTCTCCGCCACCGCCGTCGACCAGATCAAGCGGACGTATGGGTGGATGGCAAGCCAAGACCCAGGCGTCACGATGTGGGAGGGTATTGGGAAAGACGGGAGTTACTACGAAGAGGGATTTACGAGCTGTGCGCATGGATGGAGTACGGGGGTTTTACCCGCTTTGACGAACTATGTGCTCGGTATGAAGCCGACGGGGCCGGGGTTTAGCACGTTTGCATTCAAGCCGGTGGTGACGGAGGGTGTGACGTGGGCGAAGGGGGTGGTGCCGACGCCGGGTGGGGGGATTGGGGTGGATTGGAGTGGGAAGGTGTTTAAGGTGAGTCCACCGAAGGGAGTTAAGGGGAGTGTGAGTGTGCCGGCGGAGAGTAAGGGGACCGTGAGTGTTGGTAAGGGCGTTGTATGGGAGAATGGGGTGAGTAAGGGGTTGGGAGCGAGGTTTGAGAGTGGATATGTAACTGTGGATATCGATGGAGGGAAAGAGGTCACTGTTAGCGTGAAGTAAGGTTAAAAGTAAAGCATATATCACCAATGATCATAGAGTATCAATTCGTTTCCTTGCAATAGCCTTCTTAGCGAATTACATTGTACACCTTCCCTGTCTAATACTGTGAAATGTCATAAGATAATAAGTTTGTGCACACGCACTGAGAACCGTTTGGGGTGCCCCAGGGAGTTTCAAAAAACCTACCTTTGTAATCGCGAATGTCAAATTTGAAGTAGTGCAAGTTAGACTGCCTCTTGACTAACTAGCTGCTTACTAGCTGGGGTGCTCCTTACAGTAGTGTCGAGTGAGCAAGTCTTGATCTAAGCAGTGATAATTCCAAGTGCCTAGACTTATGACCGACCTAGTACTGCACTTCGACGAGTCCCCAAACTGCCCTCATCACAACCCCTCCACCCCATATCGTCCTACTCCCCTCCCCCCTCCCTCTCCCTCTCCCTCTCCCCCACCCTCCTCTCCAACCTCTCTTGAAGCCCCGCCCTCTCCGTTTTCTCCCCCTCTGTCTCCGTATACACCAACCTCCCACACGCCGGACAAGACTTCTCTCCCCTCACCTTCACCAAAAAGCAATCCCTGCCCACCACACACCCGCACGGCACCCTCACCGCCACCTCCCTCAGAAAATCCTCCACCACACCCCCCCACTCCCGAAAACACCCCCCACACACATCCCCCTCCAGCCGCTCCACCTCCACCCTTGGACACCTCTGATCAAACTCCGCGAAGAACAGCGTTCGTGTTGGCGTGATGTAGACATCCACTAGCACATCCCCTTTCTCCCATTCGAAGAGTAGGGTGCTGCATTTCGGATAGGCGTTGGAGGAGTAGAGGTGGTGCGCGAGGCAGTCGGCGCCGAGGACGCAGGAGCAGGGGAGGCGGGCGGGGGGTTCGGGGCGGAGCGTCGGTTGGTAGGGGTCTGTGGTCTTGTAGCGGCGGCCGCAGGTGAAGCAGGGGGGTTTTGGGGTCTCGCGGGGCGGGACGTTGGCGGGCCATGTTTTGGAGAAGGTGCTTCGGGAGGGGAGGGGGGATGGGGATGTGGTGGAGTCCTGGGGGAGCTTGGTTGTGGGGTTGGGTTTGGTGCGTTTTTTGGGGGGCATGGTGGTGGGTTGGGGGTTGATTGGATAGAGTAGACTTCGGGAAATGGGGGGTTATGTTGAGGTTGCTGAGGCTGTTGAGGTTTGGGGTAAATGGGAATGGGTTTATATGCGTTTAAGGGTGTTTGAATGAGACTGTCTTGGAAGCGTGTCGAATTGATTGCGTTGGCGGGTGGTTGGAAACTGGAGCGCGTTGATGAGAGCTTGCGTGGTCTATTTTTTCTGCTTGCGAGGTCACGTTGTTGAGACTTTTCCACGGGCTTCTTTATGGAAACTCTCGAAATAATTTGCGGGGCTGATTTATAGGATATAGGCTAAGGTACTAGCTTTAGACGCTTGATTCACCATCACTCCAATGACTGTCTGGAATGCTAGATACCTCCACGAGGTACCGTCGGCCAGTGACATTCGAATAAGGAGTGAATGAGAATGAGTTCGATTTGAGGCGCAGGAAAACTTCCATTTGGGAAGCTCTTTGATGCCTCATTGAGGGACTGCATACAATGTTAACCATGAAGGGACTACATGCAGTTCTAGCCATTTAATTGTAGAGTGTAAAGCTTTACATTGGCTCTTGGGTTTTTATGGCACGTTGATGTACCTCATGCGGTGGCACGCACGCTGAGAATAAGCATTCAAAAGCGCGCTTAATTCCTACAGTGCGGAATATTACATTGCCTCTATGGGATTTGTATGATGTTGAAGCACCACAGACGGTGACAAGCACTTGAATCTTGAGCCTTCGAAATGAAACTTGGTTCGGACAGTGATAATACTTATATTACACCCTTAATTTTACGATACGCTGAAGGACTTCAGAGAGTAGTGAACATGCGCAGAGAAGAGATTATACCCACCAGCTTGATTAGTGTGTAGTAACTTTATAATCATGGAGAGAATTTGAAAACGGTGTTGAAGGGCGCCATGTAGTGGCGAACAGGTGGAAAAGTAATATACATTGACAGGTCCCAAGTCAACGCACACGCGTTTACCGCTGCTTGGGGTACCCCCATGGCATCTCAAAAACCTAGGCACAATGTCAAGTTATAAGTAGTGGATATTAGACTACCTCTTGACTAACTGGCTACTTACTAGCTGGGCTACTCCTTACAGTGGCAATGAGTGAGCAAGATTAGAGTCAGGCAGTGATAATTCCGTGTGCCTAGACTTATGGCCTAATATACAGTGACAGGTTATAAGTCTATGCACACGCGTTTACCGCTGCTTGGGGTGGCCCCATGGTATTTCAAAACCCTAGGCACGATGCAAAGTCACAAGTAGTGCAAATTAGACTGCCTCTTGACTACCTAGCTACTTACTAGCTGGGCTACTCCTCACAGTGGTGATGGTTGAGCAAGATTGGAGTCAGGCAGTGATAATTCCCGTGCGCAGACTTATGGCCTACTGTCAAATCGGTTATAAACACATCTTCACGATCAGGAGAACACAGTTAGGGGTGCCTTGAAGACCAACCCCAACGTCAAGAACAGAGCATGGCAACTTCAATATAGAGACACCGAGTGGTATTAGCTACTCCTACACTTTGAATGCACGTGTCGTGACGCTTATGCCCCAACTTCCCCAATCACCACCCTCTCCTCCACCCCTCCAAACTTCTCCCAGTCTCAACGCAAGCGTCCACCAGGGAGAACCCTGAACCCCGGCTGACGACGCTCCGAGTGCTCTTCTCCCTCATCATCCACCTTTTGTCGCCACGTCACCTCCTCCACCGCAAGCCGTTCGTCCGCCTCCTCCCTCAGCAACCGAGCGTTTCGGGCCTCTTTGGCGCAAATGTTGAACACCAGCCCATCCCTCTTCCTCTCTGCCACCACACGCCGCGCCTCACGCTGGATACGCACACGTTCCGCTTCAATCGGATTGTCCGGAAGTTTCTCGGCAGCGTCGCGGCGGTCCAGTTCCTTCTGCTCCACATCGTGTGCCCCCAACAGCAGCCGCTGTGCTTCTATTTCGTCAAGGTTGGCCATGCGCATGTGATATAGCGTGTAGACGCGTCGTAGGTGGGCATTTTCTTCCGGAGAAGCGGAGCGGCGAGGGTAGACACGATTCGGGTCGTAAGTGTGCGAGTCTTGGGCGGCTTCGGCGTCCTCGCTGTCACTAGACTCCTCGCTGTCACTAGCCATCTCGATGTCACTGGGCACCTCGTCGTCGCGATTGTACCACGGGGGTGCGAACAACACGGCCTTGCACATCGGGCACGCGTTGCGCTGTCCGTCCCCGGTGGTGTAGCGCTGGTTCGTTGGCATGATCCATTGTCGGTAGCATTCTGATCCGAAGGTGTGCTCGCAGTGCTCGATCCGTATGGCATGCTCGGCAGGCGTGTCGTTGTCGGTGGTGCCATATTCTAGGTGGCAGATCGGGCATTCGGGCTCTTTGGGGGGGTTCTCATCGTCGCATTCGGTGATACCGTACCTGAGGAACTCTCGCTTCGAGTACATGCCTTCGGGTAAGTCCGAGTCATCGTCCAGATCCGAGTCATCCTCTTCGTCAATGAAGTATGGACGACGACATTTTTTGCATCCATCGCACTGAACGGCTGGGCCTGTATAGGTATAGAGAAAAGTGAAGCACTGAATGCCGGCTGGCCCTGTGCTCTGGCCGAAAGAGGCGGTGTGGGCAGGAGGTGACATAGACTGGTCACCTTGGTGGTCGTGTTGGTGACTAGAGGAGCTGTTGCCAGACTGCTGTTCAGGCACATAGCTGCTCGACTGGGGCGGGGAGACCATCGTGACAATGATGTGAATTGTCGATCAGGAAGGTGTAGTGGATGAAGTTGGGCCAAGGATCGTGAAATGTCGGAGGAGGTTTGTGAAGTGGACCAGGCTAGCGAGTGGGGGCCCGTCCTACAACACAACATCTGTTGCTAGGCGGGAGCGAGTCGCAAGCTGCAGCAGTCCACTCGAACTGACGGCGCTGGAGCCTATTCACCTACCAGTTTCCACACCTACGTGCACATAGACGAGCCGTGAGTCTCATCAGCTTGAACAAAGTGTCGATAGCTCTCCCTCTCTCCAACCACCAGACACAGTATATCCTGGCAGACGCCACACCTTGAACCACCTCCGAGATGCCCGACTTCAAGAAACTCGCCCGCATCTTCTCGCCCCGTGCCACCGAAATAGAAGACAACGACGGCCCCTCCCGCTTTCTCCCCCTCCCCTCCGTCACCCCAACCACCTTCTCCTCCTCCTACTCCCTACTGCGCCGGTTGAAAGAAGGCGAAAGCGGTGACATTTCCCTCTACACGCACCAAACGAGCCTTCAATCCATCGTTGTGAAGCCCGTCAAGAGCGTCCACCCCAAACAGCCCCTTGAATACTCGATCCTAGAGATTTGCAAACATTGCACCAACATCGTCACCGTTCTCGGCCTCTGCGCGAACGTTCCGAACTCAAACACCGATGCAATCCTTCTAGAGTACTGCAAGCACGGCGACTTGTTGGAGTACCAGAACCTCTTCGTCGACAACAGCGTCTACCCGACAGAGCGCACGATGAGGGTGGTCTTTCGGCAGCTTTTGCAGGCACTCGCGTTCCTACATAACGGGGTGGGCAGCGGGACAGATACGACGAGGTGGAAGCCGATCGTTCATCGTGACATCAGGCTCGAAAATGTGCTAGTTTCCAAGCTGGATGAAGGGGCGGAGGGCTCGTTGCGGGACATCGTGGAGATTAAGCTCACCGACTTCGACCTCGCCAAAAGATATAACAAGAAGGATTGCACCGTCCAGCGAGGTGCAGGCTCACCGGTGTGCTGGCCCCCAGAGCAGACGCTACAGAAGCGCCAGGCTAAGCCGCGTGGTGATGTTTGGGCAGTTGGGGCCGTCATACACGCACTCGTGCACTGCACGTACCCTCTGAAGGATGTGGTGGAGTACAATGAGCAGTTTTTGCGGAACTATGCGGGGAGATATCCAGCTGAAATTGGAGAGGAAGAGCGCGATAACACCTTAAGGGAGAGGTGGTACTGGGAGGCACTGGTGCCGCGCGAAGTTACCCCCTTTATGAACGCCATAGATGGGTACGATGGGTCTGGAGCTCGCGTGGATCGAAACCTGCCCCTTTGGCAACTAAGAGTGGCGGAATAGCGCCCAGTGTACAGTCAGGAGTTCAGCGACCTTGTAGGCTGCGCTTTAAAGCCGAAGGAGGAGAGGAAGACGGCTTTGGAGCTTCTTGGTGATATGTCCAACATGCTCAATGTAGCGACCTAGGGGCCCTGGATTGAGCTTGGTTGATGAGGAGTTATGCACCATAGCTGCAGCGCCCGTGGGGTCCTCGGCGGTGCCAGAAGGGTGCCAAATCTTAGATATATAGTTTCGGAATAAGACCTACGGAAGTGCGCATTTGAAAAATTGAATTGAAACGTGACTACTTGAGATTGAGAGGCGAAATTGACACAAAGTTGACGAGTTTGATGAGTATGTGAAGATGGCTCCTATAAGGACCGGAGAAGTAAAAGTAGACATTTTCAACTCCTGATTTATGTCGTATGGAACAGGTTCTTTTAAATCGAGGCTAAATTCAGCACCTTTCGTCCGGAGCCCCTGACATCAAGGTTCACTGCTCAGGTGGCTGCTTGGTCAATGCGTCTGAGCATGCCTTGGTCAACTTTTTGATGCCGTGTTCACGGCGTCGAAGCTAGTCCTGGCAGATCAGAACTACGCACCCGATACACTCGAAGCCTAAGCCGCGGATTCTGACCACCGGAAATAGCGAGCCGATATGACCAAGGATTCATACGAAAGTGCAGGCCTGGTCAATGCGTTTTGGCGTGGCTTGCTCAACATATTGATGCTGTATGCACGACCTCGACACCAACTCTAGCAGACCAGAACCACAAACCCGAGACCCTCGAAGCTTGAGCTCCAGATTCTGACCACGGAGATTGCGAGTCGGTACGACTAAGGTTTAATACGTCAACAGGTTTTAGCGTAGCTCACTGGACATTTTGATGCCGTTTGCACGACCTTGACACTAGTCCTGACAGACCAAAAGGCCACACTCAAGACCCTCGAAGCAGTAGCCCGGAATACTGGCCACCGGAAACAGCGAGCCCGTTATGTCCAAGAGCCGAAACGAATATGCTAGCCTAGACAATTGGCGCGGCTTAATCAACATTTTGGTGTCATGTGCACGATTTTGACACCAGTCCTGACAGATCAAGATATCACACCCAACATCCTGGAAGCAGTACCATAGAGTTCTGACTTCCGGATTTTAAGAGTTTGATATGACCAAAATTCGATAGGAAAGAGCTAGGACGAATACGGAAGATGCGAAATGACGGCGGATTGAATATTGAAATGCACCGGACCGTAATCAGGATGAGAGACAAGAGAAAAAGTCTTCGCAACACACCAATATGTGGGTATCCTTCATGATACTTCCAGGTTATGCCAGGATACCGAAAAAAATCAATGAAAAGAGAGGTGCACACTAAACGTACTTACGAGCCATGCCTAGATGGCTTCCTAGAGACAAAAGCAGGGAGAAAAAGACAAAAGCAGGGAGAAAAAGATAAAAGAAATTGGAAGCTAGCTCGCACAAGGATGCGCTACATTTCGGATACGGGACATTAAGGAGAACAATCTTGGACCAAGTGGATCAAGTTCTCCAGGGAAATTTGGCCGCGTCATGCCATCGATGCAGCCAATGCTGTCCGAGAGCTGTCTACCGATCCGCAGAACACTTTGGAGTTGCTCTAAAAGCCGAGAATGTACCTCGCCATGAGCGAGGGTTTATCTCAACTACCCGGTAGCCATTGGCTCAGGAGCTTTGGAGCTGATCTGTAATCCTGCATTCCCGACTGGGAACTCTCCCTCGAGGCATCGTCGCTGTGTACTGCGGTATTACCGAGGCCCTGAAGTCCCGTCTTATATAGACGAAGCTCTCAAGAAGGCGAACTTGCAGGTGGCTGTATGACGATGAATCGGGGAGTGCTGTCTCTCAATGGAAGCGAGAAAAAAGTTTCAACCAGGTGGATCTGGTCTTCAAACAGAACTCGGCCGCGTCATATCATGGTTATACCCAACCCTCCCCGAGAGTTGTCTTCCAGTCCACAGAGTGCTTTACAGTTGCTCTAGAAGCCTGAAATGTCCCTGGCGTGCTAGCCATGGGCGAGGGTGTATCCCGACGACTTGGTATGGCCTCGGAGCTCTGGAGTAGTTATATTATCCTGCGGTCTCGTCGTTGTCTACTAGTGTATTCCCGGGGCACCTGATTTCCCGTTTTGTATGGATACTAGGCCTTCAAAGCCCTCCAAAGGTCCATTTGGGCTGCACGACGATGAAACCGGGAGTTCTGTCGTAGAATGTGCGCGGTCGGGTATAGCCATCATTCCAGCCTAGTCTTCTCTATCCGCTCTGGCATCTACACGTCTCTATATCATCTTTCAGGGTCGCGTCATTTCCGCTGGTACTACTAACACGTCCGACGTGTGTGGGTTGAGGAGTGCGATCGGGGTGGTCGGGCGAAGGATTGAGGACTTCTTCATCTCCGACAGGGCAAGCTTCGGTCGCAAAGATAGGCACCGCATCGTGTCTTCGGTACGGTTGCTAGCGAGATAAGGTCCAAGACATGCAGGCTGATGTTGCTGGTGTTCTGGGTATGGAGAATAAGGAAGGTGGTGTTGAAGCGCCAAAAAAGAAACACCATCCCGCGATTTTTGCCAAGCTAGACTTCTGCCCTCTTCAACACCAATAACCTCATCGCACAGCCTCTGGCTCTTTTGATTACACACAGTCTGGAGTCTATCGAATAATAAACGCCGGACCGAGATGAACAAGCACTTTTGCGCTATGGTTACCGCGAAAGTTTGTACGGATCGTCTTACTTCACTCCGCTTCCCACAAACATCAATACGAAGGCGGCCCATCCTTGAGAGAACGCCATAGGTCATATCTCTGTAGCAGATTAAACAGGGTGTTGTGCTAGGAAATCCCTGCGATCAGTTCCTATGGCCTAAATTCATGAGCATCTCCCTCTCCTCGATCTCCTCGCGCCGACGAAGAAATACCTTAGCTTCGCCGACGAGAATCTACACATTGAGGGGGAGAGCAGCACAACTGCGGCGCCGAATCATGAAGCATCAAGCCATACTACTTACTGGTCCATACAGTCCAAATACAAACAGAATTACAGCTCGAGCGACCGTCCTCCTGCACCCACCCCTCTCGAACCGACCGACCCATCCCCTCAAACGCCTCCCTCCGGTCTATCACGCAAGCAACTAGACGCTGCCCACAGGCGCATCACTCGTCGAACTATCTGCAATCCTCCTGGACATGTCCGTCAATCCCATCAACTCATAACAAATCCGTGGTTGATCATAGTTGGGAATCCATCACCACGATACCCCACTACACTTGGGCGAATCTGAGGATACCAGCAAATTATAGTTTCCCATGGGGTAATACAGGCGTCGATGGTGGTTGTCACGATGGTAACCGCGTTCGAGTGGTCGGCGAGAAAGACGAAAGTTGCAGTACTCCAGAAAGCGCTGTGCTGGGGCCACAGCGATGGTTGTGATGGCGCCGTTAATGAAGGGATAGTCGTGAACTAGTGTGAGAGATGAGGATTTAACTGTCGTGCCTCTCGCTACTGCTTGGTGAAGCATCTGCTGTGGTGGTCGTCGACGAGGATGTCGAAGATGTGGATACAGTCACAAGTCCGGCTGACGATGAAGAGCTCGCATAACTCGCTGCTTGAATTGAAGCAGCTGCCGCTGACGCAGCCACAGCTGAGGCAGTTCTCGAGGTATTTGTTGATTTCCGGTTCGATGCCGCGAGCGCGGCTCCCATGTCTCCAGCACCACCTCCGACGGCCATGACGATGGCCAAGGAACCAACGAGTATGAAAAAGGTTCGTTGCCGCAAACCGCACAGCTTATCTTGCTTCTCGGTCATTTCTTGAGTTGGCTGCTGGTAGAGTTCCAGTGTCGGATGCTGGACGTAGTGGAGACCATCGTAGGAACGATGCTTCGATTCTGAAGCTGGTCCGCGTGCAGAAGTAAGGCTCAAAATTGACATACAGTAATTATAGGAGCCGAACACTCCACTACATGTTCCTTTCCTTCATTGAAAATCTCCATAATGACCTCAGGAATTTCCACGTCCAAAAGCACCTTCGAACTCAGGGTTGGCGACGACCCATATTGCTCCTAGCTACATGGTCAGCTACTAATGCACGCCACCACGCCGTCAGAGCCCTGGTGTTAGAGTGCATTAATCAACAGGCTAGCGGGAGTGTCACGTCGAACTAAGAGACTGGGAAGAGGGTGTGGCTGAAGCATATCTACACCATGCTTGTGGTATTGGACTTTTCTTCGCAGTCATTAGTCTGATACATCAACTGATCACCAAGCTTCAACAAACTGCAAGGTAAATAAAAATCAGACATGAATGATACAGCATACAGGTTTCAGCCTCCAAGCCCGCAACCTGTGCGCATAGTTCTGCGATCAAAGCTGATCGATCGCGGCACACCCACTCTTCATTACCAAAATACTCACCTTACTAGTACCTTTTCCAGCTTTTAGTACGGTTCTCCCACATCCTGCTTTCCTGAAAATCAAGTCGAATAGGAGTCAACACCGCAAAGTTTGCGCTTTTTACCGGTTTCTATCATCTTGCCTTGGCCCCTGCTCGTTCTAAGCGGTCTCATCCTGCGGTTGGTCCGGGACTACCTTGGGGTCGTTGGGCCTGGACAGCCACACTTATGTCGCTTCCATTTCGCCCTAGTCACACGACTCCGTAAAAGCTGTTAGTAGGTATGACCAAGAATTAGATGTTCATTGGAGTACCTCTCTGTAGTTGCACAACAGTAACGAGGAAGATGATAGACTATCCATCATGAACTACATAAAGGGGATTTGCCTACACTTCGTATTGACATAGTTGGGGTTCTGGCGTTCAACGTGGGGTCCCCTCGCAAAAAGATCAATGATTTGCTTGGCATGAGGAAAGCAATCACCGCTCATTGACTTGGGTCACGTGCTATGCCCTCCTTCTAAGGTTCGCTATTGAGGTAAGCCTTCACTGCTTTCAACTACACTCCAACTAATACAGAACTCTATGCAAACTCCAGTTCCGTCGAAAGGAAATCACGTGATGACGTCGCATCTCAGAACAGGGTTACATTACCTCACCAAACCCACCAAGCCTACGTAGCTCTTATTCGACCTTCAACCCGCAAAGCATTGGATCAGTCTTTGTTATTCACGGTCTCGCCGTGTCAGGTTACCATTTCCCACGCAAAAAGGCTTGCACCTTCCTCTCTAGTGCTTTGACGTAATACGAATCGAGCACGCAATACGATCCCTTCATGCCTCATTGCCGCCGTCTCACCACGAACTAGATTTTTTTTTTCCGTGGGAGGCTTTGGTTAAATATGTTCCCTGGTCCTGCCTTTGGAACTCCGCACTACTTATTGGACATCCTAGGGCTGCCAACATGTCGTCGAGCAGACCCACTGAAAATATTGCGGGGATACATGAGCTAGGCCACGAGTCACCTGACCTCGAGGACTTGAAGACAGGGTATAATGTTGATGAACATGGAGGCCATCATGACCATGTTATCGTTGCCGACCGCCTTGCGCGGAAGCTGTCTGCTAGGCAGGTACAAATGATCGCGATCGGTTAGTACTCCTCCATGCTTCATTGTTTTAGAGGCTAATATCTTCCCCAGGTGGAACTATTGGCACAGGTCTCTTCCTGGGAACTGGCAAATCCCTCGCAACTGGTGGTCCAGCTTCCATGCTCATTGCCTACATGATTGTCGGAGTTATCGTTTTCCTGACCATGCTAGCCCTAGGCGAGATGGCTGCGTTCATTCCAGTAGCAGGAAGTTTCTGTACCTTCGCTGGCCGCTTCGTGGACGACGCATTTGGCTTTGCCTTGACTTGGAACTACTGGTTCAATGATGCTGTCAGCACGGCAGCTGATTTGGTTGCGCTTCAATTGATTCTGGAATACTGGACTACCAACTTCCCCGGCTGGGCATTGAGCTTGATCTTTTGGTTTGCATTGATCGCGGCAAATATCATCACAGTCAGGGCGTATGGAGAATTGGAGTACTGGCTCAGTCTTCTAAAAGTCGTCACTATCACCGTAAGCCACCCACTCTCCAAAGACGCCCTCAAAAGACGAACTCAATTCTAACAAACACGAGATCTTCATGATCCTCGGCATAGCCGTCAACTGTGGCGGCAACCGCGACCACAAATACATCGGCGCCAAGAATTGGTACATCGGTGATGCCCCCTTCGTCGGCGGCATAGGCGGCTTCGCCTCCGTCTTCGTGACCGCCTCCTTCGCATACGGCGGCACGGAATCCATCGCCATCACGGCCGGCGAAACCAAAGACCCCACCAAGAACATCCCCCGCGTGGTCAAGAACGTCTTCTGGCGCATCCTAATCTTCTACGTCATCTCAGTCCTGCTCATCGGCCTCAACGTCTCTTACCTGACTCCGAAGCTCTCCACCAAATCCTCCGCTACTAGCCCCTTCACGCTCGTGTTCCAGATGGCTGGCTCGAACGCCGCGGGCAGCTTCATCAACGCGGTGATCATGACGAGTGTGCTATCGGCTGGTAACCACGCCCTCTTCGCCGGCACGCGTCTGCTCTACACGCTCGCGGTCAACCGCCACGCACCCCAGGTCTTCGGCAAGCTAAACCGCAACAAAGTACCCTGGGTCGCTGTGCTCGCCACCAGCATTATCTCTGGTCTCTGCTTTGGTGCCTCCTTCATCGGCGCGGGCCAGCTCTGGACTTGGCTGCAGAACATCGTGGGCGTCTCCAATCAGCTCTCCTGGATCGCGATCGGGATTGCCTCGATCCGCTTCCGCGCGGGACTCAAGCACCAGGGGAAGACGCATTTGCTACCGTTTAAGAACTGGACGTATCCCTATGGACCATGGTTCTCAGTCATCTTGAACAGCTTTCTAGTGCTCGTGCAGGGCTGGAGTTGCTTCAGTCCCAGTTTTAGTGGAGTGGATTTCGTGAGCTATTACATTGAGCTGCCGGTTATGGCGTTGATGTTTGTGGGGTGGAAGTTGTTGAAGCGGACGAAGTTTAAGAAGGTCGAGGATATGGACTTTGAGACGGATGTGTATGAGAGGCAGCCGGGAGAGGAGAAGCTGGATCGGAAGGGATGGAAGGGGAAGCTTGAGACGGCTGTGAGGTGGATTTTCTGAGGATATACCACCCGGAAATTGTTTTAGTGTAACTGCCTGGAGTAAATTTGCATCTATTAGATTTATGTTGCAGGGTTGATTTTGAGATGACTCCGTTGGGTCGCGGTTTATTACGGACGAGACGGGGAAAGCGCCAAAGCCAGCTAGCGCAAGCTTCTTAGACTCATCATCAACAACTAACCACGCGGGGCATGGAAAAGGTGGCACACTAATTCTACAGCAAGTGTCTCTTGTGTACACCTGTCTACCACTGCTTGGGTTGCTTCAATGTATTTTCAGGGATCTAAAGCAGATAGATGCTCTTCATCTTGGGCTATGTGGAAATTTGTTGAAGCACTCCATGCAGTGGCAGACAGCTGTATATACGGGCAGAGTACTTGATGAATGTGCCACTTTTTTCGTGCCTAGCGTGCTAACATCTCTCATCACTAACACCGCCATGTTAGGATTATCATGGGGCAAAGACACGACCTAGTCTACTCTCGAGGCGGAAGGGCTGACGTGAAGGCGGCCTGGGGAGACGCCATCAGTACTCATAAGCAAATCCCCACCGGAGCACCTCCACACCCACCAGCCAATCCTGTAAAAGTCGCTTTTGAGATTGATCGAATCATCGATTCAATAAGAATACGAAGTTCGCAAGCCTTCCAAGGCTGTGCTGTAGCATGTTGCTCGCTAAGGAGTTCCTCGAGATTCAGCTGCATGACAATTCAGCCTAACCGACGACACCGCCAGCAACAACTTCTTGGTCTCTTGCGGCTCGTGGCTGAATCGTTTCCGCGTCATTCTTCGCATTCTATTTCTTGCCTGGACGATATCCAAACCATGGCGGAACCTCTCAGCATCACCGCCAGTGCCCTCACGATAGCCGCAAGCACTGCCTTTGATCTCAAGAAGGGGTTTAGCAACTATCAACACGCTACCGATACCCTAGACAGTATCCGAGATGAAATCGATGTCATTACAGGTGTACTAGAAACCATTTCAGAGGGTTTAACATCTCATTCCCGAACTCTGGAAACCCGCGGGTTCACGCAACGGTTCTTGGACACCCTTGATGGCTGCCACGATGCAGTCACTCAGATCAACTCCGAATTCGAGAAAATAACGTCTAGTCTCGAATGGTGGACCAGAGTGAAATCTTTGTGGAATGAAACAGAAATGTCGAGACTCCTTTCTCAACTACAGCGGCGACAGAACGCTCTCTCCTGGCTACTGAAAGCTCTAGACCTGTAGGCTGGTCTTCTTTACCGTATCAGCGATTCCATAAGTGTATCCATAGTAACTGAATTATGATCCATAGACATGCTACTATTACCCTCTCGCGCCAGGTTCATGCAAACATCGCTCAGCCTCTGCGACCAGTCTATGTATCCACTCGAAACCCGGACTGGGAAAATGCATCAGCCGTGGGTTCAACAGTCGGTGTATTTGGAGGTAACGATACGATTGCTTCCACCACAGAGTTCGACTTCGATGAAGAGATTACTCTGGACGGTCCCTACTTGCAAGCCCGATCAGCAATCATAAACGAGATAACTGATGGGTCTCACCAGCAGAATGATCTAAGGCTTGAGCCAATCAAAGAGCAAGAAGAAAAGGGACCTTCGCTAGTTGCTCAACGTGGAGCAGCATCGCTATCTGACCTTTCATCTTCCGGCTCTTCTGAAGCTTCCTCTTCACCAAGCCCACCAATATCGGGATTACGCCAGCATACTCCAGTCACTAGTAACGAAAGCGGGATAGAACCAACGTACTATACCGACGATGGCTTTAAGGCTTTGCATTTTGGTACGTCATTGCAAGCTCATCTTTTTCTGCTCATCATTCTTTCATAGAATCGACACGCCTAATGTCCTTCTAGCTCGTGCTCGGTACTGGCATAGGGCTCAACGTCCTAACGAGATCTCGTTTTCAAAAGATGGCATTCTCGTTGTTCTAATGTTGCAGGGCGATGAACAGTGGGTAGCACAGGTTGTTGGGAAGAACCAAGGGTCGGGGCTTGTGCATATTAGTAATCTACTGTGGCCAGTTGATCAAGACGGCAAGGAGCTTCCATCAACGCGGCTTGGTTATCAACTTGATGGCATGTCAGGCGGTCAGGACAGGGGCACAGTGACAACGGCCGTGCTAAAATCTCACGATCGAAGAATATTCCCAAAAGAGTTTACGCCTGGATCAAACACTTCGTTCTTCGATCTATTGGGGTCAACCGAAGTCATCGATCTCGTAGCTTCGCTCCGAGCTCAATCACCGTCGTATCTTAGTCATGACCTATACGATGACGATTTAAAGCACATCGCGGCTACGTTTGTCGGTTGTTACGACCAGCTTGTGAAAAAAATCATTTACCGAAGTTTTCACGAAGACTAAGCAGTTACGATGGTATCTCACCCTACCAGGGAAATACGAACTTCTCTCGAAAAGTCTCGCAGGATCCAGACGGTGATGGCGACTGGGAAGCAAGTGAACCATAGAGAAACGGGTTACCAGGTGAATACTTCTACGACACCATAACCGCTCCGACCAATGCTGGAGCGAGAACAGCACTCCTTCTACCGCCTCCTCGGCGACCTGATACTAAAACATCTCGAATACTGCCCTATTACCCTTGGGGGGATACGTTAACGCTCTATGTGAGGTTTGCCGTCATTATTACGTGGCTCGAGCGGGCTGGTACTGCAAGACGTGCGGAAAACGAGTGTCTTGTACCAAATATCGGATCGAAACATGCACAGATGCGACTATTGCAGTGAGGGATGTTGAGTGCATTCAGTGCGACGCTGGAAATATGCGGTATGATATTGTCGTTGAGTACTACATCCACGGCAACGATGTCCGAATCGTAAAGGATGTGAAAGATGGACGAGGGTGTAGTTCCAGTTTGGGGTTGAGGATTGTAATGCGTGTGCCAATAGTCGTACCTGGACGCCCGCGGGGCCGAGTACGCGGAGAGCGCTGGTGGAGAGCGGGCCCGGGTATGAGCTGTATTATTTGAATGCGCCAGCAGAGCTAGTGAATCGGGAGAGGAGAATTGGGATTAGGTAATAACAGGTATGATGAACATCATTTCTTTAGACTGGTTATTACTACTAAACTCGGCTGACCGTATTACTAGTTACCCGCATCTTTTCCTATGCTCACGTACTAGATAGCCGATCTTGACTTTATTTTGCAAGCCTAGTACGTTTGACGAAATGCATACCGACCTGCAACGAGACCCTAGCTCTCAGTCTTAACCTGAGCCGCTGCGAAGAGCATGACTTTTTCCAATGCCAAAATCCTATTCTTCTCTTCACCTAAACAACTCATCTTCTTGGACAGCTTGTTGAAACCCTCTGCGAAGGCATTTAGCATGTCGCAACCTTTCGCTTCCCGTGCCATCTTCTTTCCAATCGTAGGTACAATGTACTCAAACCAGTCCAAACCGCCCTCCTTATAATACTTGTGTGCAAGCGGTCTTCTCTGATCCCTTGACATGTAGTTGAGCACCTTTGTGCTAGCGTCCTCTAAAATATCTAACTAGGCGGTGCGCTCATCCTGCTCGGAGGCGGTGTCATAAAGCTCACATAGGATCACAATTTCACGGAACCATGGTTGTTCCGTGTCAGATTCCTTGAAGTTGCAAGCTATCTCCTCATACATCTCAGACTTGAACCTTTCGTCGACAACTTCGAACAAACGACGGTAGAGTCGCGCGGACGTCCGAGCCCAACCGATGCCAGTCCCTTCCTTCGATTCGATGGGCGCGGATCCTGTCATGATAATCTCGGCGGCGCTTCTCACTGGACTCTCCCCTTCTTCATCCTTGTGACCAGAAATGTCATGTCTGTAAACATCGCACGCCATGATCTGGGCGAATAACGTAACAGAGCTATCCGGAAGAGTGTCGTTGGCAACATCATCAGCCCAAATTTCCTGCATGACTTTCAAGTAAGCGTCGATGCGATACTCGAACGAATCGAGATCCTCGTCTATCTTAGCGAGTCTGTAGTCACTCCATGGTAGGTATCGAATGCTGGTGTTATTCTTGGACATTATGTTAACTTATGAATTGCTGATTTGGGAGTAGGGTATTGAAGACAGTCAAGTCGTTCGAGAAACACGTGTCTGAGTGAGCGTTTCTTCAAGAGGCCCAGGTCAATGTACTTGTTTTATATCCTGAAAAATGCCGCCAAGAGCAAACTTCAACGTCTTAGCTTTCTGAGTTCTCAACGTCGTCAAATCACGAGCATCAATCACCTGAGATCGGACAGCAATAGCAGGACGTAATAGGTTATCACGTTCTATATGCTTGATTAACCTCATGACTAGACTCATACATCAGATCCCCATTAGAAAACGCCGCAGCAACCACATCGATCCCCTCCTGATCTTCACAAACGCACAAGCTGCGCTTGAATACCACTGATATCTAGATTGAGGGTAGTAACTAGTTTGGCGCATCGGACATCGTCACATTCTCCATCGCCCCCGTAACCTCCACCACCTGCATCCCTTCGGCAGACGCATCCTGCATTTTATTCACAACTCCATTGATTCTGTTGGTTTGTTGTTCCGAATATAGCTTTGTGTCCAGCATACCATGAACATTCTCCGCAAATTGGCGCAACAAGGCGCGTCCATCTTCGTCGTGGCCGATTGCGGACGCGATATACTCAAAGATATCCAAGAAGTCGTCGAATTCAGGTTTCCACGGAGCCACGCTTGCTAATATATCGTAGAAGCAAACTCCTGTCCTTTTCAATCCTCCCCACCAAATATGGCGATCCTGCTCATCGGAAAAGAGGTAAAGCTCGTACAACATGACGATTGCAGGATAAATCGAGGGTAAGAAGTCCCCTTCATCTAGCTCCATGGTAAAGAATATCTCTCGATGAAACCGCTCCCTGAACTTCGCGTCGACGATACGGTAGACACAGCGAAACAGTCGAGCGCACACTTTTGTCCTGTAATCGCTGCACTAATACATTCAGCCTCCGAGTTTCTTCAGAAGAGCATTGCCGCTTAGTGGGTACATCTCTCAAATGTTCCAGAAAGTCGAACAAACAGCCTCGACCGTCCTCCTCGTCTTGTCCCATTTTCTCGACGGTTTTGTTGCAAATGTACTCAATGAAGTCCAAGTACGGACTATCCAGGTTCAAAGCAAACAACCTGCACAACGCAGTACAAGCTTCACCCACTTCATCCAGCCAACTGCCGTCAGCCGACGAATTGTAGAGGTGGCATAAGGCAACGATGACGGCAAACCGAACAGTACGGGGTCCATCTGGATCTGATTCCCACGTCTTTATAACGTCGTAAATTGTTTCCACAACATGAGGGGCGCAGTTCTCATCAACGGCTTCAAAGAACTCAATAATGAGATGAACGTAAGCGTCGGTCAGGCTCACGTCCGCTGGCAACGTTGGGAAGCCCTCATTCCCGGCATTTGTGAAGAGGCTGCGGCAGACAGCTTTTGCACTCGTTTCCATATTCCTGGCTTCGGAATCCCCGACTTCGGAGTGAACGTAGACCTCGCGAGCCAGCAGATTCGCAAAAAACGCGATGGTTTCTTCAGAAGGGATGGCCTGGATCCAAAGCTTCGAGACCATCTTGAACGTGTCTTTGAGGCGGCTCTCTAGGTTGGCGATAGCAGGCGCCGAGGTAGAGTAAAGGGGTTCAAAGCTCGATGATAAGCACCGATTTGTAGCTTGGGGGGCCGACGATGCAGCGTTGGCTAATGTTGGACTGTTCTCGGACATCGGAATGTCGTCTGAAGAGGTATTGGGTGGATCCATCAGGAGTGGGAAGAGAAAGGTTGAAGATTCTAAGGGCGATGGAATTGGAGACAGTTCTGACTTATAACCCAGCAGCGGACATTCAAGATCATAATTGCAATCTGCTTACTCGTAGAAATGGGAAGGCTTGCGGCAGGCAAACTCAGTGAATTCGGATTCCCTTCACTTCGCAATTTATCTGATGAAAGGCAATGATATGTCTGTTACGTATCAGACATCCCTCAGTGGCGAATGTCATCCCATTTTCACATCTTCCATCGCCCCTGAAATCACCATAACCTCCGGCCCACCCACAGACGCCTCCTTGATTCCTTTCAGCAGCTCCTCAACTCTCCTCCGCTGCTCATCAACTGGAGAGTCCTCGAATCCCAGCTTCTGCGTTAAGTCCATAGATGTTCCCCAATCCTGTGCAGCAAGGTCCGACCTGATTCGTCTATGGCAATAGTGCAAGCAATGTACTCGAAGCAACGCAGAAGATACTTGTTCCATACATCCCAGCACTCCATCAGCTTGCAAAATGCCAAGGCTGTTCTCTGAAGTGCGTTCAGCTAGACCCGATGATCCGACTCGTTATGGAGACTGAGGGAGGACAGCTCGCACATGATAACAGTATCTGTGAGTCGATTTTCGAGTGCAACTTCGGTGTTGTCCATGGCTTTTGTATCTTCCCATTTTTTGACATCATCGAGAATAGCTCGCTGCAGGTCATGTGTGTGCTCCGGGTTCGCAACTTGACAGAGCCGGCGAAGTAGGCGGGCTTGTACCTTCGATAAGCGTATCGCGGTGGCTTCGTCGAAAAGGTGCCCGTCCCGGTCACAAAAATGCCTGAGAACTGCCACCCCAACAACATTTGCGCCATTTCTCCCATGAAAAGTTCCTGTAGGGTGAGCATCTTCGTTAGCTAAGGTAAGCATGTGTATGTCATAGGCGAGAATATGGGCGACGAAGTTGATAGCGTCGTCATTTAGAGTATCGGCAAGCTCTGGAAATACAATAGAAGTGTAGCCCTCTAGACGAGAGTCAATGTCTGCTAAACTCTCGCGTGACGCATAAAAGTCGTGGTCTTCCCACGATATGGTCCGCATAGTGGTATGCGTTAGTTGAAGACGGCGCGAATAGCTAGTAGAGAAGTGATGAAACTTCTAATACGCGGCCCACGGTTGGAGCTCTTGTAGATGCGGACGTGTCATTGAGCTCTGACCTAGAACTTTCTTGCTGCTTTTAGTAAAAACCGACCTACCTACAGAACCAAGCGGATTGCTCTCTATATCACCTTTCCTTTCCATAAGAACACTGGCTCCACCTCTTACACCCGACACCTCCGCGTCAACAACCTCAGATCATTCCCATCACACCATCATGGCCCAAGCACCCGAAACCCTTCCTGACTTTTCAGACCGCCTCTCAAACCTTTCCCCAGCTCTCCCAGCCCTTCTATGGAACGCCCACGACGACGTTCTCCGATTCCACGCCTGCATCCTTGCCCGCGACATTGCCACCCACGCAACCGTAGATAGACACTATAGCGCATTCACCGTTGCGCGGATAGTTGTCCAGGGCGCTTCTTTGCCCTTGCCTGGAGAAAAAGAGACGGACCAGTTGGCAAAGATTTGCGCTAGGATATTCCGATACCTGTATGGCGAGGTTGAAGAGATATTCAAGTATGACCTGTATCGTGGAATGATTGATTTGGTCCAAACTGTCGAAGAAAAGGGTCCGGGGTTGGTTACGCACGGTACGATGCTCATGCTATGCGAGCTGTATGTGCTCGCTGATGATCATGATGATGTTGCGGATCGGAAGATTTGGTTTGATGGAATCCGGAAGGCAGGAGTGGGGCTGTGCAAATGGACTGAGGGAAAGAGGGAATGGAACGAGGATGTTCTGGAACTGTTATATTATGTTGAGTTTACGCTTGGGTGCAAGATGGGGGCGCAGAGAGAGGGGCGGGCTTTGCTGTTTGAGCTCTCAGTAACACTGAGGAGGCTTGCGGACACGTTGCCGGCGCCGAAGTCGGAGGAGTTGGTGAGGAAGATCCAGAGGAGGGTGGATGGGATGCAGAAGGTGTGTCTGTGGATGGACCAGGCGGAGATGGATGGGATGACAGCTGCGTTGCGGGATATTGGAATTGGATCAGTGTGACGGGAAGGATCTAGATAAGAGAGGCTTCATACTTACCAATGTAGAGGTGCTTTGGCGCCTCGCAGTCACCAGAATCGTGCCTTCTTTTGACATGTTGTATCCAGAAAGCAGGCTTCGTGACCAACCTACAAAGTCACACGCTCTCAGTTTCTTGTCGCCTCGAGATTGCTACAATAAGCAAGCAACTTTTAGTCGCGCTCGAACAAACATGAATTATTTATATACGTTCACTTGCTTCAGCAGACTCTCTCCTTTCATACCTTAACTTTCTTTTACTAGTCGTCACAAGTCAGTTGATTGTGCGATCAGAGAAGCAATGGCATCAAAATGGGCCGATCTATCCCCATTATCCTCGAATTCAGATTCACTTCTATTTCTAGCTCTCCCAAAAGCCGAACGTAAGAAGAAAAAGACTCTCGTTAGATTTGAGAATCGCTTAGAAGGCTTCTTCGCAAAACTGCCGCAGCTTTGGAAGGGTAACGTTAGTGATAAATCATTGCGTTCTACGCCCAAGTCCTCGCATATGAAATAGCGTCCACTCCACACTGGACGTCGAGTTCAGGGTCGTAGAAATGGTTGCGCGCATCATCAACAAAAGTTCAACGCATGTTGGTAACGTTTATGTCGACAAGAAAACCGACACGGACGTCCACTTTGTGAAACTATGCGGCCGGCTCTACTATTACCTGTATCGGGCTCTTGACGCGAAATCCTGCGCTGTCATGAGCAGTTGATGTTCGACGACATTCCAGAGCTGGAAGAGAACGTCGCACAGCCCGACCGCGTAGGGCCCTGGTACAGCTACGTCGTCTTGCTGTGTGAGTTGTATCTCGTGTCTGAGAACGAAGACGAGCGATCGACCTGGCGGGACGAAATCAGAAAGCTCGGGGATTTGTTGTGCAAATGGATGCTGCCCGGGCATCTGAGATAGAAGGACGATGCCTTGGACTTTTTCGAGCACATTCTTGCGACCGGTGTCCGAGGCTGGTGCAACACGAATTGGGACGCGCGGTATTGACCAAGTTTATGGAACGTCTGAATGGGTCGCTTCGGGCTGCGACGGTTGAGCGGGCTATTAGAATTGAAAAGGAGCGGGCGGGAATGAAGGAGGCGATGGAGAAAGTGAGGATGGAGTAAATGCTGGACGACGATCACGTGCTATTTTGCAGCACCCTCCGTCGCCATGCTCAACTATACCACAGGAAGGTTTCGCGATCCATAGAGAAGTTATATAGTTCCAATACTTGAGCAATGGAAGAGTGCGGCTGACAAGAATGAATGGTGGGGATGTCACGTGATGTTGACCTTTCGCCCAGTCGGACATCCCGAGACTCCCTGAAACGCGAAACTAAATTGAGGATAAACTTTGCAGATGTCTCAAAGAATCTGGAGAGAACCGTACATCGGCTTTCGCGTACCTTGGGGATCAGCTTGCATCCTTCGCAAGGTGTGAGGTTGGCTTTCTATTTTCATCGTCGTACAGCGTAGAATTACACACGCGGCTATGGCCCTTGGTTATTTCGCAACGACGAAGTCAGAACTGCTGACCAGCTGGCGCCACCCATGTGATGTAACCCAGGCGCAAAGCATGAAGCACAGCCTCACCCTTATGACGGGCCGTCATGTTGGCGGTGGAGGTCTACGCTCAGGAGGTGCAAGTCCGCGACACCACTCAGGCCCATCCGCCGACCGAATGGTCCTCGGGCGGTCTGAGCAGCGGCCGCTATGTGTTGATGGGCGGTGATGATTGGCGTAGGGCGCTCAGGGGCGGGCGGGAAAGGCGGCGGCTCAAACGCCCCACAGTGTCATGAAACCAAACGGAATTCGCACGCGGCCAACCACGACGTTGCGCGCGCAAACAGCTCTGCCCAGGGACCGCCCGCATGACGGAGCCGCAGGTAAATCACTTTCTAATGAGATGATCCCGCGATGTCACCGCGCTCGGGGGCGTCTGGAAGCGGCAGTACATAGTCCTTTACATAGTACCTACTCGGCCCCCGCCCGGCGCATCCTTCTCGCTGCCTACACCTTCACTGCTTCCTTTTCGTGACATCCTACCTTCTACTTCTCCCTTCATCCTTTTCTTTACCACGGAGACCGCAGGACGCCTCATTCATTCGGCCCTCTCTTCGCTGTCCATACTCTCTTTTCCTCTCATTGACACCGCCATTCGCTGGTGCTCTCTCTATTCACTCTTTGTCCACGTAGCATACTCTTTGTGCCTACACTAACAACTCTATTCCACCCCGCAACATCTTTGACGCCGCCCCGGCCGAACGTCATTGTTGGATTGTGGCCTTTGTACAATTTCCTTGGCATACGTTGAGTCTACATTTGTTGCTCGACGATAAAATATTCTTCTGCGAAGAATAGCCAACAACACACTCTCTTTGCAGACCATCTTGCATTTGCACGCCTTATACCCAACAAAACTCACCATGCATTTCCTCACCTCCACCGTTCTCGCCGGCCTGGCTGCCACCCTCGTGTCCGCGCAGACCTCGACCTTGTGCGATCCCACCAAGAAGACGTGCCCCAACGACCCGGCCATCGGCACACCCTTCACCTCCGACTTCAAGACTGGCCGCGACTCCCTCGAGGGCTGGAAGATCACCGCCAACGATGTCAACTTCGTCGATGCCGGCGCCGAGTTCACCATCCACAAGCGCGGAGAGGCCCCGACTATCGCAACAAACGGCTTCTTCCACTTCGGCTATGCCGAGGTCAAGATGAAGGCGTCCGGCGGCCAGGGCATCATCTCCTCCATCGTCTTGGAATCTGACGACCTCGACGAGGTGGACTGGGAGTTCATCGGCACGACCACGACCAATGTCCAGACCAACTACTTCGGCAAGGGGAACACGACGACCTACGACCGCATGATCCCGTACGACGTCAAGACGCCCCAGGATACCTTCCACACCTTCGCGCTGAACTGGACTGCCGAAAGCCTGACATGGCTCATTGACGGCCTTCCCCAGCGTACGCTGCACTATGCTGACGCTGTTGGCGGCAAGAACTATCCCCAGACGCCCATGAACCTTCGCATTGGTATCTGGGCAGGCGGCGATGAGGACAACTCTCCCGGAACCATCTCCTGGGCCGGCGGAAAGACCGACTACACCAAGGCCCCCTTCACCATGACCGTCGAGAGCGTCAAGATCATCAACAACTCGCCCGGCAAGGAGTACCAGTATACCGACAAGACTGGCTCGTTTGAGTCGATCAAGGTTATTGGCGAGGGCGACAACGCTGGTGGCGTTTCGTCTTCCGCCGTGCCCTCTTCCGCGGTTGCAACAGCGAGTGCCTCTGGAAAGGGTGGTCTTGCTAGCCAGGTTGATACGCCTTCTAGCTCCATCTCTACCATCGTCCAGAAGCCCACTGCTACGGACGCGGTGTCAATCCCTGTGTTCTCGCACTCCAAGGGCTGCACAGAGGGCGAGTCGTCAGCCACCGTCATCATCGTCCCCTCCGACTCAGCGACGGCACCAGCTGAAACTATAATCTCCTACAGCGGCGCTCTCCCCGTCACCCAGATCTCAGACGGACAGATCCAGGTCCCGCCTGCGCCTGCGACCTCGTCTGGCGAGGTCCCATACCCGACTTCCGAGCTCTCACCCACCGAGACCTCTCCCTCCGACTCCGTAGTCACCCCCGCATCCACACTCTCACCGGCTGAGACTTCTGGATGCGGCTGCGGCGTCGTCACCGTGACCATCACATCCGGCTACGGCACCGCACCGGTGACTCTCACCCCCACCCCCCTCCCCACCGCGTCTTCCTCCGTGGACACGGTCCCAGAGCCCAGCATCCCCGGAAGCCCCTACTTCCCCTCCATGCCCGTTGAGAGCGCTCCCGAGACCCCCTCGACCCTCGCGCCCGCCTCTTCCGCCAGCGTCACGGCCATCCCCATCCCAACCGCTGGCTACAGCGGCGCCCTCCCAGTCACTCAAATCTCCGACGGCCAGATCCAGGTGCCGCCTGCGCCTGCGACCTCCGCCGACTCCACTCTCGCACCCGCCTCGACTGGCAGCGTGACCGAGATTCCCGTCCCGACCACCCCCATCGTGCCCACCTACTCCGGCTTGGTCACCGAGACGCTCCCCGCCCCCTCGGTGCCCGGCATCTCCGCGCCCTCATCTGGCTTCCCCGCTACCAACGGCACCGCGACCAGCACGGGCGGCATCCCGCAGTTCACGGGCGCTGCGAGCGCCAACGTGGCTAGCGGGATCTGGGCGGCGGCGGTCGGTGTTGTGGCTGTGCTGGTGATGTAGACGGTTGTTTTGGGATGATTACGGGTCCATGTTTTAGTAGATTCGGTTCTAGAGGAGGCATTTAATTCGCATGGGGGGTTTGGACGGAGGGATGGCGGTTTGGAGTGAAGAGGCGCTGGTTGGACTTGTATATACTTAGCTAGAAGCAAGGATTTTCTTCATTTGAGTTTGGGGTTGTGTTTGGGGAGTGATGGTGTGTGATGCGTCCAAGAACTGTGCCAATTTGGATGAATCTGCTTGAATGATAGACTTGATCTGATGAGATACGTCGGTACACGACATGTTCGCTCCAGCTTGCTAGGCGCCGTTGAACGAAAAGAAGCGCTCCACGAATCTGTGGTTACATTCTCAGATTTCATACAAAGACAGTGAGAATCAGGTATGAAAGCTGTGAGAGCTGGAGTGAGAGCATGGGTTCCAGGGGCACTTCGACTGGCGGAGAAAGGCCGTGCTGAATAATACGCACACGGGAGATTTTGAAATCACGCTAGCTCTTAGCGCGTTTTTTGACGCGCTCCAGCTTTGGGCTCCACCACTACGACAAGAGACGACGTTCTTCACTCCGCGACAACAGCATGAACTGAGGTTGCCCAACATTAAATCGCGCGCGGTAAAGACAATCATACTTTCTGCGGAGGGCGCCTCACCCACGTCCGAAACCGCCCATCATGCATATCCACCAGATCAATATCCACGGCTTCAAAAGGTGCGCAACACGCTCCGGTGCTTCATATATCTTTCTAACCAATTCTCCTAGCTACGCGAACCAGACCCATATTGAACCTTTCTCCCCTAAACACAATGTCATCGTCGGACGCAATGGATCGGGAAAGAGCAACTTCTTCTCTGCGATCCGCTTCGTGCTTGGTGATGACTACAACCACCTGTCGCAAAAGGAGCGCTCGAAGCTACTCCATGTAAGATTTCCTCATTTGCTCTTAATCAGGTGTATATCGATGCATTCTGTGGAATGCGAAGAAAAAAAAGCCTTGCTAACCACCTCCCCCACCACAGGAAGGATCTGGCTCCGCAGTCATGACCGCCTACGTTGAAATCGTCTTCGACAACCACGACAACCGCTTCCCGACCGACAAAGAGTTCCTCACATTACGCCGCAGCATTGGCAACAAGAAGGACGAGTACAGCATCGACCACAAGAACGCGACCAAGAAGGATGTGGAGAGCATGCTCGAAGTCGCTGGCTTCTCACGCGCAAACCCCTACTACATCGTCAAGCAAGGCATGGTCACAGAGCTCACAAACAAGTCGGACCAAGCCCGACTGGAACTACTGAAGGATGTCGCTGGAACGAAGGTGTATGATGAGCGCCGGAGGGAGAGTTTGAGAATCATGCAGGAGACGGACAATAAGCGCAGTAAGATAGATGAGTTGCTGGATGGCATCGAGGGACGGCTGCAAGAGCTAGAGCAGGAAAAGGAGGCTTTGACGGTATACCAAAGCAGGGACCGGGAGCGGAGGGCCTTGGAGTTCACGATCCACAATCGAGAACTGAACAAGAACCAGGAGAAGTTGACCGCGCTGGAGAGCTCGCGTCAAGAACGGAGAGATCTGGAGGAAGAGCACGATGCTGAATACAGGCAGCGCGAGGAAGAGCTGGATGCGATTGATATGGCTATCCAGGAGGGCAGGCAGAGGATCGAGCTTCTGAATGCCGAGAAGCTTCAGTACAAGTCAGAATGGGAGGAATACATGAAGGAGAAGGGCACACTCGAATCAGACATCGCCGAAATCGCCGAGGGCCAGGGTGCCGCCCAGCAGGCGAAAGTACGCCATGAAGCCGATCTCCGGAACCTTCAGCTGCAGATCGCGAAGAACGAAAAGGACCTCGCCACGATCACCCCTCTTTACATCGCTAAGAAGGACGAGGAGTCGATCGTTGCAGGTTGGCTGAATGAGGCTGAAAGCCAGCGCGATCGGCTGTACGACAAGCAAGGTCGCTCTGCACGGTACAAAAGCAAGAAAGAGCGGGATGACTTTCTCAATGCGGAAATCAACAAGGTCAACATGGATTTGGGGAGACGAAAGGCTCTCAAGATGGAAACGAATGAGAGCATTGCAGAGCTTGAGAGCGATATACAGAAACTCGAATCCGACATCGCGACGCGACGCGCCGAAATCGATAACTATGGCGAGCACAGGATGAGCCTCCATACCGCGTACCAAAACGCAAAAGATAAGAAGGACGAGCTGCAGGACCAGAAGAAGGAGATTGACCGCGAATTCCATCAAGTCACCAAAGCCGCAGATACTTCCAGGAATGAGCTGAAGAAGGCTGAAGACAACCTGTCTCGGAGAATGGCGTTTCCTCAGTCACGCGGTATGGCTTCTGTCCAGCGGATCCTACAACAAGGACAAATCGAAGGCATCCATGGAATGGTCGCCGACCTCTTTGAGGTTGACAATCGCTACAAAACCGCCGTGGAGGTCATTGCTGGCATGAGCCTTTTCGACTGGGTGGTAGATACCGATCAGGTTGGCGCCCAGGTCATTGATGTCCTCAACAGGACGAAGGGTGGCCGTGCCAAGTTTATCGCATTGAACCGGATCACGCCGAGGAACGTGAACTTGCCTAGCGCAAGTGATGCCGTCCGATTGATGTCGAAAATCCGCTATGATGAAGAGTATGAGGCCGTCATGCAACACGTGTTTGGCAAGACCATCGTATGCCCGACTATCGAAATTGCAAGTCAATATGCCCGCACCCATGGCGTGAGTGCCGTCACTCCAGAGGGCCACACTGCCAAGAGGAGGGGAGAATTGACCGGCGGTTATATTGATACATCGAAGTCTCGGCTTGACGCTGTTGCTGCAGTCGCGAAATGGCGCAAAGAGTATGAAGCGCAAGAATCGAAGCGGAGGGACCTCCAACGGAAGCGAGATCAGATGGAACAACGCATCACCGCTGCAGTTTCCGAGGAATGGAAAGCCGCTAACGAGCTGAGGAAGACAGAGAACAGCCATGGGCCTGCGAAGCAAGAATTGCGGCGTCTGGAGAGTACTCTGCAACAGACAAAAGATCAGCTTGAGGATAGGAAAGCTAGCATTGCGAACCATGATACTGCAGTGGCTCGACTTGACGAACAGCTAGAGAGCTACGAGGCGGAGCTTCAGACCGAGTTCAAGAAAGCGTTGTCGAAGGAGGAGGAGCGGCAGCTTGAGTCGCTGCTCTCCACTATTCCGGACCTCAACCGTCAATTCTCAGCGTTGTCCGCTGAGCGATACAAACTCGAAGGCAAGAAGACTGCTCTCGAGAACCAGCTACGAACTTCATTCTACCCACAACTAGACGTGCTCACGTCAAGGGAAGAGAGCAGCCAGAGTGGCGCGTCGTCTAGCACCAAACTGCAAGAAGCCCAACGTGACCTAAAGCGTGCCTTGAAGAAGGTTAAGCAAGTGGAGGCCCATCAAGAGGAGACCGAAAACGCTATTCGAGAAGCGGATGAGGGGATCAAGAGCTTGGAGGCACAGATGGCAGAGAAGAAAGAAGACCTCGACAGGCTGAGGCGTCAGAATAAGAGGGATCGTGAGCAGCTCGCCGAGAGCGCCAAGAACCGGAAGAAGCTCAGCGAGAACGTCAAGGACTTGCAACGGCAAATTGCGCAATTGGGCACGCTGCCCGATGATGCATTCGAGAAGTATCAGAGGTTGAATGATGAACAAGTAAGCCTTTGCTCTTTTTCCTAGCTTACTATATACACCCAAATTATCTGGTACTAACATACTTCCCCTCTAGATCCTTAAACGTCTCAAAACCGCCAACTCGGAGCTCAAGAAACTCAAAACTGTCAACAAGAAAGCCTTCGAGCAGTACAACAACTTCACCTCGCAGCGCAAGACACTCCTTGAGCGCCGCAAGGAACTCGACTCCAGCCAAAAGAGTATCCAAGACCTCATCGCCGTCCTCGACCAACGTAAGGACGAAGCCATCGAGCGCACCTTCAAGCAAGTCGCCTTCGAATTCAACCGCGTCTTCGAGAAGCTAGTCCCCGCCGGCACCGGCAAACTCAAGATCCAGCGCCGCGCCGACAAAGAAGCCGCCATCGCGCGGGGCGAGGACGACGACGGCGACGTAGAAATGGGTGGCGTGGACGAAGCAGAGCAGCGACGCAGCGAGGTCGCCTCCTTCGTCGGCGTCGGCATCTCCGTCTCCTTCAACTCCAAGTACGACGAGCAACAGAAAGTCGCCCAGCTCTCCGGCGGCCAGAAGACCCTGTGCGCGTTGGCGTTGCTCTTCGCCATCCAGCTCTGCGATCCGGCGCCGTTCTACCTCTTCGACGAGATCGATGCCAATCTCGACGCGCAGTACCGCACCGCGGTCGCGGGGATGATCCACGAGTTGGCGAATAAGGAGAGCGATGCCGCGCCGAACGGGGAGGCGAGTGGGTCGGGGAATAAGAATAAGGGGACCGGTGGGCAGTTTATCTGCACGACGTTTAGGCCGGAGATGATCCATGTGGCGGATAAGATGTATGGGGTTATCTATGAGAAGAAGAACAGCCGGTTGACGGTGCAGAAGAGGGAGGCGGCGCTGAAATTTGTGGATGAGAGCCAGGAGGCTGCGAGGGTGCCGGCGAGGTAATTGTGGGATTTCTCATGGGATGGGGGAATTATGGAGATGCGAATGGTCTAATGAGCGATGTGGATGGGTTCATATCCGGGATGATGGGTGCTTAAGGCGTTTCTTTCCGTCGGACGGCTGATGAAACAGGGTTTCTGCTTGCCCTAGGGGATGGGTAGCGTACAGGTTGCTGGGAAGTATGCTGCATGCTTCTATGTACATTGTGCGGATCTTCGAATTTCATGAGGGTTGATGTACGAACTACAAATGGCCCAATGGATGAATAGCTCGGAGCTCGAAAAGTGATGCCACGACTCTTGCGGTAGTGAATTGACTTTCAACTGGCACCTGGTGTCGATAGCCAGGGGAATTTGCCCAGGGAGTCGTGAATGTGAGGCTGCGATTGTGTGCCCGGGCAGAGTGTGCACAATTGCTCGCCACCGTCGGAGGTGCTGCTACCAATCTCCAAGAATCTAGATGCGATGTACAAGTCTAGATAGTGTAGACTAAAGCGGCTACAAACCGTTCCAAGACACTTGTCTCGCTGCTATTTAGGAGTAGCTCCGTCTATTATCAGTAGAGCAACGGCTCCCAACCGTCGAAGCCTCATATCTACATTTCGTACTATACACATCTAACCAGTATTCCATACACATCAAGCCTCCTGCTCTCTCGCTTTCTCCAACTCTTTCCCCAACTCCTCCCCCCAACTCATCTCAGCTGCCCAATCCCAAATTGACACATAATCAGCCGTCCCTACCCCTTCCTCATCGACGGCCCTTCTATGCATGCCCTCTTCACCCGCTTCCCCATGCATCCACTGAACACCAAGCCTCGACTCCACTTTCTCCAGCTCCCCCTGAAGCATCTCCAACGACGCTTCCTCCATCTCCTTCGTCCACGCCGTGCCCGGCGGCGGGTTCTTAACGAGGCGGGACCTCAGATGCAGCGGTAGATCGCTCAAACTCAGCTTCGACTTGTGGAACATGTCCCACGCGGTGTTGCTCGATATCACCTCCATCAAGCCGATGAACCCCCGATCACACTGGTACGTCTGGTGCCGCTCAGGGCCTTTCTGCGTCTCCAGCAGCCACGCCCGCCTCCATTCCCACTCCTCCACCAGCTTGTCCACGGATTTCGTGATTGCCAGCAGCTCCGCCCACGCCCAATGGCAGGCCTCGTCCTCGCGCTCGCAGAACGTCTCAAGATGGCACTCCCTCCCATCATCCCCTCCAATCCCCCCAAAAACAACCCTCCGCATCATCTCCCCCCTCCCCTCCTCCCCATCCGCCCCCAACCACGGCCTCACCCCCCGACACACCCTCTCAAAAACCTCCCTCTCAATCCCCCACCTCCCCTCCCTCAACGCGCAGAGATACGCCCCCAACGCCCTCGGCGCGCCCACTTTCGCCGCGACTCCCGCCGCAAGCCCCAACACCCCCCTCTCCGCGTCCTTTTCCCCCGCGGCCCTCACCCGCGCAAGCAGCGCATTCAGCACCCTCAGGCACCCCGCGGCGGCTGCCCTCTCCCCGCGCGCCGCTACTATCCGCTCCACCGCGCCCCCCAAAGCGTCCAGCCGCCCCAGCAACGCCGCCCGCGCCACCGGCTCTGCGAGCGCGCGCGTCACGATCCCGAGCAGCGCCTCCGCACTCGCGCATTCGTGTAGTTGCCGTTGTAGTGCGAGCCCGATCGCGAGGGAGCCGATGCGCGCGCCCTCGTCGGCGGCCGCGGCGGGGTTGGGGTAGAGGAAGCTGAGCTGCGGCGCGGAGGCGGTCGCGGCGGCGCGGCGGATGCAGGCGTGGACTGCGCGGTCTTGCGCGCGCTCAAGAGGGCGATGGGCGCGGCGCCAGCGGGAGTCGGGGGGGAGTTTTTGGTGGTGGGGACGGGTTGGTGGGTGGAGGAGGGCGTGGCGGAGGGAGGCGAGGGGGGTTAGGGGGGAGAGGAGGGTTTGGAGGGTGTGGAGGAGAGGTGGGGGGATTGTGGGATCGAGGGGGGTGTCGGAGGAGGAGGAGGAGGAGGCATAGATGGGGGCGTTGGAGGGAGAGGGGATGTCGAAGGGTGTGGCGGAGGAAGAGGGGATAGCGGGTGGGTTCAGAGAGCGGGCGGTCGAGGTTGAGGTCGAGGTCGAGGTCGAGGCGTGGCGGGGGAGGGCGTGAAGGATGCGGGAGCTTGGTCGTGGCATTTTTGGGGCGAGGAAATGCTGCTGAGGATATGTGGAGGTGGGTTATAAGCGTGGTGGTCGAGGTAGCATGGTCGAGCTGGGGGATGGAGGTTTTGGTGGTCGCCGCGCAATTGGCCACCGGAGAGCTGATTATGCAGGTGAATAGCTTTAATCGAGTACTCGAATTATGATTACGCGAGTTCGGGACGTGTTGCGCTTGAAATGGTGGAAAATGGGCGATTTGAGGCGTGAAAAAGTTGAGGTGAGGTTCAAGTAAACGCCTCGGGAAGGCAGAGCTTGGCGTTCTCAAAAAATGCTAAACACAGAGAAAAAAATGGAATCTTGGCGTTTTTATGATCGCTAAGGTTCCATACACATGTCAAGATTCCAAAATCACTTAAGTAGGATTTAGTTTAAATGACGGTGGGAAGATGTTGAGCATAGAGTGCTAAAACTGCATTCGAAGTGCCAAGATTCCCCTTGCCTTCACGGCATATCTACGAATCTATGCACTTCTTTCGGCGCCGGATTTGACCCTCCTTCCCAACATGCTCGAGCCACCTCTAAAGGCAGGCTAGTCGTCTGAAAAGGTGATTCGGCCCACTCCAATCTCCGCTGTCTAGACTTTTACATGCCATCCGGATTCCCAAAACTGTATTCTATCGAAGCACCTCAAGAAGTGGCAAGCAAGCGTACGCAACATTTTATGCAAACAAAATACTTTCACTACGAAATAGTCCAACATCACATCAATCATCGCCATGAACCCTATCTCCCAATTCATAACATCCTCCATCTCCCTTCCATCTCGCCTCACTCCCCTCACAACCCCATAAACCCAACCACCACCGCGGCACCCACCATCCCAACCCACATCCCTCCCCCAGCCCTCCCAGAACCCCCCTGAAACTCCACACCCGTCGCATTCCGCACCTCCGGCGCCACCTTAAACCAATCTGCCGCGACCGGCTCCCCCAACCCCGCCGCCTGCGCAAACCCCGCAAGATCAAAGATCGTGCGATTACTCGCCAAGCCCTCCCCCTTGCCATATCCCTCATACCCCTCCGGCATCACAAACGGTGCAGATGAAGGAGGCTGCGAAAACGCGAAGAGCACGTAGCGGTGCTCCGGACTCCCCGGGGGTGGCGCGGGCGCGACGTAGGGCGCGACGGCGGGCGTGGATGAGTCGGTGGCGGCGAGCGAGAGGTCGGGCTGCAGCCAGTGGAGGTAGGGCGCTAGGGAGCGGTTGAGGGAGGAGTAGGGGGCGTCGAGGTCGAGCATCAGGAGCAGAGATTTGGCGGTGGCGTTGGATTTGGGGGGGAGGTGGATGGAGGGCTGGATTTTGGTGGCTGTGCGGCGGGTTAGGCTTTGAAACTGGAATGTGATAATGGGGGTTGTACCGTTTAAGGGGATGTGGAGGCCAGGTGGGGAGATGAGCAGAGCGCCGAATGAGGCGATTAGGTGGGTGTTGCTGGCGGGTGAGTAGCCTGGGGGTGTTTGGGCGTTGGAAAGGATGGCGCAGAGGCCGAGAATGGTTGTAAGGAAGGTGGGTAGGCTGAACATTGTGCGGTGTGCTGATGAACTTGATGTAGTACTGTGAGATGGAGAGGAAGCGTTGAGATAGAGATGGAAAGTGGGAAGCGACCGTACGCCTTTAAATATGGAATCGATGCGAGCTGAATTTTGACCAGGCGCGAACATAGCCTCCGGCTTTAGGAGTTATTTCTGGATGTTCAGTGGACTTAACAGCTGCGCCATCGGCGTAAATGTAAGATTGTGGTCCATTGCGGTAGAGTTCGCGCAATGTACACGCTTGCGCGAGAGAAAAGGGGAGGAGACCCGACTTAGACTCCCCGGTGACTCTCAAATACCTGCTGATTGGGCGAGTGGCACCCGTAAGACTTCCAAGCGGCGTCTGGTGGGTTGTGATATTTTGGTTCTAGACATTCCCAGTCCAGGTTAGAGATCCGAAGAGGCTGAAGTTGATCCCGCTAGCTGAAGTTACCCGTTTTGGATTAGCGGCGGGTTTCATCTTGGTCGCCTTGCACGGCCCCTGCATCTTGAAATATGGGTGGATGGGGTATTTTCTTTTTTCGTAGAATGAGGAGAGACCAAGTGCTCTTACTTTCAGGTTTTGAAATAGAACATCTGAATAGCTTCGTCCGGCCTCGGTGCTCTCAACCAGCAACACCAAGCCTCGCCGGTAGCTTCATTTCAAGACCCCGGTTATCGAATAGAGGCTGCGTGGTCTCAACCTCCTCCATTCTTTCCAGGGCAAGCTTGCTAATCCCCGCCATCGTCCCGCCCAGCCGCCAATGCTCAAAGTAGTTCCTTGCATGCATCCGCTGCACCGCCAAGGGGCCATGCACGGCAACTAGATAGAGCGGGAGCGACATCCGGTTGTACGCACAGCCAATGCGTTTCTGGTACAAGAAAGCTGCAGCGTTCAGGATCCTCGCATGGTAGTCAATCACGTCGGCTGTGCTGTATGCATCAAGTTCGTGTTCCGACGAAGATGATGCCAGCGCATGAAGGACATGCACGGCGCTGAAGTACATGAGGATGAGGGCAGTCATGGCATCGCGGTAGTGGACGCCAGATGAGTCGGTCCAAGTGATAGTATTAGAGGAGAGGCGGGCGCTTGTTGTGGTGTATTCTAGCCACAGATCGTCAATGGCTTTGGAAATTTGGGAGAGGATCACAGCATCTGGAATTTGGGGCATTGGCGCGGATGGGTAGAAAGTCAGCAAAACAGATGCGAGATTCAAAAGACGCTGGACGGTTGGGACTTTGTCAGAGAGGCCTATGTACGAGAGCGGGTTTGACGAATGGGGGGTGTCTGAGCGTCCCAATAATGAGAGAAAGGTCTGTAAGTATTAGCGTTTTGTCTATACGTCGAAGACGTGGAAACGCACTTGATGGAACCGAACGTAGTAGAGAACTTCTTGCAGCAAACACTGAGAGTGGCCTTCCAACAAGGCCAACTCCATCAATATAGTAGAGCCAGTGATGTGGCTAATAAATCCAGCTGATGAAGTTCCATCCATCGCCTCGTAGAGCGAGAGCACCACTGACGTACATATCAACCCAATATTGTGAATATTGGGGTTGCTTCTTTCTTTTGTGAGGCAAGACGAGTGTGCAGCGAGGGCTCTGCCGTAGAGTTTACACGCCTCTCTCAGCACTGCTGGATTTGCGAGTTCCATAGCACAGAAGGCAGTACTCGTGGCTTTGACTGCCAGGTCCAAAGCCTCATGTCTGTTATTGGACAGCTCAAGTAGCACATGCATCCAGGTCTTACGCGATCCGCCTTGATCAGACGACGTGAAATAATACAAAAACTTGGCGAAAAAAGCTTCAGCGGCGATGGAAGACTCGGAAGGCAGATAGGGAATCCCGATATTAATTGGGTGGGGCTTTGTGGATCACTTCGGCGTTTCTTCGAAGTTTTCCTCTTGATCGCGCATGACGCTCCGTGGCGAGGGTCATGTCCACGATAAGGGGTCCTTGGATAGGGCCAGGACAGCTCCGCCCGGCACGTGTGCATTGCAGGCAGTGGGGCATAGTCGCATCGCAATTGATTCGCTTTTGGCGACACGAATGACATGCGCGAGTGCGAAGGACCATTGTAATAGGGAAAAGGCGGAAGGCACACTTAAGGAGTAGTGAGGTACATAAAGAACAGTCTGGTAGCGGAAAGAAATAATAGAGAAGGGATGGAGATTGATGAGAAAACGTAAGCGTACCTAGAGTGGGATGAGGCTGGAGGTTGAGGCTTAGAAACCGGAGCTTCCGGAGCTAAACCGGATGTAATAAAATCAGTAAAGTCGACCAATCAGAAAATCCTCGAGTCTTAATTCTGCTCTAAGGCCAGGCAAGAAGCCGGTAACTCGGCCAGGACGCAGGAAATGTGGCAGAGACCCGTGGACGCGACAGAGGCACGTCATAGCGTCACGGCGTGGTAGATATGGCCTGATGAAGCATACGATGGCCTTGGCTACCTGCTTCATGAAATGAGTTTTCCCCACTGAAAAAGCGAAACCGTGGGTGAGATGCAGTCTTTTCCAATCGCGCGCGTTTTATGATAGGCTTTGTGGAGGAGCTGTGGAGGAAGATGGCGGGGATGTTGGTTCGATTTCACCGCCCTGAGCGCGGCATTTTACCTTGCGTGGAGTGATTATTTTAGGGCTCACTCTCACGGACTCTCGCAAGTACCAACACACCAACACACACTTGTCGAGAAAAGAAAAGAAGGCAGGAGGTGAGATTTTAGAGTCGCGGGGCCCCGCGTATTCCAGCGTTTCGTTGCGGAAATTATTGACGCTTGCAAAGCGTTGAAAACGGCGCAGAACCCCCCAGTTACAGAAGGTTGAGCAATCGGAGGAGCTCCGCCGACCCTGAAACCACGTGACTGTGGCGATGTTTGGTGTCAGCGCTAAAGTGTGATTACTGTGAATAGGTCTTGTGCGAGGCGGAATGGCGAAGATGTTGCTCCAGAATAGGCGCCGAAGGCACGAAGAAGGCACAAAGAAGCAGGGATTTCGAGCACACGAGGCTGGGAGGGTTCATGCCCCAGGCTTGGCGCGAGATATCTTGAAACTCGCAGGAGTTAGCTCGACCCGGGTTGAGGGGCATCACGCGGCGTGCAACTATCGTGGGCCGGTTTTCCGGTGTTGCGGCTGTTGGGCAAATCGCGTGCTGACGTCGGTGGCGGCGGGATCCTCGATCGCCGCACGCGAAGGCGGCGGGACGAGCGCGGCGGGATGCCGGAAAGGGCTTGGAGGGCTTGGAAGGCTTGGGCTGTTGCTTGATCGCACCGTCATCAGCGCAGCCGCATCACCACCAGATATCGTCGCATTCCGTCTCAACTCTCGGCGTTTCAACGTTGCGCATTTCTCCAAAACAGATTGCAGACAGGTAGGCATGCAGTCGCGAAGCATCATCCGAAACTGCATTCACTCAATTGCGCCCATTGGCCCTCGCCCTGCTGTGCCTCGAGCCGTGGCCTTCCTGCGACCCACAAGTAGCGGACTCCGGGCCTGTCGCACGCAGAGAATTCGCTCCTGGCACGCCGGCATACAGTAGCTCCCTAGCGCTTCCCCACAGCAGACTTGGCCCTATGACGAAATGCAGTAAGCATCCACGCATCCTGACCGCACCGACACACCACCACGGTACGCCCCAGCCGTACCCACGGGCACCACCTGGTTTGCCTTGGACCCATGGGTCTCCACAGCAGCTCTTAAGGTGACCGACGCCCGCTCGTCTCGACTTCCCACTCGCTTCACACACTGCTCCCTCGACATCTCTAACCCTGCTATTGCCAATTTTTCATCATGGTCGGCTTCAACGAGGAAGTCGAGAAGCACGAGCCTTCCGAGGCCTCGTCTGAGAACGGAGTCGCAGCAAACATCAACAACAACCCCGAGCTCGCCGCTGCTGCCACCGGCCAGCAGCACCTCGAGAAGGTCGGCACCTACGACAAAATCGAGATCACCGAGGAGGACTGCTACGACGAGCTTGGCTTCTCGTTCCCAACCTGGAAGAAATGGACCATCCTCACCGTCGTCTTCTGGGTGCAAGTGTCTATGAACTTCAACACTAGTCTCTACTCCAACGCCGTCGGCGGCATCTCTAAAGAATTCGGTGTCAGCGAGCAAGCCGCCCGTCTCGGTGCCGCTCTTTTCCTGATCCTCTACGCTTTCGGATGCGAGCTGTGGGCGCCCTGGAGTGAAGAGCTGGGCCGATGGCCAATCATGCAGTGCAGTCTGATGCTCGTGAACATCTGGCAACGTATGCGCCATTCCGCCCTCGACGTGAAATAATTGCTAACAAGTCGCAGTCCCCGTTGCTCTCGCAAAGAACTACGGCACCATCCTCGCCGGCCGTGTCCTCGGTGGTCTGTCCTCCGCTGGTGGCTCCGTCACCCTCGGAATGGTGGCCGATATGTGGGATTCTGACAACCAACAATACGCTGTCGCATACGTCGTCTTCTCCTCCGTCGGTGGATCCGTGCTCGGACCTGTCGTTGGTGGTTTCGTTGAGGCATACTGCAGCTGGCGCTGGTGCATCTGGGTGCAGCTGATCTTCGGCGGTGTCGTCCAGGCGTCTCATTTCTTCCTTGTCCCCGAGACCCGCACGACCATCATGATGGACAGAATCGCAAAGAAGCGCCGTGCTGAGGGCGAGAAGAACGGCAAAGAAGTGAACATCTGGGGCCCGAACGAACTCGTCCCCTTCAGAGACCGCTTCTCCGCCAAGGAGGTCGTGATTACTTGGATCCGACCCTTCAAGATGTTCCTTACCGAACCCATCGTCCTAGTCCTCTCCCTCCTCTCCGGTTTCTCCGATGCCCTTATCTTCATGTTCCTGCAATCCTTCTCCCTCGTCTACAAGCAGTGGAACTTCACCACAGTTGAGCTTGGCCTAGCCTTCATCCCTATTGGCATAGGCTACTTCCTCGCCTGGTTCTCATTCTTCCCCGCCATTAAGCGAAACATCAAGGAGCGCGCCAACAAGCCAGACGACGAGCGCGCCCAGTACGAGTCCCGCCTCACGTGGCTTCTCTACACCGCCCCCTGCCTTCCCATCGGCCTCATCGGTTTCGCCTGGACTTCCCTGCCCCAGTGCCACTGGATCGGCACCATGATCTTCTCCGCCATCATCGGTATCGCCAACTACTCCATCTACATGGCTACGATCGACTACATGATCTGCGCCTACGGCCCCTACTCCGCCTCCGCGACCGGTGGCAACGGCTGGTCCCGCGATTTCCTAGCAGGTGTGCTGACCCTCCCTGCCACTCCGTTCTATTCAAACATCGGCGGCAAGGACCACCTCGAGTACGCCTCCACGATCCTCTTCTGCATCGCCTTCTGCCTCGTCGCAGCCGTCTACGTCATCTACTGGAAGGGCCCCGCGCTCCGCAAACGCAGCCCCTTCGCCCAGCAGCTCAGCGCCGCCCGCGAGGCCGGTGGCCGCCGCATCAGCTCGATCCCGGGCTTGTACGGCTCCAACTACGGCAGTCGCAATGCGAGTCGCGCGGCGAGTATTGCGAGTGGCAGCCGTGGCCCGAGTCGCCGGGGCAGCTTTATCCCTTCACATTCCGGGCGCCCGTCAGCGGGTAGCAGGCAGCAGAGCCATGCGCAGATGGCAAAGAGGGTGGAGCAGGCGAATAAGCATCTGCGGGAGGAGCAGGTGGCTGAGCCGTAGATGGGTGGTTACATACATGTAAGGCTGTGAGATCTAGGGATTGGAGATGTGGACGGAGTTAGATCTCATTTGATGATTTTCTTTTCCTCTTGCATTGCATAGGGAGTTTGCGAATGATAGACAGATTTTCTTTGATACCCTCGTTCGGATTCGGATGGAATGAGGATGTATAGTAGGACAGGCATACATGGTTGCTCTGGAACAATATCACAACAATCGCATATTATCAAACATCTCGTCGTCTTCTATTGCAGTGCCTTACCAAAAGCCTTGCACATCTGCTCACCACCGTTTGAGGTAGTTCAGCGCAACATAAAAATCCCGACAATATTCAAAGACCTTGAGAGCGTGAATCAGACAGCTTTCATGCGCTTGCAGGCGGGCTGGCCTCCTGCGTGGCCGCTGTCTGTGGCGCTTCAGCACATCATCATACTCTGGAGGGAATCAAAGACAATGTACCCAAAACTTATTTTCTGGTTATGTACGTTTCCCCATTTCTCAACCCTCATGCCGCGTCTGATCACATGCCCTTCACGTGCCACTTCCCCCCCTGTCCCGCTGACTAATCCCCCTCCCCTCTCTTTCGCTCAGGTATAAAACCTCGTCCTCTCCTCGAACTTCTCGGTTCTCCAGCAGGGAGGAAGGGAGGGAGGAAGGGAGGGAGGAAGGGAGGGAGGGGACATTGGTTTGAAAAAAAAAAACGCTAACCACACACTTTTATGGCCGGTGCCTGGTTGGTGGTTGGGTGATCAAAAACTGTGGGTGCCTAAGGTCATGGAGGGGACTGGGTGGGCTGGAGATTCGGGCTGGATCAAAACATCCGGACGATCGATGCCATAGGGTGGAGGGTGTGGTGGTGGATCAAATTGCCTACGCGAACCTCTCATGGAGTGGTGGAGTACTGGAGGCTTCAAATCCATCGATGAAGGAAACGCCATGGGTTCGTGGTGTTGGATCAACAAATGAAGGAAGAGAGAGAGGCCATGGAGTGAGTGGTGGAGTGGTTGGTGGGCGCGGGGGGTTCAAAAACGACCCAAATACTACGGTATGCGGAGGAGGTGGAGTGGTCGTGGATCAAAATCGCGAGTCAGGGGAAACCATGGAGAGGTGGAGGTGGAGTGGGTGTGAGTTCAAAATCTACCCACTACTACGCTATGTGGAGGTGGAGTGGGTGTGGCTTCAACTAACGAAGACACTGAGACTCATGGAGGGGAGTGGATGAAAAAACTGATACTTTTTGCCTTGTTATGGAGTACTGGATTTGGGGGGTCGGGGAGGCGGTTTTGGTTGCGGTGATGCCGTTCACTACACGCTCTCGAGGATGCGCTCTAGCATCGGCTTCGAACAATAGGTGCGCTCCTGAGTCCAGAGTGCCAGCCTCCGACGGACGAGAGAGGCGATAAGAAGCGATGAAAGGGGATGTTGGAGATCACCGGACCTGCGCGATTTGACCTCCACATTTCGGGAAGTCGTCCTCGAGTTTGCACCATCACGGGCAGCACTCCCACTCTTCAGCGCCGAGATGTCGACAACTCTGTCCGCCGCTCCCGCACCATCGCAAAATACCATCGAGATTGTTGATGGTGCCGCATGGACCTTTCTATCCCCTCTTGTTGAACCACGAACGTCCACCCTCCTACTTCTCAAACCAACTTCCCAAAACGAGGCGACGTTTTATACCCTAGTCCCAGCGACGAAGCCTGATAGTCAGCTGATTTGGATCTCCCTCATCCCCAATCGCTCCCCTTTCCACTGCCCCTGCCGCTTGAAAGTAGATCGTGCCTCTACGTTCGCGATCACATCGCTTCTCACGTGACTGCTGAGTCACCGCTTCTCCGACGCGTATAAGAGCTTCTCTCCGCCTCGGGCCCACCCTTCCCTCACAGAAGGTCGACGACGCTTTGACCACGATCAAAACGTTCAGCTGAAGGGTGCCCATGGGGGTCGGGGTGTCGGCGGAGGATCGAAATGAGCGGAATCTTCAATGTGTGTGGAGGGTCGTGGCTGGGGATCAACGTTATACAACAACCTAGACGATGGGTGGAAAATTAAGGTCAGGGATCGAACACATCTACCGATGAGGCCGATGTCTTGGGGTCGGCCTTCGTGGCGGGGGGAGGCTCAACGCTGATCGATCGAATGGATGATGTGGAGGGGGTGTACCGCGAGCTCGATGATGGAGTCCATCTCTAAGAAGACTAAGACGTCTCCGTGACACTGCGATGATGCGCTCCTCCGGTTCTATGTTACTATAGGTAGCGGCTTCGAGGGTTACAGACGAAGATCCTCGGCGGAATTTCTTTGACAACTTCTCGGGCCCGCCCACAGCTTCCATAGGAAGTTGAGGTGGACTTTTTGATTCCCAGCTCCCAGACATAGCTCCATCGTCTTTCAAAGTCTGAACCAGGGCTTCCAACATGGCTCTTCTGGAGCTGATCTATTGATCTCCGTGAAACCGCTCTTGCACAATCTAGACACGATTGAATGTCGAGGCTTTATGCCTAAGCCTATGAAACGAAACATGACTGCACCGTTCTCACGTGCATTTTCGTGATAAACGTGGGCTGCGGCCTTCAGCGCCAGAACGCTCTAGTCACGCTTTGGCACTTACCTCATCTCTCTCCTCCACGGGGTATATAATCCTCTCCGCAGTAGAAACTGAGTTCCTTTCTCCAGGGAGTGCGGGCGCGTTCGCGAGTATCAACATCAATAACATGGTGACTTCATGGGAGTGGGGTGTCGGCGAGGTTCAACAACCCTTACTCTACCTATCAATGGGGAGGAGTTGGACCGGGCCGATCTTGGAAGAACGCTGGAAATTGGGAAAGCATGTTGGTGTTGTCGACGTGGAATCAAACCATCCTTTCCTCAACTTCCGGAGGGAGAGGGTGGGAAATGGACGTCGTGTTGCAAGAGACGACAAGGATAACCAAGATGCGGTGCGTTGGCGGGTGCGGATCAAAAGCCGAAGTGGTAGATGTCCATGGAGAGGGAGAGCGGCCTGGGGCCAACGTTAGCACTTCATGCTAATGGTCATCTCCGATTGGAACTACTGTTGTTAATTAAGAATACGAGTACAGAAAGGTAGGGGTTCGTGAGATAGAATGACTGGCATCATTGCTGGGTCTTCACGAGTGGCGAAACTTCCACAAGCCACGTCTCCATGAGGAGACGTTTGACGAATTCTTTTTGAAGAAGTTCCGTCCCCCAGCCCACGCAGCACTGCCATCGAGATGGGATGCTCCATATTTTGATCCACACTTCGCTCTCGACGAAAAAACGTGACTTGTCACCTGAACCAGAACCTGCCAGCGAACTCTGGATGCCACAGAAGCCATGCGTTATATCACGTGTCAACGCCCTCACCTTTTTCCTTTCCTTCTCCCGGGTATAAAAGCTCCTCGAACTTATGGATCTCGATCTCCTTCCACAGCTTCGCTTGTAAAGTATGATTGGAAAAGGGGTACAAGGAGTGGCTATGACTCGCACAGTAAAACACTTGGCTTGAATGGATTGCCGTTTTATACATATACAAATCGTGGAGGAGATGAAGCTCCCTCCGACACAGAGCTTTTCTATCGATTCTCACGGCACCCGATAACACATCCGTAACTCACTTAGCGTCCCCTTCATCAAAGCTTGGGTACTTTGGCAATGAAAAATTCTCGCTATAACCATGGTCACCAATTTTCATCGCTAGCCATGGAATTGCCATGAGCTTGGAGAACGCCCAAACCAAGGCCTGAATCAGCCATCTCTTCCATGCCGTCTCGGGATGCGCAATGGCTGGGAAGAAGAAGGGGATCTGCTGCGTCTTCTCAACGAATGGGCGAAAGATGCTTTCGTAAGCCTCAAGCGCCTTTGACAGGTGTTCGCCGTCGTCGAGCTTGCTCAGTTCGCCAGCTAGGATGTAGGCCCCGGTTATGGCCAGCGAAGTGCCCATCCCTGTGAGTGGCGTCGGGGCATACGCGGCGTCTCCTAGGCAGACAACGCGAGAAGTGAACCATTTGGACATCTTTATCTGCGCAATTTCGTGGAAGTAGAAGTCGGGCGCTTGATCCATGGCGTCCAGGAGCCTCTCCGCTTGCCATCCTGAGCCTACAAACTCTCTCCTCAAGAGATCTTGCTGCGTCTGTCGGTCACTCTTGGATGCCTCCAGCCACGCCTTTTCCTGGGAGCTATTGCAGGGCATAAGAGAGAACAGAGCCCTTATGGTGCTGTGTGGGTCGGGCCTGATACTCATGAATCGTGATGGAAGAGCCAGGTAGATGTTCCACCAGTCGTTGTCGATGGGTAGGCGTGGAACGGTCCAGTACGCGACGTAATTACCCTTATGAATTACATTGACAGAGTCTGGAGGGAAGCACTGCTTTCGCACCTTTGACCATTGGCCGTCTGCTGCGACCAAAAGGTCGAAGTCCTGCACCTCCCCATTGCTGAGTTCAACCTTGACGGAATCCCCATCATTCGAGACGACTTTCTTGATCATGGTACCGAACAAGTACTTCACATTCGGAAGGTCTTTCGTAGCCTCGTGGAGGATCGCTGCCAAGTCTGCGCGAAGAATCTCAAAATCCGAAGTGAGGCTAACACTCCTTCCTGGACCCTTCGAGATTGGAAAGGATGCAAATGGCTGTCCCGTTGGACTGATGAACTGGGTCCCCTTTTCTGTCGTGTTGAATTGCCGAAGTCGATCCATGAGCCCCATCTTCTTGATGACTGTGAGGGCGCCGCCTTCTATGTCAACGTTCTGCCCATGGGGGAGAAGTGAGTGGCTCTTCTCGACGATGGTGATGCGTGCCCCGGCCTTTGCCAGGAACCAAGCTAGTGTGGGCCCAGCGATGCCTGCTCCACTGATCAGGACGCGCATGGCAAGCCTCAAGGTAGTCGTGAAAGTAAGAAAAAGGTTGGTACCTTGAGGGATGGAGAGGATGGATGTTCGGAGATTGATGCAAGCACTGCCATTTTTAAATAGCTTTTGGTTGAGCTGTGTAGCGAAGAAGGAAACTTCGGGCTCGGAGTAGAAGGGATGATATCAAGTGAGGTGAGAGTGTTAGGTGGGAGAATCTGTTCTGTGAGATGAGCTCGGGCGTCCGAGGCCCGAACCCGAGCGACCAATCAGAAGCTATATAATATCGGCAACTAATAACGATGTCTGGTTTCTAGTGTCGCCGTTATACGGTGCTAGAAGTCCTCCAATTGGCGAAATGACCTCGTGACTGCCAAAATCTGGACTATAGAGATCATTTGGAAACATCTCGCCGCGCTTGTAAAGCCTCGAGAATGCTAAGACAAACCAGAAAGTCTCGCTTTGCGAATAGCTACTTTCCCAATGGCTTCGAGACGCTTACTAGACTATCTCCAGGAACACATAAGAGCACTCCCAAGCACGTTCTAACACATTGTTAGAAGATCGGAAAAAAGTATGATACCGGCGTGGTGGGCAGGGGTGGGTTCACTAGCGCGGCATAAGTCGTGATGACATAATGATGGCTGCACTCTTCCCAACTCTTTGTCGACTCTTCATCTTCGCAGGCTTCGCTGCTATGCTTAAATGCCATGGCAACTGCAACTTCCCTTTCATCGGCCTCTCATGGTAGACCTACTTACTCCTGCATTCGGTGCGCTGACCGAAAAGTCAAATGCGACCGGCAAACCCCATGCAGTGCTTGTGTTAAGCATAAAGTAGACTGCGTCTTCAACCACTCGCAGCCACCTCGAAAAAGACAGAAACGTATCAACGACCAGATCCTCACTGATCGCCTCAAACACTACGAAGCACTACTTCAAGAGCAAGGCATTGACCCAAGCAAGCTCCCAGATACTCCTGACTCTGAGCCGCGTCGCAGCTCGGGTCACACAGCGGCAGTGGCCACGAAAGAATCTCAATTGCAAAGCCCCTTTTCTATTGAGATTGAGTCAAACCGATCTACCCGCAGGACACAATCAGGACATGGCCATGGCCGCTTCAAGTTCGTCGAAACGTGAGTTCCTTCGCAATGTTTGTCTGTGGCTATACACTGATACCTACCTAGCAACTTATGGACGAGAGTGGTAGATGAGGTGAGCAGCTTGAGTTGATATCTAGTGATAGGTCATAAGTCTGTGCACACGCGTTTATCACCACTTGGGGTAACCCCCCACACCAGGTATGAAAAAAGGGGCACATACATCAAGTACTCGGCCCATGTGTATACCTGTCTGCCGCTGCGTGAAGTGCTTCAACAAGTTTCCACATAGACCAAAGTAAACGGCTTTTATCTTGTTCCAATCCCTGAAAATTATCTGAAGCATCCCAAGCAGTGGCGGACAGGTGTACAGATGAGACAGCTTGTTCCGGAATTAGTTTGCGACCTTTTTCATGCCCCGCGTGCCCCCATGGACTTTCAAAAAAGTAGGCGCGATGTCAAGTTTCAAGTAGTGCAAATTAGAATGCCTCTTGACTAATTGGCTGCTCACTAGCTGGGCTGCTCCTCACTGTGGTGTCGAGTGAGCAAAACTTGAGCCAAGAGGCAGTTTAATTTGCACTGCTTGAAACTTGACATCGCGCCTAAGTTTCTGATATTCCATGGGAGCACCCCAAGCGGTGGTAAACGCGTCCTCGCAGACTTATGACCAGTAATGTTTATCTTTCACTGGAGCGCTTGTTCAAGGATGTCTACTAATAGGACCATTAGTCACACGATCCTGAGGATACTCTGGAGGATTCCTCAAATGATGCGAGCGACCTAGAAGCATTCGAAGATGACTTCGGATTTGTGCTCAACAGTCAATCGAAATCTAACACTAGGTGCCGCCATCCACCGCCCGAACGCATACTTCAAATATGGCAGATTTTCGTAGAGAATGTCGATCCTCTGACCAAGGTCGTTCACGTCCCTACGCTACGATCGGCAATTCAGAAAGCTGCAAGCATTATCGGGGCCATACCGCGGAGCTTCGAAGCACTCATGTTTGCTATCTACGGCGCGGCCGTCATGACGCTTAAAGATGACGAGTGCGAAGAAAGACTCGGCGAGCCTCGTAAGGCTCTTCTATCACGATATATATCCGCCACGAAAGCAGCATTATCGCGAGCCAAGTTCATGGGAACTACCAGCCTCGTTGTTCTTCAGGCATTGGTCCTTCATGTCCTCTCGGTGCGAGATATCTACGAGCCACGTGCTGTTTGGTCCTTGACAGGCGTGGCTGTTCGCATCGCGCAGGGCATGGGCCTTGAGCGCGACGGAGTATATTTAGGCCTTCCTCCATTCGAAACTGAGATGCGGCGACGTATCTGGTGGCTGCTCAAGACGCACGACTTCCGTACCGCTGAACTTTGTGGCCTCGCTAAATTTCGAGATCTTGACATGGGTGACGAGAGCACGAAGTGGCCGACCAACGTCAACGATGACCAACTCTTTCCAGGCATGCCTTCACTCGTGGCAGAGTCAAACAAATTGACAGATCTCGTCTTTGTTGCCTTGAGATACGAGCTTGCCAATTTCGCGGCCGGCCGTGTCGCGAGGTTCCGCCAGCAAGGAAAGACTTCGAGTCAATGGGACCTCCATGCGTCAGGGAGCGAAAAGGTGGACATGGATGAAATTATCAAAGAGCTCGAAGAGATGCTCGAAACGAAGTACCTCCGCTACTGCGACCCTTCACAGCCGTTGCACCTTATGGCAATGCTAGTAGCCCGGTTTGCCTTGAACATCATCCGCTTTCTGACACATCATCCACGAAGATGGGCCAGCATAGAGCAGACACCGCTTTCCGAGCGTCAGTGGGGCTGGGAGATCAGTGTAAAGCTTCTCGAGCAGCATAACATGGTGCTGTCCAATCCCCAACTCAAGCAATTTGCGTGGCATGCGCCATATTTCCAGCAATGGCACGCTTTCATCCACGTACTTGATACCCTCAGAGCCGATCCACTCATAGCAGACGCCGAGAAAGCATGGCAACTTATTAGCAACATATACGAGAACACACCCGATATGGTATTCGATACGAAAAAGCCTATACACGTGGCTATAGGCAATCTATGTCTGAAAGGCTACGGTGATCGCGAAGCTGCACTGCAACACGGAAGCGCATGTCCGCCAACACCGGGTTTTATATTGCAGCTACGCCAACAGCGTGAGGTCGCAAAGGCTAAAAAGCAAGCGCGAGATGCAAAGATTAATGGACCTGTGAATCCAGTCAGTCTCGGCCAGGCAAATGCCAGCGTCATCAACTTGAGCGATACCCTAGAATCGACGTATCTTCAGCAGAGTACAACGGCACACCAGCTAGATTTAACCCAAACCGGCGGCGCCTCTGGAGGAGATCCGCTTTGGTTCGTTAACGGGTTTGATGATGGCGGAGCCAGCGGTTTGGACGATGTGATGGACATGGACCTCGATTTCTTGGTGGCCCAAGGTCCCAATTTGGATGACAATGCTACCCCGCCCATCACCTGGGAGCAATGGGACGCTTGGATTGCTGACTCCAACGTGATGCGTCCGTAATATTCGGGACGGGACTTGAGAAGAGGAGCCTGATGAGGGTCGTGAGGCTGCGAGCTCGAAAAACCGTGCTCGAAAGGGTTCGCTTTGTGTACATCACGACGGTTGAATCTGACACTTTCCGCCTTTTCTTCACGCTAGATGACAGCTTTACAGCATTGAAGGAGATTTGTACATTACGACCGGAGCCTACGGAGGAACCTTCGACGCATAAAGACTTGCCCCATTTACAGCAGGTTCTACGGGACTATCGCGAAGAAATTTCGTTCAGGCACGCGGGGTATGAAAAAGGTGGCACAGTCAGCAGCTCAACACTGTCTGGGGTGGCCTAGAGAGCTATCAGGCTTGCCAAAGCTAGTCTTTCATGAATAACAATAGCATACTAGAGGAACTTAAGCGGTGCTAAACAAGCGTACACAAGCATAGAAACAGCTGGAGTGTGTATATACCTCGCGGAATTATGGACTGCCACTTTCTATTAACACTGATTGACCATGCTGTCTCAGAGGTACACCTGTCTACCACTGCTTGAAGTGCTTTAACGAGTTTCCGCATAGCCTAGAGCAAAGAGTTTCTATCCCGTTTAGATTTCTGAAAATGTATTGAAGCACCCTAAGCAGTAGCATACACGCGCACACACCCGTGTAGAGTGCCACCTTTTTCATGCCCCGCGTGTCAGGGTAGCTCTCGCAAATAGTCCGATATCATGACGCCTTAGACAAGCTCTTGAATTTCATGCATTGACGCGTACTCAGCTTGCGCGTGTGGATGCGACGTTTTCGCTGCTGCCTGCGGGGAGCAGAAGTTCACATCCAACTTCATCGTTCTTAAGATGCAACCAAGTCAAGATTCGTAAGCCTCAAATACTTGGAGAGTTCCCATAGGTCAAGAGCGATACCAAGAGATGCTGACGCGACACTGCAAGAAGATCATGAAAGATTGAAGGGATTGGAGGATAGGATTCGGGAAGCCTAGCCGCGATAGGGAGGTGGTGAGAGCGAGAACGTCGAAGATGTTGAACCGAGTACACCTCTGCTCTGGACAGAAGAGCCTTCTGGGGCCACTGGTAGTTTCGTATAAGGCAACATCTCGAAGACGAAGTTGATGAACATCGTGCAGCTGAGATGGAAGTTCAACACCACGCATGCCGTCTGACGGCTGGGATGCTTGGCAGACGGGGGTGTTGGCTGCATGCTGGAACTCCGGATGGCTATCCCGAACTCCTTCATGGCCAACCAGCCCCCGAAACATAAGGCGTGCGAGTACTTGCAGCCGCACGTCGCCAGCATGTCACCGAGTCCACGTCGTCTGCCACGACGCCTCTTTCTTTTGTGAATTGATGTACAATCGTGGTACCCCTCGGTACTCCGCAACCCATCTCGTCCGTCATGGCTTCATCGCGCGAACGTGACAGCTTCGACGACAGCTCTCCCACCACGCCACTCCTCCCACGATCGCCGACTTCACCCTCTTTCTCTGCCCCAAAGCACCAGAAGCCATGGATCCTCGTCGCCGTAATTGGCGCCCTCGCTATCTTCATCGTGGACCTTGGGAACTTCTTGCTGAATCCCGCGCGAACTCGCCTCTACGAGTCCTCCATCTGCCTTCGATTCTACCAAGATACCGATCCGAGTCAAATCCGTAATGGGACTATACAAGAGCGATTGTGTAAGATAAATGAGGTGCAGGACACCGTGGCGATGGTGTTTGGATGGCAGGATCTGTTCGACGCGATACCCGGCATACTTCTTGCGGTCCCGTATGGCGCATTAGCAGACAAATATGGGAGGAAGTGGATACTTGTTCTTGGATTTCTGGGATTGGAATTATCTATGCTGTGGATAATGCTCATTTGTGAGTACCGTGCGCATACTCGTCTGATCTGTGAGCTTATGCATCACTAGGCTACCTAGACCTCCAATTGAAGCTCACCTGGTTCTCCTCTATCTTCTTGATGATTGGCGGAGGGTCTACAGTAGCCATTGCAACGGTCTTCACCATGTTGTCTGATGTGGTCCCCCCGGAAAGACGGTATGCTGGCCTCATTTACGAACGAGTTCAGATCTGACTATTGCAGGACAACTATCTTTTTCTACGTTGGAGCCACATTACTGGTTTCTGAAGTCATTGCTCCAGCAATAGGCTTTTGGCTCATGAAGTATGGGGATTGGTTGACTTTCTGCGTAGGCGCAGCTATATCAGGACTTGCAGTTGTTCTCGCCTGCTTTCTTCCAGAGACTCTACACAGTAGGGACCAACCAGAGCTTCCCGATGACAGACTGGAGGATGAGGTGGATGACCTGGCCGAAAGAACCTCTATGTCCTCGGGTAAAGGCCATGGCCATGGTTTCAAGGACCAGATTCATCGCCTTAGAGAGACTTTGCACTTCTTGAAGAAAGATCTCAGCCTCACACTGGTCGTCTTTACCTTCCTCGTCAATCGCTTAGCACGGCAATCCCAAGATCTCGTGATCCGGTATGCTTCAAAGCGGTATGGGTGGACTATACGACAGGTTTGTCAAACTCCTTCCATCATTCCCCTCGCCATCTAATATGTATGGAAACAGGCTTCGTTACTGAATTCCCTTCGCGCGAGCTTCAATTTGTTGACTTTGGTCGTTCTTCTTCCTGGTATCAGCATGCTGCTACTCAAATGGATAAAGTTGGCTCCGCAGCGGGGTGATCTGTGGATATCGCGTGGCAGCATCGCGTTTACTGTACTTTCTTTCTTGATCATGGGCTTCTCCTTCACTCCAGCCATCTTAATCTGGGGTTAGTCTCTCCCTCGCAATCCCTCATGATGTCTTTACTGATCTTCTCAGGCTTAATCTTCTATACCTTCGGATCCGGCTTCAGCATGGCCATGCGATCCATCGCTGTTTTCATGGTCGGCGGACAGGCGAGCAAAGACATAGGCCGTCTCTTCGCCGTTGTCGCCATCCTTGAAAGCTGTGGCTTGCTCATCTCTGGTCCTCTCATCGCCCAATTCTTCAGGTGGGGAATGAAGCTTGGGAATGCCTGGTTGGGGATGCCCTTCCTCCTTTCAGCAGCCCTGTTCCTGCCTGTCTTGGTCATTACGTACTGTATCTCTTTGCGCGATATATCCGCTGTGCCTCATGCCGTTCACGGCGATCAAGCTGATGCAAATCTGCCGCCGTATACTGATGAGGAGTGACCATCTTAGCGAGCGTTACTATCTCAAGTGTTCCTGTTGCTCCAATTTGGACGTCCCCTATAGTCATATTTCAAATTTCACGATCTCCTTTAGTTTGACATCATGGGACAGATACATTATACCGGAGTTCATGGAGGCAAGCGCTGTTTTGAATATCTGGCCACTCGAAGCCGTCATTTCATTGCGTCCCAGCATCATAGAGAATGTCTAGAGTAGAAACATAGAGGGAGTCATATGAGTCCATTGAACCAAAGTTTTCATCTTGTATCCTTCAATTTCGGCTAATTGCAGACAGCGAAGCACTCCGGCAACTGCAAACTGCGAAGCTCGCTCCTAATGACTCACGAATTGCAATCGTACCCTCGTACCCCGAGGTAATCCCCCTGGTTGCCTAGAAACCACTAGCGAACCAATCAATTCACTCGGAGCTCGGACTGCGTCGGCGACCGCGGACCCCGGGTCTTGGCAGCACTCGATACATAAACAAGCATCACCACAACTAACGATTTCTCTCACATCCAGTCAAACTCAAACCCAATCAAATTGATAGCACACCTCCATCAAACGAGACGCCCCTCAAAAGCCCAACAACGGAAGGTCCTCGATTCGAGTCCCCTAGCTCCTATTACCCCCCTAACAACGAACCTAAAATGCCATCTCTCCGCACCTCCCTCCGCGCCACCAGCCTCTTCTTCGGCCCCATCTTCATTGCCTTCGGCGTAAACGCCATGCTACGCTCGCGCCACTCCCTCGCTTTTTTTCCATTCCCGGACCCTGCTACTTCCACGAGCCCCGCATCCCAGGACTTCATCGAGCTCCTCGACGCCCTCCTAGTCATCTACGGCGCCCGCGACATCTTCATGGGCATCGCCATCCTCGCTGCCGCGACTTTTGGAGACAGGGAGGGGAGAGCGCTGGGCTGGATTATGGCGGCTGCGGGCGCGGTGGCGGGGGTGGATGGGTGGGTTGTTAGGGGGTTTGAGGCCGCGGGTGGGAATGGGGGAGCTAGGGGAGGCGAGTGGGGACATTGGGGATATGCGCCGGTTTTGGGGGTGGTTGGGGGCGTTTTGGTTGGGTTGTGAGAGGGGTGGGAAGTGGAAGGTGTGAACTGGACGGAGGAATAGGGGGAGGGGATCAACGATCCAAAATTACGTGTCAGGCTATTGTGGAATTGGGGCTAGGTGAAGGGAGAGGTTTTGGAGGGTGAGGGATGGGCGGGCGGTCCTGTCTACGTAGGTTCGAACATCATCGCTATACATCGGTCTAACAAATAAGTAGGCAAATCTTGCCTCACCGAAGGGACCGTGATGTTCGATGAATGGTAATCTTGTCTACTTTGATAAGCTCAGATGTTTGTGTTCTGTTTCGGTCAGTGCCACCTGTGAGAGCCGAATAGGCATGCGAAATATCACTCCGACACAGCGGTATCTGGTAGTCTGAAATCCGCCAGGACGTTTCAGACACTGTCTCGAGTTGGATGCATCAAACACGTAATGAAGATGTACAAAGTCTTATTTTAGAGCTTTGGAAGAAGACGGTGCGAGAGAGGGTTGCCTCACAGCCTTCATATCTTTGATGCTAAAGACATGTGCCATTTCTAGTGCCTTTGCGTCTTCCATCCGACGACATCAAGTTCTCCCTTCTAAGAACCAATGCCAGCCGTATGATACGCCCCGTCATAATGCATCTTCACCGTAACCGTCCTACAAACGAACGTCTTCATCCTCCGTCTTCTAAAGCCCTCCTCCAACCACTCCGCCGTCGCTATCGCCCTTCCTTTCAGCATCGCTCTTATCTGCGGGTCCGAAGGGTATATCGCAAAGCACTCCAGTACCACCAACTCCAAATTCTCACACTCCAGAAGCCCGCCTAATTGCTTCTCCCCGATCAAGTTCTCACCCTGGTTCGGAAACGTAGACCCTGCTGGTCTAGACGGAAGCAAACATAGCTCCAGCGGAATCGTTAACTCTACAGTCCGGAGACCCGCACATTGCAGCATGAGACTGAGCTGCGATTTCCAGAACCCATTGAAGATATAGCTGAAGTTGAGGTGGCGCACGGCTGCGAAGCCTTCGTAGTCTGGGAAGCTCTCGAGCCATTTCGTGAAAGGAATGCGGCCGCAGCTCGTGATATGGAACTTTGCGAGAGGGAGGAAGAGAGGGAAGGCCTCGCTCTGTATCTGGCGGTTTGCGCGGCAGATAGCGGGGATGAAGGTAGGCGAGAGGGCGGAAATGGGTTGGGTACGGAAGGCCCAGATGTCTGCTAAGATGTGCCCCTCGTTGGGTATCACGGCGTATGCCCATATCATATTTCTGAGCTCGGGAGGCAGGGCGAGGAGGGGAGACTAGATGGAGGATGTTTTATTAGTATTCTACATTGCTAACGCGGTTGCAAGTAATAGGTTTCTCAATACCTGAATCACTTCAGATCCTTCGGGCTGCTTAGACCTGCCGGCCTTTTTCGCAGCGCGCTTCGATGGCACAATAGTGGAGTAAGCGCGCAAGAGAAAGCGGAAGAAACGCCGTGGATTGATAAACGGTCGTGAGAATTTGCTAATCGGCATTTTGCTCTTAAGTGATTGCTAGCTTGACTGTCACGTAATAGGAGAGCGGTAGCGCTGTACGTGTTGTACTTAATGAAAATAATAATGATGTAGAGGAGATAGAGAAGTCTGGAGGAAGGCGAGGCTACAAACAAGAGGTGTCGTGCGCCTGCCGTGGCCCTCACCGCTCCTCCCTGACAAGACTCTTTCTCTGACTACAGTGCCTGGGCAAAAGGTTGGGCACACTTGCGCACCACCGTTGGAGGCACTCCGGCGCAATATGAATGTTTCGATAAGATGTAAAGTCCCTGAGAACTAAAACTAGACACGTTCCACACGTTGACAGTGGGCCTACTTGCCACTGTTTGTGACGCTTCCGCACCTCAACATAAATCGGGACGAGATGAGAAAGACGGTATGCCCAAACTTGTGTCCTAGTACTGTAGCTTATAAGCTTAGAAGCACATGTATAGCACTACCTAGGTGACATATTCTGCTCACTCGACACTATTATCAAGAGTAGGCAGTCAACTCGGTCGCCCGTTAGTCAAAATGGCGCTCAATTTCTGCGGTGCAGAACTTTAAATCAGCCTGCGCTGCATCCAACAAGGGCAGATGAGTGTGTAGACTTGTGGCAAGGCATTGTACTTGGTATCGGTTGGTACGGCATAGAGGCTGGGAGTAACCAAGGACTGTATTGGGATACTAGGTTTGGCTCGATTGATGCCCCGTCATTCTCAGTAATAGAACTCATCCAGTTCCTGACTGTGGTAGTCCTCCATGGTGCTCACATATCTGGTGGAACTTATGTCCTCGACGGAAACTTTCATCCCCTGCTCGGTAAACCCTCGCTCTAGGCCATGCTTGAGCCCCCTCATGAGCTCCCCTGCCCTAGGAGGCGCAACGTCTTCTGATGTCTTATCCTCATAAATATCGTAGGGACCTCCAATAAGGTAGCTGAGCTTCACATGCTCTAGGCTTTTGCAGTCGAAAAGCACGTTAGCGGCAACCCCCGGATGATATTCTCGAAGTATGAGTCCTCTAACGTCTCTTCATGTCCTAGCCACCAACCCAGCCGTAATGCAAACTGAATGCTGCGGATTTTTGGGCAGCGCGCAATCAATTCGCAATCAGCATATGTGGACGCCCGTCCATTGGCCTCCGCAATGGTCTCGAGTTCCCCAAACATGCCGGCCAGCATAATGTTACGCACAGCATCGAATCCTTCGTTGCCCGGGAAAGACAGGAGCCATTTGGCAACGTAGCTTGCAAAGCAGTCGACTTCTAAAACATTCTTCCTGATAAAATAGGTCGAAGTCTCGATACGCAGCTGTTTGTTCACGAAGCAGATGGGAGGTAGGTGTTACAACCCGTAACACGGACGATTCGATTATTATGGTATTCGAGGAAGCAAGTAAGCAGATTAGATTGGTAACCCGCAATCTGTATACGGGACCCAGGGGCACGAGGGTACAGCGCCTTGGCGTGCTGGACTCCCTGGCTAGCTACAAGGTCACGGGACAAAGAGGTCACGTGGGGACTCGACAGGACTCAGACAAGAAAGAACAAGGGGTCACGTGAAGACTTATAGGAATTTAAGCGAGGCAGGATGAGGTTTTATATAAGAACTTATTACGAATTAAATAGGAAGACTAAGTATATAGATTTCTTAGGAGTTATTTTTTATATTTAAGTATAGAAATTGCTAATATCCAGCATTTAGTGTCACCTTCTCAGCCTACTCCGCGAACTCCGTGAGATGATATACGATTACGTCGAAGGACTCCAGTGCCACGATCCAGTCAGCGGATTAGATCCTTCGACCCTGGAATCTTTCGTCTTGTCCGCAGTGTTTGGGTCGGCATTCGGAATCGCAGTCATGTCACCCTGTACCTGTTGCCGTTCAGTGTGAAAATCAATGACGAAGTACAGCAGATTCTGAGATACCTTGCTGGGTTCTTCTTCTTCAATCTTATCTGCGGTATGTGGGTCGGCGTCAGATGGAGTAACGGTGCCGCCGTGGGCCTGTCGCGTCATTGCATCTGCTGTTGAGTCGATTTCAAGCTTTGCGATGGCAACTTTGTATTGAAGATTCCGAGCGGCGTATCACTCGACGTTGGAGGTGATCCCGGTAGCCTGTCGAGCTTTGGCATGTTGGCGTCGCCTTTGGGTGGCCTTTCTGGTGTATCTGGTGTCAGTTTTTGGTGTGTAGGTGGAAGGGTTCTTGAAGAACCTCTGGGGCGGTAGCATTTGGTCACGTGGGGTGCTCTTTTGATACTGGTTCCTCATGGCTGTCGTCCCCCAGCTCACGGTAGAAGGCAAGAAACATCTGTGCATAGAGGCCGGTGCAAACCAGCTCAGGGATGGTAATGTATTGACCTTTACTGATCGCCATCTCACTCCCATATTCTCAAAGCACGAGTCCTTCGGCTACTCGTTCCGTGATTCACCGCCTGTCGAAACACCAAATCTCTAACCATATTCGACACAGATGGAGATCTCGACGCAAGCCTTCATTCCACGTTCATTGAATCCTCGCTCCAGACATCCCTTCAATCCCGCAACTATCTCCTCTGCAGGAGGCATGTCCGGCGTTTCAGACATGCTCGACCCTGCCAGATGAGCGGACCGGTACCGGCATTCCAACTGTATGTGATCCAGTCTCTTGCACTCGAACAGCTTGCTCAGCTGCAGTTCCTCAAATACCTCCTCCAGCGGCCTGCCTACATGACGAACCCATAGCAGGAATGGCATGTTGATGGTGCGAATTTTGGGGAGGCGAGCAACGAAGTCGAGGTCCTCTTAAATACTGTCTTCGTGCTTCCAGATAATGCCTCCGATACGAATATGACGCACTGCGGCGAATCCTTCATCGCCCAAGTATTCGATCCAATCCATGAAAGCGAATGTGCAGTGGACATGGAAGAAAGTTGAGCGGATGCAGTATGCCGAGACTTCGATCCGCAGTTGCTTGTTTACGTTGCAGACTCGAGGGAGGAAGTTAGGCTGGATGCGTCCAAAGAAGAAGTCCTGGTCATCGATGTATTCGTAATCGCTATAGGCTCTCTTTGGGCGCAGCTCGACAGTGTAAAAGAATATGTTGTCGCGAATTTCTCGAGGTAGACTGTGGAGAAGAAACTATATGTAATATTTTAGTACTAGTGAGGAGATGTAACATTGTTTTGAAGGGCTTCAAGGCGAGTCACGTGATCGTATCCACGTGTGACATGGAAGTAGGTAACAAGAAAATAGCCAGCAAGAGGATGGAAAGAGGCCTTCAGGCTTGATTTTTAGATAATTTTCCAACCGTAAGTGCGCGAGTTGCCCTCTATGGCGTAAAGAGGTATGCGTAACACTCGTGGGCTCAAACGAGGGGGAGCCAGATATTACGGGACAAGGTAGTTACAAAGCATTGCAGAATAGTTACAGGCCCCGAAATCCTTCCGGTCCGAAGACGTTGTGCCGACTCACTCCTTGTGTACCACCTGAGTGCTCAAGTTGTCTGAACCCCACCCCCTCAACAGGAGATCTTCTCGCGTCATGTGAGGGGAATGGTGTCTTCGGTTAAAACAGCCGTGACGGGGTCTGCCAACGAAGTTAGTCCGATCAACTATTTATCTACCGGCAACCAGATGACACCTTTTAGCTTTCAGTACCGGACCCCGTTTTGCTTCCAACACCCTCTGTTTCCCCCATAATATTGATCTCTCTCCGCCAGCATGGCCCCCAAATTCTATGTAGTAGCACGCGTCGAATCGAGGGAAGGGGCGCTACCCATTGTATGTAGGATTCCTGTATTGTTTCTTAACCATGATGCGAGATAATGAGTCCACTGAGCACGTCAGGTCACGATCAGGATATTGCTAACGAGCTGAAAGTGGAGAGATCGGATCACGTCACTAGTGGACGTCTCCGCTAGCGAACGCTTGGGAGACTCTTACTATTGGGGCCACTCCCTTGGTCCAGACACCGATACGATAATCGGCCTGGAGGGATATACACATCCTGTGGGATTTTTCATGGGTCATTTCGAGACGGACGTTTTCAAAGCACAAACAAAACTGATAGACGGCGACGAACTTCTCAAGACCCAACAGGGATTGGATAGTCCCGACTACGATCTGCATCACTACGACCTCGAGGGCGGCTGGCTCAAGCGAGCCGACGACCCTGAGAAAGACTCGAAAACTAGCCATGTATCAGTCTACCATTTTTGGACCGCAGAGGAATCACAGCGCCCCGAATTGTTGAAGAAATTGGTCGCATTCGCTGATGGTCTGAAGGGGACCCAGGGCCCCAGTGGGCCTGTGCAGAGCGCTGCAGTTCTCAAAGAAATCAGGCACCCCACTATGGCTACATTTTGGCTACGGTACGTGATACTCATAATGGGCCTCATCCATGATGTTTGCCTTTGACGGAGCTGACTCAAATTCGTCATTAGAACAAAGAATACGGATGCGTACAACGACTTCAAGTCCTCTGCCCCCTTTACGAAGTTTCTTGAGGATGTCAAAAAGATCACTGCAAATACGAAAGTGCTTGAATCACAGGCATTCAATGGACATCTGGAGCTCAAACCTCCCCAGATCTGATCCTCTTCTATTTCCTTTTCCATTGCGTTGTTGTAGGCAAAATTGTCGGGTGCAAGTAATGTAGAACCCCTGAGAATGCATACACCCTGCAAGACTGATTCGCTGAGCCACGGTCTCTTGAATTTGAAGTCTGATCTAGGTGATGAATGATCGTACCCCGCTGAACTCCATAGATCGTGGAAGGTCACTGAGGGCAATAGGATCGTGAAACAGTCTGCGCTGAAGCTAGTATGTTTTTTTTGACAGTTATATCAAACCGCCTTGCATTTTAACACAGAGCGATTCTTAGAATTGCCCCACACGCGACAAGGACACTTGAGCTTCTTCTAACTTCAACTGAGGAACGTCGCTTGGAGCCCTGTCGATCTCCGGCCATTGCTTCCGATCCTGTTCTAGTTCCCCATGCAACGGTACATCACTTCACAGGTTACTTCCATATGGGTTGGAATCATGATGACAAGAACGGGGGTCGAGAGTGCCGAGAGGAGGAAACTGGATTGGAGGTTAGAGGTTGGAGGTTGGAGGTTGCAGCAAAGGGAAGCTGAATACCATACAGGGGAAGTGTGCCGATAATTGGGCCCCGGGCTGACCCAAAGGCTAGGGAACGCAATCAAGCTCAGGAGCTACCAATGGCAGAGGTCTCGCGCTAACTTTTAAAGATGTCCTGGTGTAGTGGTGAACGCTTCCCCGAGCAAGCCGTTAGGAAGTGTATCGTTGATGGAATGAGGCCGTTAATCTCCCACCCCTAAACTCTATTTAACGCAAGCATATCTGGGCGAGGACCTACTTTCCTCGGAGTCGGTCGGAAGACTGGCCTAATCACAGTCGTACTTCGAGACGACATCGCTGACGTGGAGTACCAGGCGCGAGCCAAGTATCTTTTCGGTGCCGAGAGTGTTCCCAGTCGAGTTATCAAGCAGCTCGATCTTACGACGTTCACGAAGCCGAGCCCAGGTTCCGTATTCAATGTTCTCGTCAAAGCGCATATGTCACATTTGGTCGAGTACAGCCGAGGAAATGTTCAATTTGGAGCATCCGAACTTCGGTTGGATTGGTATCGTGGGATGGTGAAAGTATGGCAGAGGGAATGTGAATATGGACCAGGCTGATCAAACGGTCAGCGAATCAAGCGTCCTCGAGAACATAGGCAATTTAATTTGTAGCGAACTCCATCTCACTAGAGGCCTTGTTCAAGGCTATACCTCATTAGTTGAGTTATCCTTGTCCTAACTAGCTCCTCTGTGAGCAGGGAATAACACCGACTCGTTAGATCAATGGGGGTCGAGGTCTAGGGTTCGACTCCTCTTCTAGGCCAATCTTCTTCTACTTCCTCTTTTGCCTCTTCTTTTTGCTTTCACTCCATTCATTCATTGTTGCTTAAGCACATAGAAAGAACAAAGAGGAGATAAGATGGAAAAGATGACGAACATGCAACAGTTCAAGAAATGGTCAGATTACTACGAAATGCTACACAGTGATAAGTGGTGTTTGGATATAACTACGAAGAAAGAAAATATCCGGTAGAGACCGTGCTCCCTTATGCCACCTTCGTTCAAGCTCGTCTTCCCTCGCACCATCCTTTCCTTCATGCTCGTCTTTCCCTCATACCATCCCTTTCTTCATGTCAACCCCTTCTTCATGCCATTCCTTCCACTCTGCGATTTTGGCGAGACTGAGCGGCTCAGTGATCCAGTGACCGCTGACCCCGGTTCAACGATTCATTCTCCGTAAACGTTGCCAACGAAGCCATCTGAGCCCTTTTTTCCGGATCAGTTACTCAGAAACATCCTTCTGGGTCTTGTTCGGGAACATGTCGACAATCTGCTCGCCGCCCTCAGGCTCAGACCGAATGGCACGGATCAAGAAGATGGCGTCGATGATGAGCTGCAAGCAGAAGCTGACGCCGAGCATCCAGAAGCTGATCCCCCCGTTGTAGGCACCAGCGCCGTATTTGCTGAATTGGATGCCCGTGGAGCCTGACCAGAAGAAGGGGACGATCAGGTTGTAGATGGCGAGCTCCTTTGGGAACAAGGGCTTCTTCCGCTGGTCGATGATGATGGCGTAGGAGAAGCAGAAGTTCTGCACCATGAATGTCGGCCATGGCATCAGCGTACAGATCCAGAAAAGGTCGTTCAGGGCTTGAGTGATTTCCACGTTGCGCTCGGGGCGATAGGAGGTAGTCGCCAAGAGGATTCCGGGCAGGATGAAAGTCCAGAGGCCCGCAGCGGCGGCACTCAATTGGAGTTGTTGGACGACATAGTGCAGGTTCGGGACACGACGCATCTGGCTCGAAATGGCGGCACAGAAGGGCATGTAGAACAGGCCAGAGAGAACGATCAACGATGCGCCGACACGAACACGGTTCGTGTGCACCTGGTAGTGGTGGGCCGTTTGCTCTGCCGTCCACCATGGTTTGATCGGGGGCATGAAATCCGCGACGACGAATCCCAGCCCGAAGAGGACAGAGGAGAGGATGCCGCTGACGGCACAGTAGTACTGGAAAGCATGGGGGGTCATCCAGCGCGACTCGGCCAGGCGGTCCCACATGCGCGTGACTGATGCTGGGCGATGGAAACCCATGATGTCGGTGTTGGATGGGTCGAAATTTCAGAGACAGGTATGATGAATTAGATAGTAAAGTTCAGGTTGTGGTCTTCTATCTTCTCGTTGCGCCTGCTGCAGCTTATACTCAAATCTGGGGAACCCCTGTCACTTCCTTGTGCGTTGTCTGTCCGAGAAGACTGTCCGATAAAACAGTCTGGGCATGCTACAACAGACGTGTATCTGCGGTAGGAAGATTTGTTGCCATCCCTCTGAGACTTTACCGTAGAGATTCGGCCGGCTGGCTTGTTATGGTGTAAATGCGAGGCTTCTTTCGGCCTGGAGAACTCGTATGGACACTCGATTACTGGTCAGCGCCAATGCTAGGTTGTAACCGACCAGCTAGCTAGGTTGTAACCGATCAGCTAGGTTCATAAGCGATATCGTGCTTATTCTTTGCATGATCCCTAGTCCCTCATGACTTCCACTTCTCGTCTAAAAGAAGAGGGTTTTGGTTAATCTTAGATAATACCTCGGACGGTACAACTGAGGTACTAAGGCACATGCGCAAAGTTTGCCTTGTGTTTACAGCGGAGAGAAAGCGGAAGGATTTGACCACCGTAATATCGACTCGCTGGTTGGTTGAAACCCAATGCCGCGGCTGAAGATATTGCAATTGGGGGGGGATACCCAGCAAGGGTCTGAAGAACCCTGCATTTTGTTCCGGGATTACCTTGTACATGGCTGTGGGGGCGGCACCAGCCGAGGGAGTGGGTCAAAACGAGGGGGCGGGGCCAAACGAGGGGGCGGGGCAGAGTGGGGACAAGCTCTAAATCGACTTCCCCGGATGCCGAAGGCTGAGACGATCTTCAAGTCACAGGGAGGTCCGAAACCGCGCACCTTTGTGTGATACGGTACCAGGCTCCCCCTTTGGCTAGTCTGATGTTCGTGTAGGTTTCCTTAGCAGTCAAAAGCAGAAAGAGAAATGAGCGGCAATTGATCTTATTGCCATGTGATGTCTGGATGAACTATCATATGACTTCATACAAGAGAGGATTGCAGTGCAAGAACTATCGACATTGAGCACTGGTTCAGAACGCCCCTCCGCTTTGTTAGCTAGCATGCTTTCTATCCCCATTGTGACATGAACTTCGTAGCGTCGTCCAATTCTCGCTCAATGACAGCGAGATGCTCCTTGCTCCTTGGTACCACTTTCACTTCGAAAGGCAATGGGCATAGCAGGACTGCTGAGTTGTATGCGTCCACATCCAATGAAGTCACCTTTCCCGTGACTGGGTCCACAGGCTCAGAGATATCAAATGCCCACAGAAGCTTTGCGGTAATACGCCACATATTCCGCTCTGCAAGATGCATACCTGGACAGATACGACGGCCGCCACCGTACCCATAGTGATGTAATTACTGAATACTCGTCAGTTTCGAATACCAACCTTTGAAAGGGGCGTACGTATCTCGTTTGTTGTAGTCTCCAACCGAATAGTCATGAGCAAGTTTTGGATGATCCAGGTAGCGGTCCGGATTGAAGTCGTTGGGATTAGGGTACGATTTCTCGTCATAATGTAGAGCCCAGACTCCAAGGAAAACCGTTGTGCCCTTGGGAATGAGCATGCCCTCATATTCATCATCTGTATGACACAGTCTTTAGCTTTGAAAAGTTGAAACGTGCAAGGCGAAAGGGTATCGAACCTTGGGTGCACAAATGCGGCAAGCCTGCGGATGCGCTTTTGAACGTCAGCGATTGTATAGTAGAAAAGTAGCTGCAAGACAGAACATACGTTGGCCGCCATCTCATTCCTTCCTTCACGATACAGTTGATGTAGGGCAACTCATTGAAGTCCGAGAACAGCGGAGCTCTGTCTTTGCCACACACGGCATCGATTTCTTTCCTTGCGCGTTCCGCGACCTTTGGATATTTGGCAAGCGCTAAGATAATCGTCAAGATCTGGTTGGCCGTTGTATCTGCTCCAGCCTCAAGCAATACCCCAAAGAGATAGTTGAAAGCGTGTTGGGACATGGGAAACCCCTTGGCTTCATAATCATCAAGCTTGGTATCAATGAAACAATCCCTCTTATCGCCTTCAGCTCTTCTTTTGTCAATGATTGCTCTCGCCTTAGTCCACATGGCAGTCTGCAACTCCTTGCATTTGTCCGCTCGCGTCTTCCAGTTTCCAGGTAGGTATTTCAGGAATGGAAATTCGTCGATGGGAGGATTTGCTCCAAGCTCTTCTATTTTCACCCACTGCGGGTCATTAGCTGAATGTTTGAACGAATCGCAAAGGATGCCGGTAACAAACCAAGTCCATGAGTTCGTAGAATTCCTTATACCAGAAAGAGTCGAGATCCGCCGCTCTTTGGCCCCATATCAGCGTGCTCGCAACTGACGCTGTATAGAGTCTGGCGTAATCAAACATGCGTTCTGGCTGCTTTAGTATGTTATTCATGAATATTACGGCTCTGATTTTGGTTTCCCGTTAGCTGAATCGGAGAACGGACACATGGTTACCTACTCAGCCTCCTGGACGCGGAAATGCTTCTCATCCAATAGCTTTGGGCTCAGATTGCGTGAGACTATGGCACGCTGCTCCCTCCATGCCGGAGTCGCGTTCTCCATAGTCAAACGGTCGCCATGTGTGATGTAGTTGGTCACGTAGACAAATGGCCGGTCGGAGTAGATGCTCCCCTTCTTGTCAAGTAGATAGTTTGCTGCTTTTCGGTCGCAGACCACCACAAGGTTCCTAGGACCAATTTTGAGCGAAAATATCGGCCCATACTTGTCGGCCCAGGTTCGAAATCTAGCGAAAAAAAATTAGATTCCAGTACGGTGCAAGTCCTCAGATTTGTGTTCACTTACTGTTTTCCCAATCCCGTCTTTGGGATCTGGTGCACATTGCCAAGTAACGGAATAGTTGGCGGCCCTGGGGGCATTCGAGGATGCCGTCTACCAATGTTCAACACTCGATAAAGGGTGTAAGATAGCAACAACACGACGCCGGTGAGTAGATACATCTTGTAACGTCGGTGCACACGATCTTTCCGTAAACCTGGGGTAAGATGATGGGGTAAGATGATGGGGTAAGATGATCTCTTAAATAAGGTTCTCCAAGGCAGCTGAATGCGCTCCCTAATGATCATCATCGGACGGACTGTCTTCGGTCCTGCGTTTGTGGTGGCTCTAGGCCGTCACCCGCGTTGAGTCGTGAGGAGTTTCCTGCCGTCGTACGATTTCGAAAATCAACACGAATCACGCAGGAGACCTTACAACACCACCACAAATCATATATCATGAAAATCGCAGAGGAGAGGTAACCGAGAGTGTAGATTCAGTCTATCACAATTCCATGACGCAAAAGTTGAGCGAGAAGCTGTTGCATACGCGCTCCTAATCCTATTCTGCGCTCTCAAAGTCCGTAACACTTACAACCCTGCAAGGAGTCGTGATCTCTCACTTGACTTGTGTTTGTAAGCAACAATCAAAGGAAGAGTAGCAATTTCAACTACGACCCGAATGTCGGAGTCTTTAACAGGCGCTGTAGCCACCATCAACCGTCCAGTGCGCTTTGCCAAAGTTAGATCCTCTTGCAGCCAATCAAGATTCAATCTTGCGTATGCGGAGAACGTACCTCCAGTGACATAAGAAGCATCATTGCTCAGCAAGAAACACAATACTTTGGCTACCTCATGCGGGTGTCCCATTCGACCTAGGCAGGTAGAGTCGCTTGTTGCCTCTACATCAAACCCTCCCTCAGTTGCACGATCCCGAAGCAGGGGAGTGTCGATTGGACCCCTACGCCGCAGGTATGGTCAGCAACTGTGTTCGTCGGCGCTCACTTTCTGGCGTGAACTCACGGGAGAAGAGCATTGATGCGAATGCCCTCTCTTCCAAACTCGCCAGCGGCCGATGCGGTCAATCCAATGATACCAAACTTGCTCGTTGAGTATGCCGAATTGTGGGGGAATCCACGCAAGCCCGAGGTGCTAGAGACATTCACAATCGCGCCGCCTGGACGTGGAAGATGAGGCAGCTCCGCGCGCATGCAGTGCATGACACCGTTAAGGTTGATATTCAGCATCGTGTCCCACTCTTTTTGTTTCTATTCCCAGCGGAAGTCACTAACCTATCACTCCACCCCAGGGGATTCAACTTACGATAGTTTGAACTGTGGTCTCTCCCTTGCCCGCAGCGATACCGGCAACATTGGCTGCCCCATCCAGACGTCCAAAAAAGCGCACTGTGTCTTCAATCCACTTTTCAACTTGATCTGGCTGGCTTACATCCACCTTGGTGCATGTTATCTCGGTCGCGGAAGACCCGCCTTTGATCGTCAGTACGAAATAAGAAGCTCAATTTTGACTCGATGAAATCATACACAGCTTTTTGGTTTTTTCAAGACCCGCCAGGTTCACATCACTGATCGCAATGCCGCGAGCACCCAGTTCGGCCAGTCGGAGAACGACAGCTTGCCCTATGCCGGATGCTCCACCGGTAACGGCATAGACTTTACCTTTCATGGTCGATTGGAGAGGGGGGTTTCGGCAATTTATCTGCGCACTTTCGAAAAGTTGAGGGAGTGTTGTACACGAAAACCAAGGATAATAACGATTCAGATGAGCAGCAAACGCCGAAAGAGGGTTCTGGAGCAAGGTGGGTGTTGACTGGGGAAAATACTGGACTCAAGCCCCACTTCAGGGACTAAGCTTGGACAGGACGAGGGGGGGTGGGGAAACCTGGCTTGTCGGCACGTCTCCGGTGGGGATGGCAGCAGATCTCGGACCAAAATCGGGGTAGCTTGTACGTGCGTGGAACCGTGTTAAATACGAAAGAGGGGGAGGGTCTTTGGTGTTTACAGATTACAGCTCTTGCCCCGCACCTCCTCTTCAGACGATAAACAACGACCTTTTTCTCACCTTCCTCCGACGTACATCCCTCAATGTCGGATAAGCAGTTGGTCGGTAAGGTGGCCCTTGTAACGGGTGCATCTTCGGGCATCGGCAGGGCATGTGCTCTTTCTCTGGCGAAACAAGGTGCAAGCGTCGTGTGTTGCGATCTGCGGGCAGAAGCAAACCCGCAAGGCTTTGAGCCAGATCTGCATATCACGACACCGGATGTTATTTCAGGACTAGGTGGAAAGGCAATCTTCGTTGCTGTGGACATGGGCGACTTGAAGCAAGTGGAGAAGGCTTTCAAGGAAGCGATTGATGTAGGTTGCGAGGATTCCTCCCTCCAAACTGTGACCGTCGTTCTAATCAGTCAGAAATTCGGTCGGCTCGATATTTTGATCAACTGTGCTGGATACTGGGCCTCTCCTTTCCGAGACTTCGTGGACGAAACCGATGAGCTGTGGCAAAAGACATTCGATGTCAACACCCTTGGCGTAGCGAAGGCATGTCGCCTCGCGATCAGCTTGTACAAGACTAACGAAGTGGATGAGACATGGGGTAGCAGAGGTAGAATCGTCAATATTTCGTCATGCGCTGGACATGTCGCTATCAAGGGAGAGGTTGCGTATTCAGCAAGCAAGGCTGCTCTCAATCACATCACAAGAGCAGGAGCTATCGATCATGCTAAGGATCATATCAACATCAATTGCGTAGCTCCAGGGATCACTGCTACTGGCATATCACGAGTCAATTTCGAGGATGAAAACATCATCAATACATGGAAGAAGATCAACCCTTGGCCTCGCCTTGGCAAGGCCCAGGATATCGCGGATGCGGTGATGTTTTTCTGTCTGCCCTGTAGCCAGTGGATCACTGGTCAACTTCTTCCTGTGGATGGTGGGTTCACTCTTGGTATCGCTTCGTAGGCAAAACTGTTGGCAAATACTCAGAAAGCGGAAGATTACATACAAATTAGACTCAAGTCAAAAACCACGCATCATAGCGTTCCATATCTTTTCCGAAAGGTTCGAAACTCTCAAAATCGTCGGCGCTGTCGTCCAATTCAGAGTACGACGGCCATGAATACCCCTTCCGCGACGAGAGCCACGGCAGTCGTTCGCGGAATACAATGCCTTGTCATTTGACATCCGTACACTTTCCTGCCACAGTTTGTGCGCCTCAAGTACTAATAGAAACCGGGAGCAGCAGATGCACTTCCAATCTGCATACACCCTATTGACGCTGTGTAGGGTAGGCTCGCAAGGTTACCTTTGTACGATTTCTCCAAAATACTAACAATCTCTCTCATTTAAAATGCTGAAATTACAATGAGGCTCCTCATGCAGCGGTAAGCGAGTGTACGGATTCCAATGACGAGGCATTGCACTTCATGACGCTTTTTGCGGTTTTGTATGATGACGACAGTCGAATTTGTTGCTTATCTTCTCACAGAGTGACCAATGCGACCGATCACACTTTAAGAATCTGGGCGCGGCAGGATGTGAAACACGGTATGCAGAGTTCATTGCTCGTGTCAAACTGATGAGGATGGATGGTTATTGAACCGATTATTATATTGCGCGAGCTCCCTCAAATGTATGTAAAAAGGATTATCAACACGAGTACCACTTATCAAGACGGCTAGTTATGGTGCCGGTTTCCGTCGAAATGTATTATTGCTTGGTCCTCAAGTCTCTGGCGTGCCTTTGACATCATCCAATCGAATATCATTCAATGACACCTCGACGCTATCACCAAACTTGATATTCACCTCTGTAATTGAGTGGTTAGCTGTTGGTTTGGGGATGAGTGGATTCTGGGCACGATTTTGCTTACCTTCGAGGGTCAGGCCCTTGGTCTCGGGGAACGTCAGCAAGATAAGAATGGTGCAGAAAGCCGTCATGCAGATGAACACGATGTAGTACTTCCACCCGATAGTGCCGAACGCTTGCGCAGCAGGACTGTTGTAGATGACACCGAAGATGAAGTAGGATCCCAGGCCAAACGTCACACCCTTGGCCCGCAAGTGAGTTGGCCAGATCTCCGCGTTATAAACGTAGACAACGGTGTCAACTGAAAAGCTGTAGAAGACGATGAAGATGAAGTAAAAGGCGACGCTAGCGTTGATGCCTGGCTTGTAAGTCGAGTGGAGGTAGGTCTTTTGCAACGCACATTGAATGGACGTTGCGATGACCAGAAGGCATCCGCCGATGATGAGAAGTTTGACTCGTCCCACATGGTCCACAATCAGGGCATTCACGGTGCCACCGATAAGGGCAACCGTTGTCCAGACAATAGAAAGACCAAGCTGCAGAGTTGCATCGAATCCAAGCGCGCCGAACAGTATAGGCATAAGGTTGAACATGACCAGCAAGCCGCTAGACTGTACCATGGCGAACATTACAACCGAGCACCAAGCTCGTTTCCGAAGGTGCGCGTTGCTGAGGATATACGAATAACTGTGAGGAAGACCTTTCTCGGCGTGGACCTGTGCCACAATCTGCAACATCTCCGCCCGAGCCATCCTTGCAGACGGATCTGCTTTGGTACGATGGAGTCTTTCCATGATTGCTGAGGCTTCTTCAATTCTGTCCTGCTCGACGTACCATCTGGGAGACTCGGGGATGAGGAGAACTGCAATGGCGCAGATAAGAGAGAAGCCTGTGAGCATGATGAACTGGAGTCGCCATTGGATGGGTGAGGTGACGAAATTGAAACCTAGGGCAGCAATTCCGCAGACGATGTATCCAACAATGAGGCAGGTGGCGTGCATCCCCACCAGGAGGCCTCGTGTATGAGCAGGTGCAATTTCGCTCATGTACACTGGCGTGTTGCCCATGATCATACCTCCAGCAATGCCAGTGATAGCGCGAGAAGCAATGAACATGGCCGGGTTCGTGCTCGCAGCAGCGAGAACGCCAGAAATCGTCATGAGCAGGGCTGCCATGAGTGCACAGATGCGACGGCCGTAACCATCGGAGATATAGCCCTGCACTATGGTCCCTATGAACCCTCCGCCAAAGAATCTGTTTCATGTCAGAGACGTGTACACATGTTGAAAAGATTTCTTCAGCTTACATTGCGTTGATTGCGTCGATGATCGCATTAGCATTCGATCCACTTAGGAACTTCGCGATGAACGTCTCTTGTGCAAAGCATCCTGCGGCTGCATTGTTTCCATAGCCGAAGATGAAGCTTGATGATGCTGCTACAATGATAATCTGGCGGACCGATTAGACCAACCGAAGTAACGAAGTCGGGATGCTTACCCTAAAGTTGAGGAGACTTGGAAACCTGGATTGCTTCGGAAGCTCTGGAGCTTCGTCGTCAACGAACTCGGTCATATGGCCTTCGGACTTGGTCTCGGAGACGGCCATTGTTATGTTTCAGGTAAAAATCTGAAGTTTCGTGTGCCGGTGTCTCAAGGAAAGGGCCTGCTAGCGTGCAGATGTAAACTAGATCGATGGAATCCCAAGGTCCGATACCAGGCCCCCGGGTGCGCTTTATGCATGCGAGGCTCGGCGTAATAACCCATCGTGGGGCCCCAGACTCCAGAGTCCGGGGAAGAAATACCGGGGCAATGGGGAAATGGAGAACGGGGGAATGGGTCCGGGGTAGAGGCCACAGGCCACGGGGAGGCCACAGGGTCCGTAGAGGCCACAGGCTACGGGGAGGCCACAGGTGGGCTGAACCCTATTTAGACAAGCGACATGCCTGATTTGTACTTAGATAGGCCACATGATCACGAGAAATAGCTACAGGAAACATATCTGAACGCTATGATTTTGTCACCAGCATCTGAGGATAACCTAGCATCGAGAATGGCGAGGGTAATAGAGGGGCGAGCCACTGTTTAAAACTTTCCAAATGTGACTGAATCTACTCGCCGAATACTCCACCGATTCTCACTGATGGATGATTCTAGTTCGGGGGTGGAAGAGGCCAGTATATTTAGTCTTGTCTCTCGGAAGTATTTAGGGATCACGCCAGTTCAGGCGTGGCTGCTGACTCTAATCGAGGCTAAGAAATGGGGGGGGGGGGAACAGGAGGATCGGAAGAATATCGCTAATATTTTTGTTCGGGCGAATTCCCCCTCTTTTCTCCGCGAAAGCGCCACTGGGTCCAGACAACCTTCAAAAACTGCTCTAGCGCTTAATCTTAAAGAAACGACACACATTTTTGCTCTCTCCCATACTAGCCGTTAATCCTCCAAGTGCGATAGCCCACAGGAGCGCTCGTTGATCCTCCCAAACACACTCAACATGTCTATTTCTCTTCCTACCGCGGCGGTCCTATGCCTGGGCGTAGCGGTCCTCATCTACCGCCTGAGTCAGATGGGGAAACGGCTCCCCAATATGCCTCCGGGACCTCCCACGCTCCCTTTCCTTGGGAACGCCTTACAGATCCCCCGCGAGGGCTTTTACAAGAAGTATGCCCCAACACGATATCATGATTGAAGCAATATTAATGTGCAATTAGGATGAAAGAGTGGGCTGAGACATATGGCAAGATCTACTCACTGACCGTCGGCCCCACAAACATCATTGTTCTATGTGATCGAAAAGCGGTCCGGGATTTGATCGATAAGAAGTCTGCGATCTATTCTGACAGACCCGCGGACTACGTCGGAAGGCTACTCACAGGTGGGGACCACACGCTTATAGATGACTATAACGCGGAATGGCGAGAGAAACGCAAGCAAATGGCCCAAGTACTGTCTCCCAGAAGATGCGACGAGCAACACTCTCCTATCCAAGAGGCAGAGGCTAAATGCTTGCTGCTCGGCTTTCTCGACGACCCCGAACATTGCATAGAGCATATCAAGCGGACCACTGCTTCGATTGCTGGCATCATTACTTATGGCCAGCGAGCCCCTACCATCGACCATCCATATGCGACGCAAGTGTTCGACATTATGCAAGAATGGACCGAAGCGATGGGACCTGGAGCCAACCCCCCCGTGGACGTTTACCCCATCTTCAAGCTCTGGCCAACCCGCTTTGCTCCATGGAAGCAACGCGCTTACCGAGTCAACAAGAAGATGGATGTGGCATGGGCCGGAACTCTGAATGCGGTGCGGAAGAGGCGTGCAGTTGGTGACAAGCGAGAGTGTATGGCTGACTCGCTACTGGTAGAGGTGGAGAAGAACCCCAATTACATTCTTTCAGAGCATTCCATTCAAAACCTACTCGGCGAGATGATTGAGGGTGGCGCAGACACGACAACGGCGCAGCTCTCGACCTTTCTTGTGGCTATGGCGTGCTACCCTCGTGTGCAAGCAAAAGCGCAAGCCTTGATCGATGAGAAAATCGGTTCAGGCCGGTCGCCCACCTGGAAGGATTTCGACAGCCTCTCATATATTAACGCCATGGTGAAAGAGGGATTGCGCTGGAGACCTGTCACTAGTGTCGGGTTCCCCCATAAAGTCCGGGAAGGTATATGTTTCTGAATACGTCTTTACGGTGAAAGAGACTGACACAAAACAGATGACACTTACGAAGGCATGCTTATTCCTAAAGGATCAACTGTCTTTGTTCCTGTTTGGTATGTATCACGTTGATATGAGCAGATGGCCGTCTAGCTAATTAATGGCAGGGCTTTGAACCATGATTCTGCTCAATTCAAGGACGCTGAAGAGTACTGGCCAGAGCGATATGATGGGTTCTCGAGGCTGGCCGACTCTTACTCCGGCAGCGGAGACTATGAAGGACGAGGTAAGCGGCTTATCCACATTGCGTTTTCTTTTGAAAAGCTTGCTAACTGCTAGTAGATCATTACACATACGGTGCAGGCCGACGAATCTGTCCCGGTATTCATCTCGCAGAGCGCAATCAGTGGCGATCCATCGCCAAGATCCTCTGGGCTTTCAAAATCTCGAAAGCGAGAGATCCTGTCACTGGAGAAGAGATAGACATCGACGTTAATGCGTACAAGTCAGGTCTCGCGCAATCCCCGCTACCTTTCAAAGTTCACATAGAGCCCCGTAGTGTGGCGCATGCCGCCACGATTCGTCGGGAATGGGCTGAGGCAAAGGAAATCTTGGCCAAGTATGAGTGAGGGCCGTCATGGTTTTGTCTCAAGTTTTTGTAGACGTAACTTATAGAAATGAAATCATGAAGTCTCGCGATATACCACTCAACTTTCTCCCCTTTTCGAAACCAGAGTGATGAGCGCATTGGCCTTTTCGGAAACAAAGCGCATCTCCGACAGGCCAGTGATGAAGATAGTTGGAGGAACTTTAGTATGCAAGCTGGCTTTCGCATTTCCAATAGATATGGCACTGTAGTGAGACATCCCCCCGCACCTGCTAGGCGAGCGCGCGGGTTTCTTCGTAATTTCTGCACGACACTCACGCATAAGGAAGGTATATCGCCTTGAGAGTACATTGATGCTATTGAGATTTGTTGTCGTAGCTTCGCCAGTGCAGTGGGACAAACGCCCCCCCACCCCCTCCGCAACTGTTAGGCGGGTTTCTTCTTGACCCACTGGAAACACACGATAGTCGAAAGGATGAATGCTCCAAGTTCGTTCGGCGTTTGAGTTTGCTGTTTGCTGGCTGTGTGTATTTCTTCCTTATCGTTGGCTTCATCGTGGTCGTACAACTCGACACGACGGTCTTCTTCTCGCAGCACCTACGGACTCCAGCCAATGGTCTTTGGGGGTCCATATATGCTCTCAACCCTAGCTTCCCGCCATTTCCCCCATTTCAAGTCAAAAATTTCCAAGTCCGTCTGGGATTTGCCGCCGTCAGTGTGTCGCCGTCCTTGATACCAATGCGAGAAGTTCCATGACTCGCCATCATCACAATCAGGATCAGAGTAATTGATCTCAGTTTCGAGACTTCCAACATACAATTGTGCATCCACAAGAACCGAAACCCGCGAAACCTCACGACTTGCTAGGGTTTCGCACAATGCGGGTAAACCAAATATGTCTCCATAGAATTGCCCTGTAAAAATCATCTTGATATGCAAGTCGTGGCGCGCCTGTCTCTGAATATTTGAGATGAGGAGCAGCCATTGCCCATGATCTTCTTCTTCAGAGACACCGTAGCCGTCAATAAGAAGAGACCGTATATGTCGTAGGTGATTTTGTGGAATCTTGGTGAAAGTTTCCCATATACGTTTTACGGCACTGTCTCTAATGTAGAATTGATTGCGGCCGTAGAACGTTTCGACGGCGAGGGCGGATATATGACGATTAACAGTGAACAGTGCAGCTGCGTTGCGGTTGCAAACACAAGTACTTGAGTACTGCACGCGGTCTTCCCTATTGCAGATGCATTTGCAGCACGGCATGGATGTGTATGGCATAGATATGTTACATGCCCAACAACATCCATTTAGCATGGCGTCGGTCATCCCTCGGCCAGCGAGTCGTATGCCGCGGACGTCTGTGCTGATGTGGTGGAATCTCTCGACTCCGTTCGTGAAAACTAGGCCGGTGTGCGATAGAACCATCATCTGCAGCTCTACTGGCAATTTCAAGAAAGGAAAACTGGCGTCGGAAATACGTTTGTCCGTCTGCACCGTAGGAGGCGTTCTTGTTAGATCTTCCACAGTGGATTTTAAGAGCCTCGACATCGCTTCTTTGGAGCTATCCGGAAAGGTGCGACGGTTCCCAAGCTTCAGTCTCAAATTACGGACGCTAGGCAACTGCTTAAGAGAAGCCAGTACGATCTTGGCGGTATGCAAGTCTTTAACGTAGCACTCGAAGCCGAGATCTAGCTGGAAAGGTGTGCAATGCATGCTCAACAACATGCATACATCTTGCCACATCTTCTCACAGCGAACAAAGTATTCGCATCTCTTCGCAGAGGTGCTCGAGACAGCCGATCTCGAATTCATGGCGAAGACGTGCAGGAACCTAATTGCAGCAAAGGCTCGATGACTGAGTTGCGAGAATCGCTGCAAGGTCCATGGATCATGTGAAGCCAAAGCGAAGGTGTTTTCTCCGTAGAGTATATCTGTGGCCTCATCGTGGAATTTGCGACAGATGTAGAGGATGGATATTGGTAGACGTCCATGCCGGCAGCCGTAAGGCATATTCCTATCGCCGCTCCGGAGGGCTTTCGAGATTTCAGCACCACACCATTCCAGAGTCCCATCCCATGTTTTTGTAATCTCATTACGCTCCAAATGGATCAACTCGTTGTCATCCCATATCAGACAACTTTCATGGAGACCCTTTGGTTTCGCAAAAGGAGTTCGGAATATGTCTCTATCCCGACTACTGCTAGTTATTTTCGTGCGTAAAGCTGATCGGACATAACCGCACTAGACCGGCTTCTCGAAAGATCTTTGCTCGAAGCTGAGGCGGGAGCCCTTCCAAGGAGGCCGGTCGTTCGTGTGGAGCCTCAGGAGTTATCGTAGGGCCCATTGTTTTAGGATTTAGCCGAGCGTCGGGAAGGACGAAGGGTCGCGTGAGATGGTGAGCGGCGCCAGTCCTCCGAATAGGCTTTGTGGCAGCAAGTTGTTCTACACCCCCTCTTTGCGTCCGGTGGTCACTCTCTAATGTCAAGCCACAGGCTTACCGTATAAGGGAGCAACTCCGGTCGCTTTTAGGGGGGAATAGCAACGTTCTGGCCAATCAATCCTCAAGTCGGTTAAGTACTAGCCCAGAAAAGAGGTATACCAGGATCGACTCAGTTTAGCGCTATGTTCACCGGACGTAAAGAGAGGGTATATAGAAAGGCTGGCCAAGAATAATGGCGAAGAGGCTAGTGGCGCGTATAGGGTAGCAGGACACAGCGGCGCTAAGTCTTCGAGCGTATTCTAAGCTTCGTGGCGGGAAGTCGTTTCTTAGGCTGAGGTGATGGAATCTAGTGTCGAGGCTGAAGCTAGTGGCGCGTATAGGGTAGCAGGACGCAGCGGCGCCAATTCTCCGAGCGTGTTCTAAGCTTCGTGGGGGGAAGTCGTTTCTTAGGTTGAGGCGATGGAATCTAGTGTCGAGGGAATTCCATTCGAACATGTGGTGTGTAGCATGAGTCAGAGCGCCGCCGGCCTGCCACGGGAAAAGTTCTGTGTGCACGTTCCCCTTACTAACAAGTTGATGTGATGAATGCTTATGTTGAGGAAATCTCATACAAAGGTATGAACAGGTGGTGCGCGCGCACTTGCCAGATTAAGTGGTGAGGATGGAGGTGAAACAATGCATTGAACGAGGTAAGTGATGTATTGGATGAGCATCTATCTAGGCTACGTACGCCGTATATATACTCTGTGTGTGTGGAGGCTTACGTAGCCGTACCGTAGAACTGTGTGGGCTAAGTATAGGAACCGTGTTCTATATTAAGGTAGCAGAGCTAACCGTACCATACTCCGTAGGCTAGCTGGCTAAGAATACGTACTCCGTCAAGTGGGGCCGTAATAATCACGTGACATGCCTCAAGTTAAAGTAGGTATGACCTCCCCACTAACAGGCTCATTTTAAAAATGAAGCGGTAGTAACTAGTCTGAGAAGCTGTGGCAGCTGTCTGCAAAGGTTTGACCCTCAATCCACCGCAAGCTGCAGAATGGGGAGCACGTGACTAGCGACGACGCGCAACCCATGAGGCAACATGACAAAGACACTTTTCTTAGAATCTCAGCGTCTTCGATGCCAATTATATGCCTGAGTATCGACCCAAATGTTACTATCGTATGCAGCGGGCCCAGTTCCCTAAGCGATGCGGGCTGTCGATAGATGTGACTCATCCATGATGAGCCGTCTGTCGACCTTGACATCCCTCCCGTGTTTTTCAAAGCCGTCTCGAAACCAACGCTTGAAATCAAGCCCCGTCATGACTCCCTCGCGGTCCCCCCGTCCAGCCGCAATGGTGAGTTTCCCAAGCTTTTTGCACTTAAATATTGCATCGAAGTGAAGATACTTCATCATTTCGTCGATGTTGTGGAAGTATCGCACCACATCCCAAGCCGCAGAGTAACTGAAGCCGGGATCAGGGCCTTGGTCAACGCTGATATCTTGCGTCACAGTGATCTCTAGAGTCGTGATGTTTGAGCACTGCCTGAGGAAGTCCACTTCTTCGCTACCGCCTTGCAACCAACTCCCACGGCCTCCCCATTCCATGAATCGTAGATGTCGGATGGCGCCATAGGCCTCGAAGTTCCACTTGTTAGACAATTCGTCGAGCCACTCCCGGAAACCCTTCAAATCCGCTGAGTCCCGAACATTGAAGATATGCCCTTGGATGAAGTATGGCAGGGTTTCTATTCGGAGTTGTTGGTTGGCACGGGATAAAGACGGAGTAGTCGGAAGATGGCTGAGTGTGAGAGAGATCTCCTCCGGTGTCTCGGCGGGCCACAGGAAACTGTAGATGTGGTCTCGTAATTCGCGTGGAAGGGCTAAGATTGGGAACTTAACAGTGTTAACGGATATAGGATCTTCAGGGATAAATCTAAGTTTGTCTACCTCCTTGAGTTCGAATTCCTTGCTCTTGAATGTGGATCGAAATAGCGGGAATGGTACGCCGGTCTTGTGTGCAGGCCCGGCAGCATTTATCCAGTCTACATTGTCTTTCGCCCACTGCGGTGCACGCTGGGCGCAGTTGAGAGGTTTGCGGGGTGGCCCACGGAGTGGGCTAACGGGCGATGGCCTACGGAGTAGACTAACGGGTGATGGCCTACGGGGTGATGGCCTCTTCGGGGGTGGTACGTTCGCCCACATGGTTGGTTGAGGTGGGGTGCGGAAGGTCGGGGATACGAAGGTGAGGTTGTTAAAGTACTTTGTGTGACCGGAGGGATACACTTTGGTTGTCGCTATCGAGGCTGCTACTGGGGGCCGCGTGGTGAATGGTTGAGCTACATGAACTTGATATTAGTGCTTTCACCTTCTACTTAGGAGTCCAAGTCCTACTTTTCAAGCCCGCACTTCTCCCCCCACCCACACTTCTGACTAAACTGCGTGAAGCTCTCATAATCTTCCAACACCAACAGAGTACGACTGTCCGTAGTCGTAGCAAATATGTCGGAGAATTCAAACAAGGCTCCCGAGATCGGCCTCTCCGCTGGTAGCGTTCTAGGACCTGGGGAAGAGACCTCCGCATCCGAAAACGAGCTGCAAGAGCCACTTAGCCTAGGACAGAAGCCAGTGAGTCTCTTCCACAATTCATTTTACATACCGTACCGTAGCTAACAGAGAGAGTTCCGGTTCTTCGACCTGCCACACGAGTTGCGCGATCTAGCATACAGCTTCGCTTGGCCAGATGATGCGCCCCGAAATGCGACCATCCGCCATTCGCCCACTAGTGATGACTGTACCGTTGTATTCTCTGCTGGGATTCCGAGCCGTGTCAATCGCCAATTCCACACCGAGACGTTCCCGTATCTTCTCAAGGGGCACCGAATCCTCGTCGACGACTCCGTCAAACTTCGAGGTTTGATCAAGTGGCTTTCATCTAATCCTACCGGCTCCAGCTTTGACGCAATTCGGCATCTCCGATTCACAGGCAACGAAATTTCATCTCGTTGGGCAAGCCCGAAATGCTTCTCTTCGCGCTCCCACAATCTACAACTCCTGCCAAATCTCGTCATCAACGAAGATATCGAGTTCATGAAACTATGCCCTCGTCTCACAACGGTCCACTTTGATAATCACCTTTGGAAGCTTCGTTCGCTGGTCGGTCGCTATTATGCGCAGCTGTTCGGCCCCTTTCAAACTCTGACCGACGCCGTCAATTTCTTCCATTTGGATGGACTGTTCGAGTGCTCGAATCTGGAAAAGATCGTGATCTACCGCCGCGCTATCAATACCACAGTCGATGAAGAATTCGCAGAACGGCTTCAGAAAGGTTTCATGGAGCGTGGAAGGAAGGTTGCGATAAGAGTTACGGGTTAATGAGAGGGGTAGTGTGCCCTTTCCTGGTGCCCACGATTTGATACGTTGACGCTAGTTCCTCCAGACGTTCAGCTATGAAGGTGAAGGGATCAGCCGGGATGAATTCTCTCACGGAAACAGGAATGGAATTTTCCCATCTGGAGAACGGAGATGCTCAAAGGACTATTGAAATGTGCGAGTCTGTAGTTCCCGAGCGGTACTCAAAGGTATAACAGAGGGAAAGTACTGCTTAGGCTGAAGAAGCGACAAATTAATAGCCAGAAATATGCGGCCTCGGCTTAGCTCTAGCCTGCTTCTTCGAATGATCACATAGCCCCAAAGCTTGTTATGACACTATCGCATTGCTCATAGGAATAGCGTGACGCCTCGCTTGCTCATCTACGACAAGACAATTAGAGTATCCATTTTGCAGAAATGCAATGGAGTGGAGTGATTTAGTGAATAGGTCGAGCTATCACCGATGGGGTTGCCGGATCGCCTTCTAAAGCAGTTGTCTTTCACGCGAGTCTCTTTTCTCCCCGCCACTTTATTTGGCCGTAGACCTTTGAACACAAGCAACCACCACTCTGCCGCTAGCGGTCCACTCCTTCTACCTGGAGCAGTGCCGCTCTTACTCGAACCCGGGTCTACCATAGTCACGACCGCTGAGCGAGATAACGTTACTATCACCGACCCTCCCGTACTCGGATGGGTGCACTATTTCATTAGCCTAGCCCTAGAGCGGTACAGGAGGATCTGGCCTAGGGCTACATTGTCAAACCAAGAACCAGAACCAGAGCCGGTAAAACTTCCCAATTCTACCATTTCTTAGCAAATTACTAAGATCACAGTTTCGCTTCCTCGACCTTCCTCGCGAGCTGCGGGACATGGTATACAGTAGCCTTTGGTGCCCCTCCCGAATATACGTCTGCCTGTATCCCAGCATGCTCCAAGACCATACGATCATCCCCGCATTGTGCTTCGTCTACCGCCAAGTACGCCAAGAAGCTTCTATTAGCTTCTTCAAGCGGGAGCTTTTCAAGATTATCAGTCTTATAGAGCTTGAAATCTTCAAGAAATGGCTCGCAGCTGCCCCTGACTTCGCCGGATCGGTTCGACACTTGAGCTTCAACTTCAAGGGCTTTAGCGACTTTACAAACCGCTGGAGCAATGAAGCCAACTCGAACGAGGATACCGAATTGATGGAGCGATGCCTAAACCTCCGAACGGTAGAGATCCATCACTCTATTCGTCTTCTCATCACACAAGCAATCAATATATTTCCAGTTTCAGGGATCACACACGAGCAGGGAATTGTGTTCAGGTGTAATGCTCCTCGGAGACTGTTTAGTTTATGAATTACAAGATGTCATGCTATGAAGTAACAATCCTTAGCAAAACCATGAAGTGGTGATACAGGTCCCCATCTAATCCAGGTTTTGCGAATACTTTGCGTCGTGATCGCTTCAAAACCGCAGAATACAGATACTAACCCAAGCCAAGTCTCGTCTAGCAAGTACACGACTGATCACCGATTCCTACAGTCGAGTACCCCTACAAGAGAACTCCACCATCCTCATGATCCGACATTGAGTAGAGGGAATCTGCTTTGGCATCGTCCTCCTTCTCATCATCGCTTCCACCTCCCTCGGTATCACCGTCGATGCTCTGCTCGGGACCTTCAACAGCAGTGTCGTATCCGTTGTAGGATTCGTCGTACAACCACTCATCGTCTTCTCTGTCATACTCCTTTGCGAGTGCATCTATGTCATGTGCCTCGCGAATCTCTTGCTGCTTGCGGTCTGCGGCTGCCTTTTCCTTGCTCTCTGTATCACCGCCAAGCACGAGTTCCAGCGCTTCTTGTAGAGATATATCGCATTGTTCCATGAGTTCTACGACCTGCACTTGGAGCACAGGATCTAGATGCTCCAGTTTCGTTGCCACTCGAGCCGGCAGGTTGAGACTCGTTCCGGGCGGGATGGGCTTGCCCTCGGCATCGATCGGGACGGCGCGAGGAAGGGGGTCCGACTTGGGTCCATCTGGCTGCGGAAAGTCATACCCTCCAGAATCTTCGTGTTCGTGGAAGGGCTTTATCACCATCACCTTCCCTTCAAAAGTGAACAGTGCCTCAACTGCCTCGAACCATGAAACTCCTGTGTCTTGAATCATTGCTGCAATTTGGGCATCGAAGAGCGGATCCTTTGGGACCCTCACGTAACGGGTATCGCTTCCACGTTTATCCCAGGATGCCATACGTCCACCTGCGGGACCAACAGCCTATACCAATTCATCAGTATGAAACCGACTCGGTAGTGGCGTGACGTAGTATACGTACGACATAGATATAGTCGTATGACTCGGTGTCTTGGTTCTGGGCGGAGTTGTCCTCCGGTAGGTCTGTCAAGTCGCCAGCTTCATCGAACGGATGGTGCTGATTGGGATGAGTCGGGGCGGACGTAGACCCGTCCGGCTGGGGAAGCGGGTACCGGAATGGATCCTCCTTGGCTTGATCGACACCTTCGTGCTCGGCGGAGTTCTCGGTCGATGTGGCTTCCGCTTCAGTATCATTCACTGTACGTGGAGGCACTACGTTCTCTTTGTTGTCCTGGACCAAGGTTTCATCTTCGCTGGTCTGTGATTTGGGCGGTGTGGCCTCAGTATCATTACCCTTGTTTTCGTAAACGGCAATGGCTCCTTGTTCGGAGCGACTCTCAGACGGGATGGGCTCCTCAGCATCTTGCTGCGTTGGGAGTGCAGTTTCCACATCTTTAGGTTCGGCCGTAGCTGGCTGCCACCAAAGAGTCTCACGCCAGGTCTGGCGCTTGACTGGGCCCTGCGAAGAAAACACAGTGTATGCACCATCACCGGGCTGCTCGGCTGTCTTCTCTGCCGTGCGGTTGAGTATGGACATGAAGGCGCCCATCTTGGGTTGATGGTGAGCTGCGGTTCCTCCGGAGTCTGGGCAAGCGGTAGCGTCTGCTGGTGTCAGTGGCCGTCGGGTGGAGTGACGGGCTTTGAGGGCAGTGAGGTTAGTCGGAACCTACGATCTGGCGGCTGCTCGCGCGTATCACATGTGTCGGCTGCGTCCTCGTGCTTTGGTGGTGGTGACTGGAGTTCTACCATCCTCGCAGGGGTTGATTGAGTGATGAGCGGATAAGGACGGCAGAGAGGAAGTTGAATTAGAGAGGGCGAGATGGAGGGGGAAAGCTTACAGATAACATGCAGAACCAAGGCGAGAAATTTGATATGGCGAGAAGGGTTCGTTGATGTGGGGCTGTCCTTCATCGTCAACATCTCTAAACAACGTCCGTGCGTCATGTTCGCACGGCCGACGGCATGTGATATCGTCTTACCCTTTTCAATTTGTAGAATAAGCAGAGTTGAAGCAAGCTCAATGCGACGATCTGCACACTCGTTTGCCACTGCATGAGGAGCTTCAAAGTATTTTCAGCGTTCCGAATAAGAGAAAAGTTGGGCATTTTGGATAACTGGTAAACTCGTGAGGCTATCCCAGACAGCGTCAACAGGGTGTACGCAGATCAAAAATATGTTTGCTGACCCGATTTCTATTAGTACGTTGGAGCCCCATAGACAGTGGCAGGAAAGCGTACGGATATCCTGTGGCAAGGCACTGTAAGAATAGAGTGTTTACCTTACCTACTAACAAAGACGAAATTCTATGCATTTTTCGATCTCCTCTCGATCTTCTACAATACTGCAGCTCAATTCTCCATCTTCAACATCGCGATCTGTTTTCTCACTTCTTCGACATCGTCCAATGGTGCCTCGTCTTCTTTCTCTTCCTCGCCTACCTCTACACCTTGACCATCACCACGATCCGGAAGCCCCTCATCATCCTCCTCCTCATCCCCCAAGTTTTCCAACCCATCTTCCCCAGGATCGCCTTCGTCTTCCGATTCCAATTCCATCTCAAAGGAGTCGCACCGTGTTCGCGCCTTCCTCGCCAAATCTTCCTCAAAATCCCTCTGCATCCTCCTCTGTATACGATCTGCGACTATATCTAGCTCCTCTTGCCGCGTCTCCAACGAGAGTAGACGGGCTGCCAAGGTTTCCACTTCGCTGTCCGGCACGGTAAATCCTATGTATCTTAGTGCATCCGCCTCCTCAATGTCGTAGCTGATCAGCACCTGAGCCAAGGTTTCACTGGATGGGTCTTCGGTCGCTTGGAGCGTATCTGGGTCGGTGCTGTTCGCGTCCACCTGCTCAGCCCTCTCTGGGGCGTTGACGAGGCTTTGGTTGACGACTTCTGACTCATTCGGTTCTTCAAGCGTAGACCATGTAGTGTCATTGCTGTCCTCCTGCGCCTCCTCTTCCCCATCGCTGGCGGGCGATGATGAACGGGAGGGCGGTACATCATCGACGGTCTGGTCACCTAGAACCTCTCTCCTGTCTTCCTCTAGGTCGACTCTAGGATATCCTGTAGGCAGAGGCGGCGCATCGCCCTCATTTCCTGCAACACGTGGGTCCGACGTTGACTCTGCTCTCGCGGAGACCTCATTGCTTTCCTGTTCCCCGGTCTGGCCATCTGGACTGCCCATCCGCACAGACTGTCCGGAATCTGGCCCACCGTAGCCCGTCGTACTATGTTCGTGAGAATCCTCTACTTGTCCTTCCGGAGATGGTGGTGGGCCTTCCGCGCTCTTTTCTAGCATTTCAGGAACGGCTTAGTGGATTTGGAAATCTGAAGATGAGGGAAATGAGCCAAATTTGCTCTTAGCTTTTTGGAAAAATGGGAATCTTTTTAAGGTTCCTCAAGAAAGAAATAGCCACATTTAATTGAGCCTGAAACAAACGCAAATGCAAACAGCCAATCACTTAATAAACCTCTACTAACGTGGAATATAGTATATGGTTCTAATGCAGACCAGGTTCAGAGAAAGAAAATAATTCGTCTTGCTGTCAAGCTCTACGAAAATAATAACAAACCTGAGTGTCTCGCTGCCTGCGTACACCTTCTAAGCACCGTACGAGAGGCCTCAAAGTACTTTCGCGAAACCAAGCGAGATGAAAACTCATTGTTTTGAACAATCCCTAAACCCAGCAAGGCACCCCATATGCTTGCAGAACACAGTTCTAAGAACAAACCAGTCTCATGTGTCGCGACATATGTATACACATCTATAACTTTCTCGCCTCCGGTTCTCACTAAGAATAACCAAATCCCATGACGCTCTTAGCCAAAAGTGACCACCCATATATACGTTTGTCTCATATCCAGTCTCTACGCCGCAACCTCCCCCTTCTTCCGCCCCTTCCACCTCCTCTTCTTCGTCTCTTCTTTCTTCGCCAAATTCTCCACGCTCCCACTCCGACTCCCTCCACCAACACCCACACCCATGTCACTGATGACACCACCAACCGCTTTACTCGCACCGATCTGGATTCCTTTCATACCGTATACCCCACGTCCACTTTCGAAGCTATTCCGCGACGGCGACCTAGTCGACGCAGCAGAGCCCTTGGGTGAGCCAGCGACCTCGTCGCTACTCCACCAGCCCTCCGGGCGGGACGTCGACGTCTGGTTCGTGAGCTGAGTGCCAGATGGCGAGTCCTGCTGGTGAGGCGGCGAGTTCTCCGACGTAGAAGGTTGCGCAGACGCCGGCATCACCGCAGCGGCGGCACGGGCAGGCGAAGGCGTATGCGTGCGTTTGCCGCTGCCTGAAAGGACACGCGTGATGGAAGTTTTACGATTCGTGTGCGCGGGCGATGGAGTTTCCGGGGCTCTTACCGGAACATGCTGATGTGAGGTGTTCTGGCTTACCTTTGTCGCGCGGAAGGCGGCTGGGCTGGATGAGCTCTCGTCTTCGTCCTCTTCGTCGCCGACGTCGCCGATTTGTTTTCGTTCTGGGAAGGCGTAGCGTGCTGGCGAGCGGAATTCCCGCCTTTTTTCTTTCCGGGTTATGCTGCCGCTTGGACTGGATGTGTCGCCAGTCGCGTACTCTTCCAGGGCGTCGAAGACGTGCGGGAAGACGAGTTCGTTGACGGAACTAGCCCAGAGGAAGTCGAGATGTTCGTAATGTGGGATCTCTTTCGCAACGGTGTGGCGGGGCAGCTCGTGCAACATGACGTCTATATCAACGAGACTGTCGGACCCGCCGTAGACAAGCACGATTGGAGTTTTGATGTTGCGAGTTGGGAATTTCGCAATCTTGTAATACTTGTTCGGGTTCGTGAGGGCTAGCGAGGGGGGCGCTTCGTCGTCATACATCTGGAAGTGACCATTTCGGATAATCTGAAACCAATGCACCACACTCTTCGTGCTAGTGAACGAGTATAGATGTGGGTATGCGGCTAGCTTTTGATGTGGGGTGATGTTGACGCCCGTCCATCCAAAGAGGAAAGTAAGGGAATGGTCGATCAAGCGGACGAAGATTGGTGGATACAAGATCGCTTGCCACATTGTGGCTGAGCCCAGGATAGCCCGGCGACCGAAAGCGAGGAACAGTACTTCCGGGGAGGCCTTGACGAATGTATCGACGATCTGGGATGTTAGCCCCTTGGGAGACATGGCCGGAGCGAGCGCAATAAAGACGTCGACTTTCTCATTGAGTGTCGGATGAATGGAGAGAGTAGCGAAGGCTTGGGCAGTGCCTTGTGAGAAGCCGATGTAGGAGAGCGAGGGTTGATGAGTAGTAGCCAGGATGTAATCGATGCTGTCGGGGATATCATGGAAGGCGAATTGGTCCATTGAGAAGTTCCAGAATGCTGTCGAGGTTGGAGCGCAATGGACTGACTTTTTGGAGTATTTATTTCCGCGATTGTTTCCGAGCTGTACAGTATTAGCAAATGGTCTCTGAAAGACGACTGGTAGGGATAGAAGCCTCGTTGACTGGTACACCGAACTAGTAGAACCGCATTTCTTTGGCACTGCAAATCGTGGACCGTGGGAAGAGTTCTAGAATCGAGGGATGGTCCCAATTGACAAGAAATATATCAAAACTCACCCAAACGTCGTATCCTCGCTCCACCAAAACAAATGGCAAGCACCTCTCCCTCTCCGTCAAGCAGACCCACACCTCGCTATTCATCATCAAGCCATGATGCATATAAACAACCTTCTTCCTCACAGTATCCCCATTTGTTCCATAGTTGACCCTCAGGCCCTCTTCGCCTCTCCGATAGGCCAGTCTATGCAGCCCAAGTAAATATCCGTCCTTCGTCTGCACAATATGTTCCTCCGCATAGTATCCAAACAACTCGCACAGCTCGACGAAGTCTGAGGCATTGGCAATGCTGGAGCTAACTGCCTTCTTTTTTTGGCGTTGGCGACGGCCTTGCGGAGTGGACAGGTAGTTGAAAGCCCGGCGGGTGGCTTTGTAGCAGAGGGCTATGATGGGGGTCGGTAGCATCAGGGTAATGAGCGCAATGAGAGACTCGAGGGTGATGAGGAAGAAGCTGAGCATGAGGGCGAGGTACTCGCGGATGTGAAGCCGCGAGAGGAATGGAATGTGAGGCATCCTGGCGGTGTGGTCGAGGTAAGAGCACTGTTCGGGGAGGTCCGCTAGAGTGCTATGTGAACGATCTCGTGTTAAGCTTCCGGGCTAAAAGTCGAGTATGCATGCTCACCGCCAGTAGCTGCTGGCAATCGGACGATGGCGATGCACGCGATGGTCTAGGCGGTGGTGTTGAGGGCTCCACCCCACCTCTGTTTTGTTGGTGGACTGGACTGCCTGCCCCTGGTTAGAATACCCATGACGTGAACAGCGAAGTCCCGAACATGTGACAGCTGCAGCCGGCCGGTCTTGGCAACGGGCGGAACAATTCCATGTCGAACCATTCGAAAACCTCACCACCACGCCTGCATCTACAGCTCTGTATATCGACGCGCCCTATGAATCGGTGACCTGAATTCTGTACTTGAAAATATCAACACGCGCCATCATCGAGGCCCATACAGCCAACCGCAGCCATGCCCGCCTCCTGCAAAGACATCCGTATGCATCCCTCCACAACCTTGAAAGCTATCCAGACCCATTTCTAACATCAATATTTAGGGCAAGCTCTAGCCGCATGCCTCCAAAACTCCGACTGCATAATGATCGACCGCCACGCGCCCTCCGACTGCCTGCGACCGCCACTCAACGAGACCCTACCTACCCAATGCCAACAACTCCAAAAAGGCTACGGCCAATGCAAGCGCGGCATGATCGATATGCGCAAACGCTTCCGAGGAAACCGACCCGTGGGACTATCGACCGAGCTCGAGGGTGCCGGTTCCGGCGATGCCACAGTCGGAACAATTGAGGAGAAGGGATACATGCTGTATGCGGGCAAGCCGACACAAAGGGTGCGGGTGACGAGTGGAGACGAGGGTCCAAACGTAGTGCCTGAGGGGTATGTAGAGGTGAGGAAGAAGGATGGGGTGGTGGAGGTTGTGAAGCGTTCGGGAGAGTTGAGGAAGGACTAGGGATGGTTGCAGATGGACGATCGGATGACGACGCATGCTTGTACATATCAAGAATGGCGGGGAAAGGCATATGATGGCGTTCTTGCTAGGGCATTTTGGTTGGCATGCGATGGTTTGGGAACGTCTCCAATCAAACACTTGTTGCTATCATCTGTAAGATACTGTAAAGGAAGAGATCGAAGGCTATTCATGATCACATCTACCATAGTACGATCTGATAGTACCGTGTGAATAAGACGAGGCGCGAATCGGGATAAGTAAAGAAGCAAAATATTCCTAAACCCAAAACGTCTAAGCGATTTACACCAGCGTACCGAAAGAGTTAGACGAAATACGAGTTATATTCCGATGAACCAATTGATCCATCGATTAGTCAAGCTATGTGGTTATTTCGAAGGTCATTTATGAATCATTTTGTAAATAGCTTTCAAGTTTTGAACCCGCTTTTTTTATTGCTTCGTTTTGCGGGAAACCTTGGTATCACGCCCCAAGAAATTCACTACAAGATTTCGATGAACGCCATACTACCCAAAAGCCGCGTGCCAAAATTGACTGAACGCGTTTCTATGAACCGGAAGTCACAGCGGGCTGGTACCTAGCAAACGGGTCTTTCGTACGAACAAGAATCCAAGAAGTATTCAGGGGGCTTTAGGAGCGGGAAGCTAGATTTGGACTCGATCATTGATTTGTGGAAGGCCAAATGAGTGGCTAGCGCCTTTCTATTTCAGGTTTCGTCTGGGGTTTTATCTCATGTCATTTATGCATCATCAGGGCAAACACCACAAGGTCACAAAGACATCATTCTGACATCACAACATTGTCTTGACCTCCATACCAGCCGTGGCTTCATCTCTCTCATTACCATGACAGCACGTACAACAAACTCATTCTACGGCGTGTTCTTCAAGTTTGTCAATTCACGATATCGACCCGACTTTAGCCACCGGAGAAAAATAGTCCCTATTTGAAAAGGCTGAAGTCAACCGAGTGTTGTCGATATATCTCGTTCAGTCTGATCCTATTCTGTCGATCCAACTCTACAAGCCCTCTCAACGACGGAGTCAAATCTTCTTATAATGCTACCGCAAACCTTGGAGGCGTCCTTATTTTTTTAATACGGCTTGTCGTGCTTCGATGTACCATAGAGGACTTGGGGCAATAGGTCGCGGGCGTAGTCTGTGTACACATCTCTACCACCGCCTGAGGTAGCCCAGCAAGTCCTGTGGAAGGCATGGATCTGAACGCCTTTGAGGTTTCTGAAATCTCTGTGAAGCGCTTCACATGGCGCTAAAGAGTTTCAGAAAACCGATATTTTACTACATTATCTTGACCATTCCCACCAAGCACTTACATCTTCACCATCATGGGCATGTTAAATCATGGCGTTGGTCAGATATAGACGGTATGCTCTAGTCCAAAAGGAACACCAAAATCGTGATTCGACCCGTATTGTCGTACGGGCGTTCCTTTCCGTCTCGTTCGAACCGCAAGGCCCGTACGAGAGTGAGAATCACGTTCATTACTGGTGCAGCGGCGTTGCGTCGTGGCTAGAGGTCGTCTTTGGAAACGTCGTCCTCAACGCCGCCAGAATGGCAGAGTTTTCACGGGTCTTGGCGGCTTGCCACCACCAAACTCGATACCCACAGACAACAGGAAGACAAACAGAGGG